TTCTTGAAGCAGACCAACCCTGAATGCAATGCAAGACATAGTTTGGGGAAGAATTTTACCAAAGAACAGTGATGACCTCATTTTAACAACATAACAAAAGATGTTGATGAACAAGTTCTTCTCAAGTGAGGAAATCAGGACTTCTTGTCCTGGGGAGAGAATCTGGACTCTTTGAAAACATATTATTTCCTAGCCTAAGGTCAATGAAGAACCCGAGAAAACCCAAAATAGACCATGGTCTCGCCCCAGCACAAATGTTTCCATTTATTTTTGGGCTTCTTTGGCAAATGTGCTTCCAGAGGAATGGGAATTAGACTTTGTTGACAGTAGACATTTTGCGGATGTAGACATTTTGCGGATGTTTTCCTAGCAAGGCAGATGGGGTACATGTTTTGTCCAGGAGCACCCATCAGGTCACATCATGATGGTGGTGTTGGCAACACAGATCTCTGCAGCCACTGGCATGCTGAGTTTCTTATGCCAATGTAGCTACAGGATTCAGTCTGCCTGAACACTGCTGAGTGTTTCATGGCAAAAAAAAAAAAAAAAAAAAAAAAAAAAAAAAAATACGCTGAAATGTATATTGTGCCTTCAAGGAGTAAGCTGTTGACTCAACCATAACGTCACTGAAAGTGGCTCACAGTTCAAGCAGCTCATATCTTTGTGCCTGGGTCAGCTTGTCCTCCACACACTTCCTGCCTATGTGTGGGGAGGAGGCATTGCTTACAAATACAGATACATTACTGTGATCTCATAGAATTCAGGGCTCTGACACTTCTAAAATGACTTCATCTTACAGAATCTGAAAGGGCAAAGCCCCCAACCCACCACCCCCATCCACCTACCCAAGAGCTTGATAGTATAGAAGCACATGTTTCTGGGCCACAGGTGAGGCTAAGCTCTCATGAGGTGGAAACAAGAGCAGCTCAGGATGGCCATCAGCTGCCTGGACTCAGCAGACATCTTGTGTAGAGTGTTCACCTTTCGAAAACAGCTGGGGAGAAGATGGCCGGGAGCTGGATGTCCTGATGTCTAGGACAGTCTTGTCTTTACTGTCATTCTCTTGTGTGCTGGGAAAAACCACAAATATTTTAAATTAATTTCTCAGTTAACATAAAGCTCTCCCTATCAATACTTCTTGATGGCACTAGGCAGGGATGGTTCTTTTCAGCATCAATATGGGAGCTTAGAACCATTTGTTACTCCAGTTCTGGGGATCCAATGCCCTCTTCTGGCCTGTGTGGGCACTGCACACACACACACACACACACACACACACACTAAATTAATAAAAATTTAATAAGTATGTTGATCACATTTGTGTGAGTTTACTTCTGGGGCTTTCTCTGAGACCTGTCTTGCCCCTCTGCCAGTATCTACACAGTATTCGTTACTGTAGTTATATGTAAATTATAGCCCCTTCCTGCACCAGGCACCAAATTCCTCCCTCTTGACAATGACTCAGCATCCAAGGAACCAGCTACCTGTAAGAGTCACCAATTGTGTCATCCTGAGGTTTTGAAACAGGAGATTTGGACCCTGCAGGGCAAAGGGTGTTGCTGTGTGTTTCAAGGGTCAGGCCACATCCCTGAGCTTCCTGATCTAGTTTTCCTGCTCTTGCCAGGCAGTAGGACCAGGGTAATGGGGAAAATATCACTCCTTTTTGCAAGGATTCAACAAGAGATTGCAAGAAAGAAACCACGTGACCATCAATATCTGGAAAACTACTCAACTCATGCCCACTACAAAGGAAGACCTTCTAGGGCCACTAGTAGATCAAGGCCGAGGGCTAGTGCATTCATAATTTTAACTAGTTCTGTTGTAAGAAAAAGCTGTAGTACTGAGAGAAACCAAGGAGACTGTTGGCCAAAATAGGTGTGTATAACTTCATTCTGCATTTTCCCAGACTCTGAAAAGTGGATAAAATTATCATGGCATGGTCACAGTGACTGGTGACCCCCACATATGCTACCTGTAACTGGGAGTCTCTGTCTTCCAGTTAGGACAAGCCCAGTGGGAGGCTGGATGATTTTCCTTTCACCCGGTCCTTAAAACTAAATAACCACCCATTTGCCATTGTCACTTTGGGCATGTCTGCTAGCGGTGACATCATCACAGAAGCTTTGGGGCAGACACTATTCACCACTATGGACACTGGCTCCCAAACTGCTGGGGAAATGGAGTCGATGTTTTCCCAACAGTGTTGTATTGGTGACATGGCTGACGGGTGTCTTAGTGGGTTCCCACGAGATTTACAAGGATCCTGGCCTCGCAGGCCACCACATGCTTCTTGTGTTCTGTTGATTTTGAGGCCTCATGGATACTCTCTGACAACCATGCAGTGCTTAGAGAAAATACCACTGCATTCCTATTTAAAAATGTCATTTAAGTGGAAGAAATTAATCTTTGGGTATTGCCCAGTCTTATCCAGGGTAAAACAAACAAACAAGCAAACAAGCAAGCAAACAAAAAAAAAAAAAAACTCAAAACAGAGATGATCAACTTTTCATATCACCAAGTACTAGGGCCCAAATATTTTCTGTTAAAAAAAATATTGCGTGTATATATGTGTCTGAGTGTATGTATATGTGTGAGTGTACATGTGTGAATGTGTGTATGTGTGTATATGCGGTGATATTTTGTGAACTAACAAAGCTTTCCTGAAGAGCAGAGTGAGGAGCTAGCCACACTAGTTAGCCATAAACCCCCAGCAGTAGTGGCACACACCTTTAATCCCAGCATGTGGGAGGCAGAGGCAGGTGGCTGTCCTGGACTTCATGAGATTGATCCAGTCTAAAAAAGAAACACAGCCATGCGATGGTAACCCACACCTTTAACCCCAGTATTTGGAAGTCAAACACCCTTAATCCCAGGTAGAGACAAGCGTGATATGTCGGGGCAGAGAGCAGAATGTAATGCAGGAGGAGCCAGGAGCTCACTGCATTCAGTCTAAGGATTGGTAGGGACAGGGTCGCCCCTTTGGTCTGAGGATTCAGTAGAGGTAAGAGGTCTCTTAGTGCCGGCTTTTTACTTCTCTGGCCTTTCAGCATTTAACCCAATATCTGACTCCAGGTTTTTATTATTAAGACCTATTAGAACTCGTGCTGTATTTGGTGCCTAACTTTAAGACATGAATTCATGAAAAAGCCACTTGCCAGTGGCTTTGCAACCACCATCACAGGTCAGAGATGCACACGAGGCTCCCCCGAATGTCACCACCCAGATGGCTTGGTTCTTCTCTCTTTTTTCCATAAGCCTCTAAGCGAGTTTGGATTTTTTTTTTTTCTTTTTTTGTTGCAGCCTCTCATCAACAAACTCCACAGGCCCAAAATCCAGAGGTACCTGGGCTCCAAACACCACAGGACTTACCCACCCTAGACTGGCTGGTTCTGCCTTCAGGCAGCTCCTGACAAAGGTGCTTCGATCCTGTATACTCTGTGTGTGTGTGTGTGTGTGTGTGTGTGTGTGTGTGTGTGTGCGCGCGCGCGCGCGCGCCAAGGGCATATGCATGCTAACGTGCTACCTCAATCGTGGATGGAGGTGAAACTTGTAGGAGTCGGTTCTCTCCTTGAGAACTCAGGGACTGAATTTAGGTTGCCTGGCTTAGCAGGGCCTTTACCCACCGAGATATCTTTCTGGCCACAAGTATCACTTTCATAAAAACTATACAGACTAAAAGGAGAAAGTGGGAAAAAAAAAACCCACTACATACTTTGTTTTACCTTTATCAAATTAGTGGGATTACTGGGAACACTGGAATTAATGTGAAACTGTGTGACCCTTGTCTTCAGAGATTCACAGTTGCATAAGTGTTTGTGATGAGCTTTTTCCTCCCCAACTGGAGATGTTAAAGTGCTAGTCTTCAATGCCCAAGAATTACCAGGGAAGTGAGATGCAGTCATCACAGCAGGCCCTAATCCAGGACATCCATGTCCTTACAGAAAGAGGAAACCTGACCATGGAGAAGGACAGATGGGGAGAATACCAGTCAGCCACCCCAAGCCAGGGAGGACAGAGAAGCTGGGGAAAGCCTGGCAAGCTCTCCTCCGGTGCCATGGACCTTGGGTCTCCAGGCTGTGAGACATCATATTACTGATTGCAATATTTGTTACTGCACTCCAGTGACCCAATGCAGCCCTTTATCTAGTATTGGGGGCAATCGTTAACTGAATTTGCTCAAAGCCTATGAAACAGAAACTTCTTCAAAAGCAGCCATCTCATAAAGCATCCTAACCCTGGAAAATTTAAAGATTCCAGTCCTGCGACCCACCCCCCCACCAGAGAGAATGCAGCTTTTGTAAATAAATTCCATGCTCACAGTGACACAGAAGCCCTGGTTTGTATCCAGTGTCACAACTGCTGAACTAGCGCACATCCACAGGAAGAGGGTGTGAACACCAGTATTTCAACTTGGCTGGCATTTGTGTGTCAGAAGGGGATAAATCAGGGGCTGCAGAACATTCCTCCCTGGGCATCCACCTCAGCAGACCCGGTGTGGAAGCTGAGATTGCTTATCTCAGAGGCTCTCTCTGCTTCAGCATCCATGGGGCGTTTTACATTTCATGCACTCCCAATACACCCAATAGCCGTAAATCACATCTAAGCAGTTCTATTAAGTTTAACGAGCTTTTCTTGTGATGTCCATCCAAGAAAAAAATATCAAGATATACTTAAAAGTATAGAAAAGCTTAGGGGAAAAAAATGTCTTCTAAGAACTATTAAAACTATTGTTCACCACCGTGACCCTGTCTCTGTGTAGTCTCTGGGCTTGAGCAACACAAGAGACTCTTTCAAAAGCTTTTCAGTGGGAAATTATTTCAAACTTAAAAAAAAAAAAAAAAGCTATAAGAACAATCCAAAAGTTCTCAAAAATCCTGCCCTCGGAGTTGCCTACCAACCTTTGCCCTTCTTGGCTTAGCTTTTGGCTCTTTCCAGCCATAGGCGCCATCTATCATTTTCCACAGGCTAATCGGTTTACTAAGTGTTTTTACTGTGTGTCTTCAGTAGTAGAGAGTGCATAGATTGTGACATCGTAGCTCTGGCAGCACCCGGCAGAGCCAGGGTAGGAAGATCATTTTCTTCCGCAGGAACACAGTGGCCCCTCTGAGTGTTAACTGCATCTTGGGAACAGAGGGGTGCCTTCCTCCCCGAGACCTCTCACTTTCATTCATGACTGCAATGTTAGTGGCCCCTCTCTGTGTCATGGAAGAGACATATCACACCCAGATCTGCATGAGCACAAAAGTTGCCCAGACTATCACTCATCTTTCCGAGATTCTTATTTTCTGCAATTGGGAATGACATCTTCCTAGTGGTTATAGCTCGTTTTCAGCATTTCATGGTGGCTCACAAGTGCCCCCTCAGTCCCTTGGAGAGGTGACAGGTACATGCATGGACCTTGTCACTCTTTTTAGTAGTCTAGTTTAAATCCAAATAGAGGAAGGAGAACATGTCCATATTAACTCCATTTGCCTTGTTCAGCTGTCCTACAGGGAGGGACACAGTGCTCTTTGTCCTAGGGAGGAAATATGGCTATGGGATTGTACTATGTGCCCATAGTCCCCACTGTGTAGCTACAAATAAATAGTAGTTCAGTGGTGGGACCTTGAGACTTGTATGCCTACATCAGAAGGAGCAGGGCCATTCAGGTTCTGTTTTCCTCATGTGAGGGCTGGGGTGGCTTAACTTGAACCACAGGCTGCCTTACCCTCCGAGTGTTAAATTACCTTGTACCCACCTGTAAGACAACACTGCTTGACAGAAGATGTTATGGAAGCCAGCCACAAGCATGAAGTCTGTCAGTGGTTCTCAACCTTCCTAAGGCCATGACCCTTTAATACAGTTCCTCACAATGTGGTGACATCCCAACCATACAATTATTTTGTTGCTCCTTCATCACTGTAATTTTGCTACTGTTATGAGTCATAATGTAAACATCTGATATGTGACCCCTGTGAGGTCACGACTCCAGAGGCTCTCCGGTACCTCACAAACTGGAAGAGTCAAGGAAAGAAGCTGTAAGAAGTAAACAGAGACCTAAGAATTCAAGTTCATAGCACTAACCTACTGAAATACAGAGCCTCTGGCCTCTGCACAGGACGGTTCTCTGCAAGCATAGATGGCCTACGCTCCATCCCCCAGATGCAGAATGCTAACACAAGTTTTCCACCTATGAAAAACTTCTTTAATTCCATCCAGGAAGAAGGAGCCTAGTAACTGCACTTTAAAAAAAAAAAGTCTTTGTTAGGGATGGAAGCCAGGGTCTTCTGCATTCTAAACAGGTGTTCTATGGAGGAGCTTTGCCCTACTTGAGCAGGTCAGCTGTGTCCTGAGATAAAGTGCCCCCTTCTGGCTGACTCATCCTGCTTTAACTGTACTCGTAAAACAAGAGGAGAGGAAATTTTATGGGGCAAAGATGCCCCCCCATAGCTTCTTCCAATTGTCCCTGTGGACTCAGGCCTGGCTAGCTTCTGGAAAGAAGGGGCACACTGAGTGGTGAGGGGCTGGGCGACAACAAGAAGTGGAGTAGGAACTTTTCTTTGACTGAAGGTGGAGGTAGCTAAGAGGCAAGGGCAAGCCAAGAATCACAGAATGAGCAATGAGCCAGGGGCGAGAAGAGGCGGTGGGCCTGGCAGCCACAGTGTTCTGTTGCTATGAGTCACTTAAGCACAAAGAACAATGCAATTTGCAGGTGGTTAGTGATAGCTCCAGGCCACCTCTCCTGCTATTTTAGAGAGATACTGATCTTAATTATTATTGGTTAAGATGAAAAACAACTGCTCCGAGTTAGGAAAATCAAATGGGTCCTTTCCTTGGTTTTCATCACACAAAGGGGAGTCTGTTCTGCAAAACCCAGTTGGGCTTGGCCTGCTGGGGACCACTGACACCCAGCTCCTTCCCAGAAGGACAGCTAACTTGTGCTGAAGAACCTGGGTGCCACAGGCGTTGGCAAACCCAGCTACAGTGGCTTTTGTGTAATATGCCTTTGATCAATGTCTCATAAAGTGACTGTTCAGAAAACAATCGCATTTTCCAGTGGGAGGAAAGTAAAATTGATGATTGTGGTAGTGCCAAGCACTTCATGTCACACAAGAACAGCTTGTCCTTGGGGCACAGATTATGAGTCTTTGCTGTCTCTGGCATGGATACTGCAGAGTGTTAGGAAACCAGCATGGGTCCTCATGCATAGAGAGTGTGGAAGGTCTCAAGAGAGCAAACAATATATGCATGGGAACTACTCAGACACATGTGTGATTCTAGCCCCTGGAGTCATGACATAGATGTCCATAAGTGTGCTGACAGGGGACTGTGGGAGGAGATTTATGTCTTAGATATGGTCCAGTGGCAGCTGGAGGTAGAGTTCTGGCTAGAGTTCTTGCCTTAACCGTATTCACGAAAACAACTCAAGCACACTTGAGGTCCCCAGCTTGAGGCCCAGAACCTTTTAAAAATGTCATTGTGGGATTTTTGAATGAACAACTTTCTGGTTTTCCTTAATCTTAGTGAAAGTGCCTCTGATGTACCCCTGGTGGTCTGTATACTCGGAGACCTGATGTATCCCCTAATGGTCTGTATACATAGAGATATCTTATTTGGGATCTATCCTTTTTAAAAAGAGGGCTTTAGACATTAGGAAGAGATGTTGGACTTCACTAAATACAGCTGTGGAGAAAGTCAAATGATACTTTACTCCTGTTTTGGTGAAGGCTGTTATTGTATTTTTAATACTAAAAGTAGTCAATTTAAAACTCAAGGTCATGGGATATTACTCTTACTTTTTTAATCTGCTGCTGGATCTTACTTGCTAATGTTTTATGCAGATTGTTTTGGTGCCAAAATCAGTAAGACTGGTAGTTTTTGAAGTTTGGGGTATCTGCATAGTTTTAACCAATGTATTTATTGTTTCATGATAACACATTTGAAAGATTTCATTCTGTGTAGTCAAGGAAGAGTTTGCAGGCACTCTGGGCTTGGCTTTTTCATAGGAGTATGAATTTCACTTGTGCCCATCTGGCTGGTGGTTTCAAGAGGGTGGCCATGCAAACTCTGCTTCTGCTTTCTCTCTTTTCCAGTCAACTTAGCCCCACCAGAGTATAGACAGCCAGTTTGTCTTCCCAAAGTTTTTATTATTCACACAGTTTAACTAAATGTGTTTGCTGTCCTCCGCCCCCCTTTGCGTTTTATACATTGGCGTTCACCATCACCGTCACATTTAGCTGTAGGATGGCTGATGGCTTACAAGTGCACCTCTGATGGATCACTTGGTTTTGCTGCTGGCTTCTCTCAGTTGCACTCCATGTTTATGATTCCTGCCTTCCTGCTTTGCTGAGTGCATACGAATTCTGTTGATGAACTGGGTCGAATATACACTGTTTCCTCATTTAGCTGTTCCTGTAAGCCCTAATTTCATAGTACATGCCAGCCTTGGTTCTACTCCTGTTATCCTCAGCTCTCATGACACAGGCATTCACGTGTTCTCTTCCAAAAGTCTGTTAGGATTTTCAATTTTTTTTCATGTCACAGGAGTTGGAGAAGCTACTTATTCTTTAATCCCTCTCTATATGTGCATTCTTGCTTTTTAAGTTTGTCATGCAATTGGACATTGTATTTCCTAGTCTCAAAAATTATACTTGTCCTTTCATGTGTCCCTTTTTTTTGCCGAGATGAACCTTCAAATCATTTCAATAATTAGAACACTAATTAGTAAAGCAGAACAGCTTTTTAAGTTTAAAATCATGTAGAAGCAGGCATCGATGCTGTCTAGACAGCAAAAGAATGATGCTCTTACCTGAAGTCTAGTAAGTAACGCTTACATTTTACTCTAGATTACCAGATTTAAACCCACTTTTTTTTTTTAAATTCTGGTATAGAGTTCCCTTTTAGATATACAGATAGTCTCTGACTAACAATGGTTGATAGTACAATTTTTCAGTGTTAAGGTGATGGTCCAGAGTTCAAAGATTAAAAGGGAGCACTACCCTTGCAAAGGCCCAGGTCCATTTCTCAGCGTTTAGTGACTCACAGGTGCCTGTAAATACAGTTCAGGGGATATGACCATCAAAGTCCTTTTCTGGCCTCTACAGACACCCGCACACATGGTGTACACAAACTCATGCAATTATGTACATACACACACATAAAATAGAGGATAGATAGATTATATATATATATATATATATATATATTAGACAGATAGATTATAGAAAGATGGTTCTTTTCAGAAATGATGGCACATTCTGTAGAGATCATACTCAGAGTCACAGATCCTGACTACTCCCAGTGGAACCTGGTCCTCTGCCATGCTGTGTTGCTAATTCTGCCATTTATTCCTGGTGGATCAAATGCCTTTTTGTGTGCTCTATTTCAAGTTTTTTTTTTTTTTAAGGATATAATCCCATTGTCGGTGGAAAAACATCTGTATAGGCCCAATTCTTTATTCCCTCTCTGACTTTTGTACAGCTCTCTTTTTTCAGATTTCTCTATCTATTATTATTCCTAAAATAAATGTTAACTTTTTAAAAAATATTAATTTTGCTGAATTTTCTCTGATCCTCATCCTTTGTTCATTTTCTTGCAAATCTATTCTTATTCTTCTCTTCAGTGTGCATAGAAAAGCATTTCCCCATATCTGTGGATACAGAGAAACTCCTCTTTCTTCCTTCTTGTCAACTTATTCTTTTTTGTGAGGGTGGGGGTGGGGAGGTTCAAGACAGGGCTTCTCTCTGTAGCCCTGTCTGTCCTGAAACTTGCTCTGTAGACCAGGCTGGCCTTGAACTCACAGAGATCTGCGTGCTTCTTCCTCCCAAGTGCTTGGATTAAAGGCATGTGCCATCACTGCCTGATGTAACTTGTTCTTTTATTTGTTCATATTTGTGCTTTCTTCTTGCTCCTCTTTCAAATAAGGATTTTCTTCACTGAATTACTTTTCATGAGAGAATACCTTGCTTGCCAGTGGCAATGGCTTTTAGTTGTATGCTCCTTTGCCCTCGCCTTTGGTTGGCACCTCCCATGTGCTCATCATGAATCCCGTGCATGCTCTCACATATGGCAGCATCCGTATGCACATCTATCCCCTCTGTTCTAATCCTCAGGGCACTCAGCAGGCTGCTTTGCATTGCCCGTCGCATTGCGCTAACAGACATCCCTCATCTCTGGGAGATGCACTTTCCATTTCTGCTTCTCCATCTCTTTATTGATTACAGTTAGAATGGGAAATGATGGGGCAGGTAGATATCCATGGCACCACTGGAAACTTGAAGTCTTGCCATGCATTCTAAATAATTTAAGCAAATCTGGCCAGAGTACATCTTCCCACTAACACTATTCTTAGAGTTTTTTTTTTTTTTTTTTTTTTTTTTTTAAGTACAAATCCATTTCATGATTTCAAACCAACTTTAGGATATAAAATTTTCTGCATAGAAAATTAACAAAAATAATTTGCATAGTCTTACCCCAGTAGCTTGGCACCCTGAAATGCCAACTAAGTGACTATCTACTGTCCTTGACTCCACTGTCCTCCTCCATTGCTCTTCTAGGATAGAAAGTTCTAGGCTGTCAGACAAACCATCAATCTTCTCCAGAAGTTCATCCAATAGACTTGAAAATTCATCCAGGTAGTAACTCTGAAGGGAAGAAAACTAGATTAGTAAATGCATACAGGAATGTGATATTTTCCTTTTGCCCTCATTATCTGAATTATTTAGTGATGCCAACTTTGGAAAGTTTTCACTATGATATAAAATATCTTGGACCCAGAAGAGAGAAGACTTGGGTGCTGGACCAGTTTCCTTCTGTGTGTCTTGGTTCCTTCATTTATGGTGTGCACATACTGCTTCATTCATAAGCATTACAGCTAATGACACTTTGACAAAGAACCTGTGAATGAATGTGAAGGCAATAATGGGCACATGACAGGCAGTAAGCCCTATCCAAACACACAGTGCGATGACGCTTCTCGAAGGCTTCAGGACTGCACCGAATGCTGTATAAACAGCAGTCATGGATGACAGCTGAGAATGCACTGTGAAAATACCTAGATTTGACTTGTTTGCATTAGTGTCTGGAGTGCCCAACCCGAAGTGCCAAGGGATCCATGGTTTGGGTAGAAGCTTTGTCTGATAGCAAATGCCAAAAGCAAGGGAGACTCTACCTTGGGGTGATTATAGGGATGTATCAAGCAGTGATGGACACTGCCAACCCTGTAAGTTCTTTAGTGTTTTAGGGAAAGATTCTGGAAGATCCACTAGGGTTGAGAACTAATTTTGAGCCTTTGCAATAACTGCTGGCACAGAATCACTGTGGTGCTCTCGTTGCCGAAAGCTAGCCTGCATGTTAGAGTCATCAACCCGAGTGTACCACTGCTTACTGCTCCAAGGTCCCACCACTTACATGGTCCACAGGCACTGCAGTCTCCTCCAGAGTTGTTGTTTCCAGCCCCAGAAGGGTGAGGAGTTTATGCCATGCATAAACAGCAACATTTTTAAGTGTCATGAAAGACTTTCTGTGAAAAGACTTCCTTTTTCGGAAAACAGTCAGGAGGGAAGCCCTCAGCTGGAGGAGAGAAAAAGAGAGAGACAAACTCTGTGTTACCAAGCCTTGGAGTTGCTGCTAATATGAAGTGGAAATTACATCTGCTGTGTATGCATAAGGACTTCTCAGGAAGCGTGAGGACACAAAATTAGGAAAACACCACTCTGGTGTGCAACTACGGTTTGAGCTCAGCTGTGAAAATGTATCTTACTATGAAGCATGCTGTTGTTGTCTCACAGTGGTGTTCCTGTGTATGACACACCATCTCAGCCAGAGTGTGAGCCTGTGTCCGGGAGGTGGGAGGGACAGAGACCCAGCAGGCTGCTGTGCCCTCGTGTGTGCTTATAAGATGAGACAACACTGTGCCCCAGACACAAATCCCTGTGTTATGTATTTCTTCAGTGCAGACTGAGGCATGTTAGTTCACATCCCATTTATTTTGGAAAATAGCTCAAAACAAGCAAAATATTAGCCATTTAGAATCTGTCTGCTTTGGGTGTCCTGGAGAACCTCACAGGGTGTTGTCCATTGAAATGGAGAAGCTGTGCTGACAGACCCCAGGAGCCAAAGCTTACAAAGTCACTGACCCAGAGCCTCCTAACCGCTTCTGCTGCTGAGCCACACCCTCTGGACATCCCCACGACTCCCTCTCCTCTCTCTTCTGGATTTTTATCACCTGACTCTGCTATAGCCTGCATGTGTGTATGTGAGTGTGTCTGTGGGGGAGTGCATCTTACAGCGTGAGGGGCTTCCACTGTGTGAAAACATGTCAACACACATCTCAAAAAATATCTCTGGGTGTCACTGTCTCTCACGGCCACAACTTTTCTCTTGGCATTCCCTTGAATCCCTTCAACCCTTGGCAGAACTGTGTGGGGACACCAAGAGCTGGAAACATAGACAGCTGGCAGACGGACATAGCACATCTGTGTGTCTGAGGGCTGACTTCAAACCGCAGGACTCAGGGTAAACAACAAAAGAAGCTGGGTGCAATGGTGTAGGCATTGAATCCCAGCACTCAGGAGCAGAGGCAGGCAGATCTCTGAGCTCAAGGCTAGCCTGGTCTACAGAGTGAGTTCTAGGGCAGCCAGGACTACATAGATATATCCTGTCTTGAAAAACCAAACCAAAAACAAAACAAAACCGGGCATGGTGATGCCTGGTTTTAATTCTAGTACTTGGAAGCAAGAGGCAGGTGAATTCCTAGATTTTATTGGCTAGCTTTTATAGCTTAGGGCTTACTTGATGAGAGGCCTTTTCTTAAGGTGAAAAAAAAATGCAGTTTCTGATGAATAATACACAAAACTGTCCTCTGGTCTCCAAATGCAAACATGCATAAACACACATACACTTATTTGTACTTCTCATCCTATACTTAAAATGGATGGATAGAAAGAGACGTAATGAGTGTACAGTGGGTAAACAGATGGATGATGGGTAGCTCAGTAATGATTAGTTGGCTGGGAGGTTAAGTGGTTGGGATGTTAGGATGGAGGAAGGAATATAGGATGGATGGACAACTGGTAAGTAGTGATCAGGGAATGTGGACCTCTGAAAGGAGCTAAGAGCACCAGCCTGAGTGCTGTCAGGGTGTGAGCATATGCAGAAACTTCTAGTTTAGCAATCTATCAATGAAAACATTGACAGAACTTTATGAAACAAAGGATTTGAAGTCACCGAGAAAACATTGACCAATTCCTTTAATGCATATTGAACTTCACCATGTACCAGGAACCACCCTGAGAAGGGATGGCTGCTTTGAATGTGGCTCAGGTTAAAAGGGAGTCAGAAAGGACTATCTAGGACCATGACTTGGTGAGACCTGCTTCAAGTTTATGGGAAGACTGGGACCTAGTGTGTGACAGTGACACACTGAACACCATCTTATAAAATGAGTAGGGCGTACAAAGGAGGGGTTCAGTCGAAGCAGCCTGAGTTCAAGGTGAGGATGAGAAGAGGTGTGAGTCAGCGGGGTGGGCTGAGGGGTGGGGGTGGGGACGGGGTGGGATGGGGTGGGGCAGTGTCCTGAGCAGGAGTAGCTGTGGATTGCTCTCAGTGAAGGGAGAATTGAGCTGATTGTGTTCAACCCCATCTCAGGGCAGATCAAGTAGATCCTGGGGGGAAGTCTGTTCCCATGAGATCTGGCCAGGGCAGTCTGGACTTGTCTATCTATATGGACAGAAACCATTTTGTCCTGATAGCAGATGAAACCTTCATAAACTTTGACTTTTAAAGTCTAGGCTGCATCAAGGTATCCACGTACCATTCCGAAACATAGAGTTGCCACCAGCAGAAAAAGGGCTCCACCGTAACAAGCCATGGCTTGATGGCCAGGATCCAAATGATTGTGCAGTGAGTCCCTGTGGCTTCTTCCCAGAAACTGAAGCGGCAGTCCGGGAAATGCTTCTGTAGAGGCGCCAGGTGATGGTGTGGAGGTGAAGAGCAGAAACCGGCACAAATAGGATTGGGCAGCCAGCAACAGGGCCCCTAAGAGCTGCAGGGAGGAAACCCCGGGATGCTGAGCCATCATCGCTCTTTGGGGAAGAGGGCTATTTGGCGGACTTGTAAATGATTTTAAGTTAATAGTTTGGAGAAGGGGGATTTTTTGTGTGCAGCTTAAGACTTTCTGGTTTAGGCTCTCACCCCAAAGAGGCCGGCTTCCACCAGAGCTGTCCCTCCCAGGTCTCGTGGTTCAGTTGTCAGAGCTCTTCTGTCCCCATATCCCCATCCTCCCTCCACTGAAGCCTGGGAAACTCCCCAATGGCCAGTCCCAGTTCACACACATGCGCCATGGAGGCCTGTGATGGATAATCGACTGTAACCCTTTTCAGTCACCTTTGCTGTCAGTGACCTGCCCTTCAGCCTTTGGCCATGAGCATCCTCACTGTACATTGGACTTCCCTTATATGGGGCTCCTGCTACTATGATAGTCTCTTGCCTACATGTGTCTAGCACCCAGCATGGGCTATGTAAAGACATGGCTTAAGAATTGGGAAGGGCTACTTAGAGACAAACTAGCTCTGGTTAAGCTTGTGGCCTGGCTGTGAGAAAGAGGGACTTGGGGTCTTAGTTGTAGTGTCAGTAGCCCAGTTTGTTTCATACTGTCTACTGAAATCAACTCCAGGGCTGACACACTTTCTCAAATGATGACAGACCATCCACCATTTTGCTATCTGTCTCAAAAACCACTGGCTTCCTTTTGTTTCGCTGGTCCTACATTTAGAATTCCTCGTGTCTTGTCTGGCACTCAATGAATATCCTTGACTCTGATGTGGTGGTTTGGTACTCATCTCTGTGGGACTGAGGAGGAAGAAAGCATAATCTAGGCTGAGCATGGCAGGACATGCCTGCAACCTCAGTGCTGTGAGGTGGAGGCAGGAGCGTTGGGAATTCAAGGCTCTCGTTGGCTTTCTAGTGGGTTTAAGACCAGGCTACAGTACTTAAGACCTGGTCCTGAAGCAGAATAAAGAGATGGCAGCTTTGCCAGTGGGTAAAGGGACTTGCTGCCACTACAAGGGCAGTGCCAATGAATCTATCATAAATGACAGTTTAGGCTCAGCTCAAGCTGGACTCTGACCAGGTAAACAGGATTGCTAGTGGAGAGCCCCTCCAGCCATCTACTTCTGGCAGGGAGGCATCTAGTTCTCTGTTAACACGCATCTGTAATAAATCATAGTCTCCATGATAGCTCCCCACCTCTTATGCCCTCGACCCCCCAACTCTAACTTCCAGACTGTCCCCACTTAATGCTCTCTCCCAAAGATCCCCACTTAAAACTGGCAAGATTCCCCCCACCTTTTGCTCTTCTCTCTGACCCCAAGAGAGAGCCTTAGCAGTTGTGAATTTCCCCAAAGCAAGCCTCTCTTCCGCCCACAGAGTGCTCTGGTCCAGTGTTTTCATTGTGGCCCTTCGCCTACATTGCCTAGCGCAATGAACGCAGATGATGAGAGAACAGGAGGGGCTCGCAAGAGTTGTCCTCTGACCTCTATACAATGCCCTCCCACACAAATAAATAAATAGATGATAAACAAATCTACAAATGTAAGCAGCAGGCAAGCAAACAACAAAACACAAACTATTAGTCTTCATCTCAGCAAATCAAGATGAAGGGCCTGAATGACCCCCCCACCAGATTCCCAACATACATACACTTTTGACAGGGCAAGTGCTGATTCTTAAACATCATTCACTATATCCATTGACATATATATGGACATATAAATTTTCTTAACATAAAAGGACTTTTGTATAATGCTAAATGGTGTTAATAACAGTCTCTTGCTAGTTAAGGACCACATAGATCTATACAATTTCTAAAGTGTTTCATGGCAGGTTTATTAGCTGGCCTCTGGTGACTTTTGTTAGTTGGTTATGGGCAGCCTAGGCTTAAATGTAGCTGTCTTAGATTCTGAGGTCTGCTCTTTCTGATCTCATTTGCTGACCCAGTCCTCCAAGCACAGTCTAGCAAAGTCTGAGGTCCATATTCTCTGGAGCAGGAGACTCTTGCTTGGGCCCTTGTGAGCCTGTGTGAGCCTTGAAGCCTGAGAGCCAGAATGTCCTCACAGTAGCCACCAGGCCAAGCAGTTCTCTCAGATTTGATAGCAATGCTGTCTGTGGCAGATGTGGGAACTTCTGCTGCATTGGGCCTATGTAGCTAGAGCGAGATCTTTCCAGCTGGGACCTGCTCAGGACCGGCAGCCAGGGACATCATCAGGACCTAACACTATTATCTGTGCCTGGTTTGGGCCCCCATTCTCCAGTCAGAACTTTTGGCCCATCCCTGGATAGAGACTTGCCCTGTGCTGACATAGAGCTCAGGCATTGGCAAGCATTCATACAAACAGCTGAGCATCATATGATGCTCTTTTGTCCCGACTGGAGTTTGCTTCTGTGTCCTATTGATACTCTGTGGTTCCTTGAGTGAGGTAAACAATACAAAATGGGTCCCTGTGTGTGAGTGGAGAAGTCTCTGTGTGCCGGAGTCGGATGACAAATGGATGTAGAAGCAGCATGTGGCCATCAGAGGACCCTGAAATTACGGTCCCAAGGCAAGCCTCATCCCCTCTCTCAGCTTCTTGCTCCATCATCTGAAAAAAAACCACCTTTTCCACCACAGCCCATTGTGATCACTAAGCGTGTTCACATATAAGAGACACTCCACAGCATTCCTGACACTTCGAGAAAGGGGGGCAAGTGTTAATAACCACAGAAAATAACCATTGTGTGCTGTGGGAAAGTGTAACACAAAGCCAGTGTTTAATAAATCGTGGCTATTGGTGTCACAAATGTAATTTAATATCACTGGTACCCCTTATCTAAACCCCGCTATGATTGATTAGGTGACTAGAATTCTGGATGGTGTGTCACCCTGTGAAAAGTTTGCTATTCCCTAACTAGGGTGAACCAGTGCGTTGATTGACTAAGGAAATCCCTGGAGAAGGGGGGAGGATTCTTACTGCTGGGGCGAAGGCTCTGGAGAGACAGGAACACGTCACTGTGGATAAGGATACCATGGTGCTTAGGAAGCCGAGGAGGTGAGCACCCTTCAACAGCCAGAGGAACAAGAGGCTTCCCCGGAGCCATCTTGCCATCTAAGGGAAGAACACAGCAAGTCAGTATACCCTGACAATGATAATAAGGTCACGTAGACACAGGCACATACCTGTGAGCTATGCTGAAACACAAGTCGGTTTAAGGAGTTGTTTAGACTACAGGCCTCCTGGGGACACCAGGTACCCCAGGGACACCAAGCACCAGTGTCTGCAGAGGAGCACATGACAGAAGCAGGATACAGGCCACAGTATAAGACATCTTCAGAAGGGCCGGGCTGGTAGAGACAGCAGAGTGGGTGTGGCTGCTTCCCCTCTGAGGCTCAGTCCACCGTGCTGTAAGGAAATGAATGGCCCTGGCAGTGGTGATAGGGTGTGCCCCCCTAGTCACGTAACACTTTACCAATGCTTTCCTTGAAGATATTGAAAATTTAATTCTGTGATAACCAGAAGGGTTCCTGCATTATAGCTGTGAAGTCTATGGCTCAAATAAACACAGCAAAGACACATAGCAGAACGACCCAGGGGCACATTCATAGTCTAGGTCCAACACTCCTGAATCACTCAAAAGTTGTGCACATGCCGATAGCTCACTGGAAAAGGCCTTTCATTCTGTGCAAGGCCTCGTCTACTTCCCCAAAAGAAAGAAAAGAATGCTACATGCTAGAACTTCATGTGAGCAAAGGATGAAGGTTTTCAGTTTATTTGGGAAATGACCAAAAGCCACCTCTGGCAACTGAGGCCTGGGTAAGTTGTGAGGGGCTGGCACACCTGTGGCCAGTGAGAAGCAGCCGTGCTTGGGAAAACCAGCGACAGCAGAGCTAGCACGGCCTAGGAGAGCTACACGTGGGACATGGGCACAACCGCACCTTTCCTGGTAGCTGCAATTTAGCAGGTGAAAATAAACATGGAGATTTACTTTGCACTTTATTTAGATCAACACATGCAAAATAGTATGTGCATTCTGTACACACAGAGATATTTGCATATTAAATTTATGAAATTCAGCAAGTACTTTGTATTTTGAGTATATCTCAATTTGAGCTGACCACACTTCCTGCTCTACACTGTCAGGGGGGTCAGTGACCATGACACTGGAGAGCACAACTATGGCCTCTCTGTGGACCCCTTTCTTGCCTACGTATAAGTGGAAGGATACCAGAATGCCTTAACTGTTTTCGTTGTCATATTTATTTATCCGATACCTATCATATGCTGAGAGGAATATGTATGTATTTTCTTCCCCCCTTCATCCTAGAAAATCCCTTGTTTTGTACCATGCTTCTATCATAACTTGAGGAAGCCTGGCCCACTCCTAGGGTTAAAGAGAAGCTGTGGCTAAGGCCACAGGCTACAGTTACGAGGCCATCTGGACTCAGACAGAGTGCACTGATGGCCTACCATACAGATATCACAGTTCACTTCTCAGGTAACTGGTACAAGACCAGAGACCATTCCCGCTGCTGCTTCTGAGTGGCCTGTGATGCTCACCCTCTTGGAGTACGGGTGGGGTCATCTGTGGTGTGGATGGGATATGATCACCAACTGGTTTAGTGACAATAGCAAGGACCTTCTCCTTTTTCTTCTTTTCAGCCTTGGTTTTCTCAGCTGAGTATTTTCTTTTGTACAGGGCCTTTCTGGAATACACAGCAGTCTGGAGTACCTGCCAATTCCTCTAACAGGACAGGGTCCCGGCTTTTTAACCTTAGGGACACTCTTTTTTGGCTGCACCAGCAGCAGAGGCACCAGCAACATCACCACCAGCCTTCTTGGCTGCAGGGGTTTTTTTTTTTCTTCTTCTTCTTTTTTTCTTTTTCTTCAGGCTTCTCGGCTTTCTCATCCACCATCTTGAAAGATGGGAAAACCCAGCTCTGCTTTAACTGCACGCACTTCTCAGAATAACTGAGGCTGAAACAGAACATCCTAAGACAGAGAAGGCACTAGGAACCGCCTGGGCTGTTCATTACTGTGTGGAAAGATATTACCCACAGCTGGGAGAACTTGGAGAGCAGTTCTGGGGTTCCATATGTTGGGGGATCCAGGCTAACTAACACTTCATGTCTTAAGACTTCTTTTTTTAAGGACAGAAAGGAAAGGAGCTTCCTGCCTGTGTGGACAAAAGAATGATTTTCTTCACTTTTGTGATTGGCAGACGAGACTCCCATGGATTGTAGAATATAATCCAAGGTTCAGAAGTGTCTGGAATCTTGCTCCTGGTGCTTAGCATAGGGATGGCTCAGCAATGTGTACAAAGAATGTGTTTCATAGCACCATGGGGGTGATGAGCAGGAAGGGGAGGAGGCAGGCCGGCTGCTCATGATGTAAAGAAGATGTCTACCTGGTTAGTGCCCAGCCTCGGGGCTCATGAGTACCCATGGAGCTCAACACTCAGGAGTAGGACATATAGCTGCATGGCTTCCCTCATGCAAGGGCTCTCTTCTTAGCCTGAGAGGGCACAGGACTGACTCATAAAGTCACAGGTCTAGTGTCATCTACAAAGGAAGGTGATTTGTGTTCTTGTCCTCCAGGAAGAAACCAAGATTGTCTCTGTTTGGGATCCTTCAAAACACTGGCCCCAGGGTAATAAGTCTCTGGTACTTGCATGGCCGGGCCACTCTGGCTATAGGAAGGTCCTGCCTGACACCCTCTGGGCAGCAGCTGTCTCAGGAATACTCTGTTTCTGCTCCACAGTTTATCCAGAGTGTAGATGGTGAGAAGCCAGAGGAGAAAAGATGAGTGGGGTTGATATAACCTCCAAGGAGACAGAGACAATAGTGGTACCAGTTATCCAGAAAAGGAAAGCTGAAGCTGTGGCGGAGGAACATTACCGTCCTGCATCCTCTAACACTCCTCACTCAGTAGAAAAGAAAGCTGGGTCCAGGGTGCATCACAAGATGATTCAGAGGGAAATTATAGGGAGGAGGCAGAGCTGGGAGTACTGAGGTTAAAGGGGAATTAGTCCCCCCTCTTTTCAGGTTGTTCTGAGAGCATCTTGTCCAGGGTGGGAAGGTACAGAATGGCCCTGGGGCATCAACAGCCATCAAAGTGGGTAGAAAAGATGCTTGGAGAATCTGTGGGTAGGTAGATGTGTTAGCTGTGGCTACAGCAGAACAAAATGGGAATATAGATTCAGTTTGAATATATCCTCTGTAGCATGAAGCTGTGGACCTCCAGCGAGCTCAGCTGCTGTGGTAGGATCCTCTGACCCACAGGTCCCCTCCCAGGGACTTATGAGGCTTGTCTTGCAAATTCTACCTGGTCCCCTTGGTAGAGATCCCATTCTACAGATGGAAGCCTAGGGGGCAGAGATAAAGGGACTTAGAGATGGTGTTTCTTCCTTTCATGACCTCAAGTCTTTTCCTGAGCCTCAGTCTCATCACTTATTGAAAACACCAGCATCTAAGACCATCAGCAGATGGAAGGGAAGGCAGGCATGATGCATCTAAGAATAATAGTGACAACCTCCTTACTGTAGACTATGTTGACTGACACCTGCTTCCTCATGCTGCTGCAAGTCCATTGGCATCCCTGGCTCTTGAATTCTGCTTTACATAGCATGTGTGGCTGCCAAGCTAGTGGGCACATGTGAAGTTCTCCAAATCCATCATTGCTTCAAGTGGCACCAACTGTGAGCTTACAGCATTATCATCCAACATAACGAATCCATCACACTGAACCTTTTAGTCCTTGTATGACAGATATCATTGAGCGACATCAATTATGGCTTCTTTCTGCTAGCCTTGAGTTCCCTATCATACCTGATTCCATGACACCATCAGACTTAGGTCCACAAACATCTGATGAAGTCCTTTGTGGAACTGGTCATTGACATTCTCAGCGAGGGTAGTGAGGTGAGCAGAGGCTGCATAGTAGGCCAGGGCTACCCCAATCATAGAGAGCTGCAACACAGGAGAGAAAAGTCTCTCAGTCGGCTGAGGGTGGGCACAGTTGGCATTCCTGACTCTCTGGTGACAAGTTGCCTGTCAAAACTTAAGTTGGTGGTTAAGGAGGTAACTTGGATGGTAAAGTATAAGCATGAGGACATGCAATGTCCAGAACCCACGTAAAAATACCCATCATGGTAGCACATGCTTGGAATCCCCATGAGGGGCAGACATAGCAGGGTGGATTCTTGGGGTCTTCAGGCAGCTAGCCTCATCTAATTGATTCTTTCCAGGCCAATGAGAGACACTGTTTTAAAATGACAGATGGATGATATCTGAGAAATGACACCTAGGTCTGGCTTCTGGCCTCCACACATTTATGTACTCAAACACACATGAACATGAGCATGCTTGTACACACACACACACACACACACACACACACACACACACACACACACACACAAACACACACACACACACACACACCACTACCACCATCACCACCACCAGATTCCAAGGACACCTGATTTCAAATGCTATCTGCCTTCACACTATACTGGGGGAACCACAGTGATGTTGGAAATAGTGTCTATAAGACTTCATGACATAAGTATTTTTCCTTTCAGATAAAAATATTTTAGTGTTATTGTTCTACATGAGAGACTTACCTCAAGCCAGTGTCTCAGTTTTCTCCAATAGCTGAGGATGCCCTTGGTGGCCATTCCCCAGAGCTGGAAACAGAGGTGGGTCATGTTGAGTACCAGGAACACCAGCTGGGAGGGGACATGAATAAGTGAGACAACGGAAGGGTCAGTTAAGTAGTTCTTTCAAGGTCCAGACTTCTTCCAGTTTCCATTGCACATATGGTATAAGCCTCTCTCCTTCTAGACAGCATATGATAACAAGCTAGCCCTTCAGTAGGTACCTGGGCAGCTTAGTATCACTTCACACTAAGCTCTCCCAGTGACCCAATCCCATGTGAAGCATTAAGATGTGCCATTGACCCTGCAGACACAGGAATAAGGCATGCGGATGTCCACGGCCACTACCAGCTCACCATGCCAGCCTGCCACTTATTCACAAGTTTACAGGAAATTGGAACCCATCAGCAGGGGCTTTGTACATTCTCCATCCTCTCTGAGAGCTATGTGTACTGTGCCTTTGTGGATCTAATAAACTGCAAACATAATCAGAACCAAGTTGCTTTGAGTCCTAAGGGGAGGTTGTGAAACAGTGTACTTCACCATGTCATGCCAGAGACTGCCTCTCCACTACAGAGGAGAATAGTGGTGAGGTTGGAAGTAGTATTGACAACACTCCTGATAGATGTATTTTTCTTTTCAGATAAAAATTCCTTAGTGCCATTGTTCTACACAATGAAGACCACTACATCAGAGAGGCTACCTCCAGCCAGTGTCTCCAGGAAACTGACCTGGTTTTCTAAACTCTTGACATTTTGCCCAACATGGCTTCATTTTCTTTTTTTCTTTTTCTATTGCATGAATTCTGACATTTTAAGATATTACACTAGCATGTTATTGACCTTGTTTTCTGACCATTTTTCCCCCTTTTTGCCCAAAGCCAGAGCTTCTTCTATCCCAGCTCTTCCCAGTAATCCACTCCTGTTCTTCACAGTTATTCTCCATTTCAGTCTCAGCTGTGGCTATCTCTAACAGTCCCTAGTCTCCTTTCCCTTCCTGAAGCCAACTAGACTTGACTCGCCCAATAGTAGATGATTCATTCATAGAGAAAGATAAAATAAGAAGATACAAAGGCAGTGGCATACCATGGAGGGTATGCTGAAGCTTTTGGCTGTTCAGTAAAGCAATGTGAACCATTGACACCTGGTGCTATGGGCTGGGGGCAGGGAGGAGCAGATATCCCCAGATTAATATTTTGGCACCCAAAGTTCCATAATGCCTCTATTTGGAAACAGGCCTCATTGGAAGTACTTAAGGCTAAGTGCAAGCATGAGGTGGGGGCATATTTCTATACTATTGGTGTCTATTTATATATACTTGAGGCCCAAAGGGCACATACTTTCTCTTTGTTCACTGGTACCAAAATGAAGCCAGGCTGTTTGATACAGTGAGAAGATGGCTTTTCACCACCAAGGAAGGGGTCTTTGCTACAGCCCAGCATTCCCAGCACTTGATCTGGGGTTTCTAGCTGCCAGAGCTTTGTTAAATAGATGTCTGTTATTTAAGCCTCCCAGCCATTGAGCAGTAAGTAATCCTATTCGCCTGACAGGGATGTGTGGTAGTCCCCAACGGCTGTCTGAAATTTCAATAGTGACAAACACTATTAATATTGGATCTTTCTTATAAATACATAGACAGCTATGATAAACCTTAATTTCTAAATTTGGCATAGTAACTGATTAACAGCAATAACCAATAATAAAGTGGAACAATTATAACAACACACTGTAATTATACAACAATATACTGTAAGGTTGTTTAAAATGTGGGCATCATTTACTTCTGGAATATTCTACTCCATATTTTCAGATCATTTGTGACTATAAAAGTTAAATGTTGGGCAGTGAGGGATGACAGTATGTTGTTCTGGTGGTTGAGACTGACTAAGATTCCCCGATGAATTTAGGACATCAAGGCAATAGAATACTTACGCTCATTTTGTATGTGATGGTTAGTTTCCCCATTGGGGATCTTCTTTATCTACAGTCCTAACACCTATTCTATGATTGATAAGACATGAAAGAGACATACTAAGAATTGTGCAGGTGGGTCAATGGGAGGTTCCTATTTTCACAGAGGTAGAAGGTATTTAGCCATGTGAAGCCCTAGTTCTCTGTGCCCATCCAGGAGGCCCAGGACAGGTGAACTCACCTCTGAAAGCATAAGAAGGTTCTGTGAGACTGAATCACTGTAGAAGATGCTGATTGACTCTACCAGGGATGAGGGGACAAGACCTCCCATGGGGAGAAACTCTGCACGTAGGGTCACACTTGTGAAGAGTCTCATTGGCGGGTTGTAGAGAGTGAAGTGCACAGATACGGCCCTGGTTCTGTGGTCGATCCACCTGTTGGCCCTGAGGGCAGTCAGGGCTGAGTGTGCTTCATGCCTGGAAAACAGCTCTGGTCAGAGGGAGGGCAGGAAACAAAGCCTCGGAGTCCATGGAAAACTCCATTTCTGGCACCATGTCCAATACACCAAAAGCAAGCCTCATGGAGACAGATGACCCCTAAGTTTCTGATTACTGCATAGACAGTCCTGCTGTGGGCTAGGGCTCCCACCAGGAGCCCACTATTCCTTCACCCCCCTTCCTCATTCCTGTATCCAGGATGTAATCCCAGCCAACAGATGGTGTCTACCCTCACCTGTGCCCTGTGAGGGGGGGATGCCCAGCAACCCTCTCCAAGGGCTCACATCCTTCTCTTCACAGTGGACTGTGTGGATAGAAGGAAACCACACCTAATTCATATTTAGTAGCAAATCATGTTCTGCCTTTAATTTCTCTGGCACACTACTATGACCATACAGATTGACTTCCTAATCAAAGTCCTGTGCTGTGGTGAAGGCTGCACCATGACCTGGGCCCAGGGCCCAGGAACTGGCAGGACACTTGACTACAGGCTCGGCTACAGGAAGCATGGTGTATGCATGCTGTGTCTACACATGCGGGAAGACCCACTCCTCATCTTCTCAGTGAAGCTCAAGGCATCATCTGTGTTCCTCCTCTAGGAGTTAATGGCCAAATAGTCAAGACCACGTGAACTTCCTGCTTGGCACTCAGTAGCAAAGGACAAAGATTCCATGACTCTGCAGGCTCTGGCAGCTACTTTTCAAGAATGAACCATTCAGTTCTCCTCTACGTACTTTGGTGTGAATCTGAAGTCTGAGTTCTTCCACGCCATTGTTCTGAATAAGAACACTGCCCAGGCCTTAGCAGTGCTGGCCCTTTTGGAGCCTGCCCAGAAGCTGAGCCTGCAGCAGACATGCCTCACTTAGCATCATGGGGTCTGGGAGCTCACTGACCTTGTTCTTCCTAGAGTGTGCACGGCACTCTCCCTCTTAACCCCACAGGCCTCACCACCAGGGGTCACATTTTGGTTCTCAAGATCAAGGTCATGACTCCATGTAGGTAGTGCATCTTCCATGAGCTCTGAGGTTGACCTGGGAGGCTAGAGCACAAACAACCATTCAAGTAACCCCAATCGATCTCTGTCCCCAAGTCCATCATTGTGGAGCTCTCAAGCTCCGCCCACACAGAATATAGCCAACCATGTGGTCAGGGATCCTGCTGCTTTCAAGGACCATTCTACAGCAAACTTCATGATCTCTGGGTCATGTCTCAAAATGGAAGGATCAGGAATATGCTTGTTGATGGCTGTAGCTGAGGAGTTGGCTGTGTGGGGCTAGCCAATCTACAGAACACTGCATTATGAAGAGATGCTGTAGATGCTGTCTTTGGGCACCCTTCCCCATCAGAAAATAATACAAACAAAATTCTAGTTTCAGAGCTTTAGAAGAAAGCCTTCTTCGTCTAGAAAACCAGCTCTAGAAGTGAAGAGAATGGTTCTGGGGAAGAATGTAGAGGTTGCAAGAGGGTGCTTGAAATGGTAGAAGGGAAGGCACGTGGAAATCTCACACTACATCCCAACTCTCTAGCTTATCTGCCAGCCCTGTCTCCGAGTCTCCAGGTGCACTTACTGTACATGCAGTACCAGAAGAAACCTTCAGCTGCTTGATCACAGAAGGGCCTATTAGATGGCACTGCCCTCTGAGAGCTCCAGGCTGAAAGAGAGAGAGACTTGGTGTAACAGCTTTGTGAATTTCGATGGCCACTGTACAGCATTGCTCACAAGGCTGGGGAAGCACAGGCCACCCCATCTGCAGACTCAGAAGTTCATTGTCCTGAAAACCCGAGGGAGGATACAACCAGCACCCCAGAAACCAACCTTTTGCAGATGCAGCCAACACCCCTCCTCAGCATCCTCAGAAAAAGAAAGCATTCAAATGAAGCCCTCTCTGCCCCCTCATGTGAATGACCCCAGGCCACTCCATGACATTCTAGGAATGCAAGCAAATGAAACGAGGGACAAAACGTTTGAGATATGGAGGGCAAAGCACTTGTATTTTTCAAAAAGGGGAACAAGTGAACTGTGAATGAGGGACGGGAAAGTACACACTCAGGACCAGCCTTGCCTTTTTCTGGAAGCTTCCCTAACGCATCTGCCTTAGCAGTGGGCTCCTCTTCTGCTCTGGGGACTCCTGAGCCCTTGTCATGCTAGCAATAAGTTGGCTTCTTCCTCAATCTTACCCTGAACCTCTGTTAAAGTGTCCAGGCCCTGCTTGGACTGGCAAGCATTGAATGGAGGGTGTGAATAGCTTAGGAGGCCATCATGGGCCATCCTAGAGTCTCAGGAGACTCCAGGCAAGGAGACTAACAGGTTTCTTTGCCTGTCATGGTGCCATGGAGCAGACCTATGCTGCCTTGTGGTTCCTCTCACTGCTTCTGACATAGGAAATGAATGCCCACCTGAGCCCCCCAGGTTCCAGCAGCAGGTCCTTCTGGGTACAGCCCATCCAGCAATGTGCTCAGAGTCCAGTCCCACCAGTCATCTGTGCTGCTCAGGTTCCCAAAGGAGTGTCTGGCATTTCTTAATCCAAGAACAAAACAAATAGCATGAATCCATAAGAACAATTCCAAGTGAGGGGAGAAAGGTTGTTTTTTTCCTGGCATTTTTTTCCTCCACTTGCAGTCTAGGTACTCTGTGAGAATTAAGCCAAAGCAAACTGCAATATAAGATACAACCCCAGAATTCACCCTGCTCCTCAGTGACAGAGGGAAGAGAAACAATAGGGGAAAATAATCTCTTGTTTATTCATTTGCTCATTCGCTCAACAAATATCACTGTGTTACTGCTAAGTACCAGGTACTCTTTCTAGACACTGGGAAACAAGACCAAATTCCTGTCCTTCAGTGAGGAAACAAACAAATGTATGCACGTATGTGTGTGTGCATGCATGCATGAAGCTTATGATAAAAGTTTCAACTGCTAATATTTTGACTTTACAATGGTTTAACGTTTCACCCAACGACATTTCTGGGGCTTCCTGCCAGAGAGCCTTGGCCAGGTTATGGGTAGGAACTCCTTAAGGGTGGCTTTGGGAGGTGACAGAGGAAAAAAAAAGAAAAAAGAAAAAAGAAAAGCTGGACAGTTTAATTAAAGGCAAGGAAAAGCCTTCAACTATGTTAATAGAGCACTGAGTCCTTGCAGCTGGAGTGATAGGCAGTTGTGAGCTGCTGGACATGGATGCTGGGAACAGAACCTGGGTCCTGGGGAGAGCACTTTGCACTCTTGAACTCTTAAACCCTGAGCCTTCTCCCTCTGTAGTTCCCTTTTCTTGAGAGCACAGATCATCTCCTACCCATTAAGTAATTTTTTTGTTGTTGTTTTGCATGGAGCCTAATCTATGTAGGCCCCCTACTGGCTGCTAGTTCTGAATCTCATGCTTCTGTGAAAATTTGGCTAAACAGGAACTTCTGAGGCTGCAATGGAGAAACGGGGGAGGGGGTGGGGTGGTAGGAGAATGGGGGTGGGGTAGGAGAGTCAGGGTGGGGGCACAAATAAAGCAGATAAAGCCCTGAACATTTACCACCTTTGGGAGAGAGCACTCTACAAAGAGAAGGTGGCAGAGACCGAGGCGGGGAGGGATATTTGGCAGACAAGTTGACTGCGTACCTGCCACTTAGGATGCTCCATATCTGTTTTTAAAAAACAAGCTAGTGTATATTTAATAGCCATACTGAGTTCCCACAATATTTAAAACTTTTACATTTTTATTATTATTTTTTAATATGTATTGGTGTTTTCCTTACATGCTTGTCTGTGTACCACATACATGCCTGGTGCTTTCAGAGGCCTGAAGGGGGCATGGGATCCCCTGGGACTTGAGTTACAGATGGTTGTGAGCAGCCACCTGGGTGTAAGAAACAGAACCAGAGTCCTCTGGAAGAGCAGCCAGTACTCTTAATGGCGGAGCCATCATCTCTGCAGCCCCCATACTACTTTTGGAGGTGCTGGTAAAACAACACCAAGGCAGCTTTGCCCATATTAAGCTCGTAATCTGTCACCGAACTGCACCCCTACCCCAAGCTTGCATAGTTCAGAGAAATGTCATCACTCCCTGATATTTGTTCCCTGTTGGGACATCATTAAAAAACACGTTTGTGACCCAGAGCTCACCCACCCACAGGAATCATCTCCCGCTCCTTCCTGGCACACTGGAGAGCAGGAAGGACCAAAGGGTCCAAGCATGCCCTGGTTCCGTGGGTACTAATTACCGCAGTTCTATCAAATGGGCCTGCAGAGGCAGTCCTTCGAGAGGAGACAGGAGCAGTCCTCTCTGAGCGCACTGGGATGGAGGCCGGCTTCGCCTCCTGTTACCGGTGCCTTATGGCTTAGTTTTGTTGTTTTGGGATTTCATGAAGACTTTGAGTTCAGAAGTACTTCAAGTACAGATTAAATATCATCAATCTGCTTTAGAGGAATATTTTGTTGTTGAAGACAGAAATCTAGACTGTCATTTTCTGAACTTTATAGAGGACACTGAAGCCTGGAGCCAAAGGGCTGCCTGTCACAGAAAGGCAAGGGAGCCCTCCCCTGATTCCACAGGATTCCTTCTCCTGGGCTTGGTCCCCAGCTCTCTCTGGAATGCCACAAGTAACAGCCCCCCCCAGGACTTGTTGATTTTTAGGATTAGGTGCTGGCGGATGGGGAGGCAGACAGGGCCCACTTTAAATGTTCCGTTTTGAACTGGTAGATATAAAATAGCCTTGCCTGGTGACCAGAACTGTAAGAGGCAATGAGGCAGTGAGGTTTCTCTTCGTTGTGACCCACCCGGGTCAACATCTCAAAGGTCTACCTGAGCATATCAGGCAAGTACACATAGCTTTCTTATAGATATTATCTCAGCCGGAATAGTTCTGAATTGACTATCAAGAGGCATATGAGAAATATTGAGTAAAAAGGAAGTCATGAAATGTGCGATAGAAGTAAATTAGTCAAATCGGTGTTTATAGTGTTTTGATTTCCATATCTACAGAAAATGCCCTCCTTGGTCTCTTTGTTTTGCTCACAGCACCCCCTCCTGGCAAGTCTATGTATATGTTCAATTGGAAGAAGAAAGTTGTCAAAGTGGAAGGTAACTGTGGCTTTGCCAAATGGGGTGCAGAAAATAGCATGTAGCTTCCTTAGAGCTGCAGTCTAAGAGGTGGGATTATTGAGCCACAATTCAAGTACTGGGACTTCCACACAGTACCTTGTTAAAGAGCAGTAAAATTATAAAAATAAAGGGAATGGCTTAGGTGAGTTACCATCTAACAGGGGATCAGTGTTCCCCGTCTTACAGAATCTAAAAACATGTCCTTCAAACAAAAAGATGAAATGGATCTTACTACCATCCTCTCCTGGCCTTAATGTGGCAAATATATTTACATAAAGCTCAGTGAAAAGCCAAGGCCACACATTTACAAAAGTGCTACGGAAATGGGTATTAAATATTCTCTCCAGAAAGGAAACCCCTGAACTTGTGGAGTTGCCACTGCTCCCTGCCACTGCAAAGCAAGCAATTATTCATATTGCTAGAGTCAAAGTGCCTTGGAGAAATTGCCTGGGTTAGCAAAATTCACTAACTTCCAAGAAATGTTCAACTAAGTGTATCCACTCATCTCCTTGGGCATCCTAATCTCTGGGATATCAAAACCCCCAAAATATCCACATGGCAGAGGCCATGAGAGTGTGTCCCTGCCTTGGCATGTTGACTTGGTTAGTGTTCACTTATGATGGAAGTCTGTTGCATTTAAAAGTAAAAAGGTGAATAAACATTTGAGACATGGTAGAGAGCTTGACAGCATGTGGCACTTTGGAATTGGGGACCACAAATCATAAACTGCAACTGCAGCCTTTGGTTGAAGAACAATGATGTTTTCCTGCAAAATAGATGGTATGACCCTCTTGTTCTGAATTCCTTTCACTATTGACCTCAAATGAGATGCCAAGCATCTTGTGTTAACGTGGATAATTAAACAGCCTTTGCCAGACTTCATATCCAGGCCTTGATGAAAACCTTTCTCTAAGGGCAGTCTGTACAGGTGAAATGACTGAAGGAGCGAGTAGAGGGTCTATAGGGCTCCCCCTTCTGGAACAAAGTGAAGGAAACAGTTTCTGGAACCCAGAGGTTGGAGTTCTCTTTGGGTATGAGTGATTACAGTGACCAAGAACTAGTGCAATACCCCCCAGATCTGCAGGAGTTCCCCAAACCTCCTACCTTGTGAATTCCTTCCTGATGGCTTGATTGAGAGAATATTCACCCGGACAGAATCTCCCATATGTTATAAACAAAAGCAGCAGCAGCATGAGGCTGTGCACTGAAATGTCTCTGGGAGGAGAGATTTGAAAGTTAACATCTTTGCAGACCCTGTGTATCTACATAGCCATTTCCCTCACAGAGTGTGGTTTAGGGAGCAGGGCATCCATGTTCTGTTAGGATGTATTAGCATAAGGCATGAGCTGGATTAAAGTTTGCATTTACTCTTTGTCTTTTCATTAATTCTTGGAGAACTTCACAGTGTCCTTTGATCATATGCATATACTCACCCAACTCCTCTTAGATCCGCCCACCATCCCTACCCATCCAACTTTGTGTCTTTATTTTTGTTTAACCCATCAAATACAATTTGTGCTGCCCTTATACTCTGGAATGTGTGGCCTTCCGTGGGAGTTTGACCAACCTATCTAGGCCACACTCTTAAAAAAGCAAAAACTGGTTCTCCTCCCACCATCTATCAATTGCCAATAGCTCCTTAGCTAGAAGTGGCATTTCAACACATCTGTATTTGTGTGTTCCTCTATGTTTTATTGCTATTCAGCTTCCAGGTCCACTTTTGGAAAGACTATAATATGTTCATTGAATAGTCTTTATATTTTTGTCAGTAAACCTGATTGGGCCTATTTGTGTAGCTATTTCTGGGCTTTCTTTTCTGTTCCATTGATCTAGGTGTCTATTTCCTTGATCTGCAACTATTGTTTAGACCAACAGCACGCTGCAGTTTCTGCAGCTACATACTACATATTAGAATTACACAGTGTCAGCCTTCCAACTTCATTCTTTTTCAGGATTGATTTTGTTATTCTAGTTGCTTTGTTCCTCTTATCCCTTATTCATTTTGGAACCAGCTTGTTGACATCCATTTTACATAGCATAGGGTATCTGAGCAACGAATCTGCAGATAACTTGGAACACATTGATGCACTGCCCTCTGTGGGTTGATGTGCATAGTGTATTCTTTCTTCTTTCTCTCTTTCTTTCTTTCTTTCTTTCTTTCTTTCTTTCTTTCTTCCTTTTTTTTTTTTTTTTTTTTTTTTTTTTGGTAGAGTTTTGTGGGTTTGGACTTACAGTCCCTGAATGTTTGCTTACATTTTCATTTGAATACTTGGATTTCTTCAATGCTACTATAAACAACATTGTATGTTCAAGTTCAAGTATTCTTTACTACAGGCATGTAGGAATATAACTGCTTTATATTGTATGAGTGTATGTGTGCAGGCTTTCACGTGTGTGTGTGTGTGTGTGTGTGTGTGTGCAAACCAGAACACAACTTCAGGTGTTGCTCCTCCTTTTTTTTTTTTTTTTTTTTTTTTGGTTTTTCAAGGTAAGGGGTTTTCTGTGGCTTTGGAAGCTGTTCTGGAACTAGTTCTGTAGATCAGGCTGGCCTCGAACTCAGAGAGATCCGCCTACTTCTGCCTCCTGAATGCTGGGATTAAAGGTGTGTGCCACCACACCCACTACTCTATTTTCAAGGACAACAGCAATAGCAAAGTTGGAAAACCATGCAATTGCTCACCTGCCCTACCCACCAGTGAGTTGTTAATCTGAAGGAAGGCACGGGTGTTCTGCACAATGACACCAGGGACTGAAGTGTCCCACTGGCTTCAGTCTACATTTGAATCTTTCTTAACTTTCCTGTGTGTTTTATGCATTTCCTGTCAAGGTGCAGTACTCAGAGCACTGGCTACACATGCTTACTGTACCTATGTGACTTTGATGTGTGTGTGGGTGGGTACGGGGTCATTTAAGTCTGCCATGTATGTTTTCAGTGGTTTAGTTGGGGTAATTTAACTACTCTGCTTTTATGAGGAGACTGAAGAAGTTTCTAAGTCAGTGCCTTGTCTTCCCAGAATTTAAATGTGACACTTTAGTAATGCCACAACTCTTTTCTTTGCAAAGGATTTGTTTTAGAATGTGTTCTTTACTTAAGGGAGCTGACTGTTTGCAGGAGATAATGAAGGATTTTTAAGAAGGATGATTCATTGGAGGAGACATTACATACTTTAGAAACACTATTGTAGGTAAAATATCAGTCCAGAATTCAGAGCTGGGAGACATGTATTGACTAGTACTTGCAGAAGGTTCCTCCAGAAACTACCATTAGTATCCACCAGAGATGGGGATGGAGATGGGTACCTTTGATAGAAAGACGCATGGCTGGTGTCTAATTTGGAGAGGTTTGTCTCAGTTACTAAGCTTCATGTTTTATCTAAAAATTTGAAATGGATTTTATGTTGAGCCCCAGAATGTCTGTGTAAACTATGTTGAGTTATTTTCAAACACTGGTCCCTGGGCACAGCCATTGTCTATGAAGAGGTAGCTCTTGGATTTTCATTGCCCTCTGTATTCAGCTGGAGGAGTAGGGTGCCAGGTCTAGTGCTGAACACAGCGTGGAGATGCTTGTGAGTCTGTATGACTGAGCCATCTGAGGTACACTGCTCTGGGCCACTGATTGCAGGCGGTGACAGAACAGTTTTCTTCCTCCAGTCTCTGTCCCACATGTTCTGGCACAGGCTGAGACCTGGGAGGATTTTCCCAAGTGTAGATTGAGATCTCTTACTGTTCCTTCTAAAAGGAAGGTAGAGCCAGGGAAAGCTCAATGTATTCTGACCTGCGCCCACCTTGGGAGTCTCTGTGCATCAAGGCTGCCTGCACCCACCTCAAGGCTGCCTGCATCTGGCTCTCTTTTCTCAGTCTCTCCATGGTCACTCTGAACTTGGCCCTGGATGGTGGCCAAGCCCAGCGCAGGTGGCGTTCTCGTTGTCGGGTAGCCAAAACCTGGAGGTGGGGGTGAGGAGACTACATGATACCAGGGTCAGGACTGGAAAGAGAGGGGCCTTTGGTGTCCCTGCCAACCCAAGAGCCATCATCATTGCTCTCTGCCTTACATTCTGGGGACAAAGAGGGACCTTGTACAGTTAGCACACACTGTGTTGCTGGGGAGGTAATGGGAGATGGAGTAGACACATTTAAAAACTGCTCATGCCCCAAGCCAGAGATTTTGGCCAGGATTGCATCTGGGCATTACAAAGCATAGCTTCACAAGAGAGGCGTGCCCACTGCTGTCCAATCACAGGAGCGGTTGCCTTTGGCATTTGCATAGTAGTTCCTATTAGAGACCTTCAAAGACTGGGAAAGTGATTTTATAGCAGTTTATTTTAGTATGAAATGACCTTTGTATGTCTTGTGTAATAGAAGCATCATGGCTTCCATGCTGTAGTTATGTGCAGGACTAACACTAGCCAAACACCAAACCCATGGGAAATAGTCACCCATTCATTTCTCACTCATCTGTTTACCCATTCCATGCACATTCAGTCCTCAGTCCCTCCCAGCTCTGCTGGACTTCTAAGAAATATAGATCAAGTACTGTGGATTGGGCTTGTGGTTTGTTCTGAGTACTGTGCACCATGGCTGGGTGCACCGGAAACTGGAAGGCAGAGCATCACAGCTTAAGGTGAGCATAGCATGGGTTTGGAGAGTCAAGCCTGATCAGAACTGAGTTCCTCAAAGGCCTCTCAGTTTCTGATACTAGACTAGCTGGCAAAAGAACCCCGCTGATTGCCTCAGACTTGGACCCTGCTGCCTATGCTGAAAGGGGAAGAGAGTCTTGGAAGAAGAAAGGGGAGCTGGGGGCCTGCAGGTGTGTAGAGAGTAGAGCAGTGTCACTTCTCAGAAGCCATGGTGTTGAAGGATTGGGCCAGAGAAGGCACGACACAGGCCTGCACTTGGGACATGGAGACCGCTAAGGTCTGTGTGGAAGCATGGGGAGAGAGTGAAGCTATATATTTTCTGTGTGTGCATTAAAAAGCAAACGATCTAGAAGTTCTCAGAAACTGGGGCCAGGGATTATATTTCTCATTTGCCTCTACATTTTCAAATGCACTCATTACCCTGTGGCTCTGATTTCACCAGGATTAGGGTAAGGAAAGAAGCATAAGAAATTAAAACACACACACACACACACACACACACACAGTGGGACATCAAAAGTACAGCCAATTTTGAACTAAGGTCTGAGCTCCCATCTGCATGGTGGGAACAGAGCAGTTCTGAAACCTCCCGCTCCTGCTCACCCTTTCGGCTTCCTCAGCACTGTCAGGACTACAGGAGCTGCGAGAATGGGGAATGTAGGCTCTGGAGTATTCTTTCCGTTCCAAATCTAGATCCTTGGTTGCATCATGTAAAGACTCAATAAAAAACTGGCTGTCGTGGTTCCTTTTCCAAGCAAAGGCCAGCGCTGCCAAGCAGATCTGGAAGAGAGGTGTCTGGTTGTGCCCCCTCCCACACAGAGCCATCTTCCTGGCCCTGCACTGCCAGCTGACTTCATCTCAGTTCAAAATAGATACCAGAAGTCACTTCCCTGAAGTCCCCAGCACCTGGTCACCAGGTGTGGCCTTCACCAAGATGCCTCTAGGGCACAGCTCCCTAAACTGAAGATGGAGACAAGCGGTTCATCTCTTTGGGGATTTTTCAAATAAGGATTCCAAATACCAGGTTGAGTTGGAGCTTAGCCTGGGCCCTGTCTCCCAGATTTTATCGCATCTAGATCATCAAACTATAAAGAGGGGACTCACATCATCAAAACACACACACTGGTCCCTGTGCTATCCCGTCCCCTGCTGATGAAGGCACCTCTGCCACAGGGGAGTTTCTTACCATGAGTGGCTGGGTGACAAATGCACAGCAGACCACACAGAGAAGCAGCAGATACAGCCACCACACACACTGCTCTGGCACAAACCTGTCCAGAAGAGGGAGGGGTCAGTTGATACCATGGAGTAAGCTACCCTCGAGACAGTTACAGCCAAAGGGCAATGATGTCTTCACTGCTAGGAGGCATGGGGTGTGATTTAGGGGAGGTTGTGGGATGGGTACCAGGTCTGTCTGCCCATCAGGGTCCCTCCCTGTTGAGGGAACAGCAACCTTTCTGACACTTCCCAGCACCAAGAATAAGAGGGCCTGAAATGGAGACCGGGTAGAGCACAGACAAGGCCTTGGGAAGTGCAGGTGGTGGTGTTTTCAGGACTCTGTATTTCACCCCACACCTCTGGATTAAGCAAACTGAGGTGTGAAGAAAATTCTAGTGCCTGTCCTGTCTTCACAAAGCGGTCAGGAATGCAGTTGGGAGAAGAGCCATTTTCAGGAAGAAAGGGCCCCTTCATGGGTTAGGAACATGGTGTAGGCTTTTCTAGAACTATAGGGGTGGCTCTCCCTCTTCAGAGGTGGCTGAAACCACACAGGAGCCAGGTGAAGAGGGAGCGTGTGGGAAGGACTGGTTAGGATCTTCGCTGTATCATCATAGCCCAGCTCAGCAGTATACATTTTTTTTTTTTTTCAAACAACACCAAACAACAAATGGTTGACTTTGGCCAGCACCAGAGTTTTTCCTCTGATGAGCTTAGTGTCAGAATACCACCCATCCCTGCTTTTTGGTGCCCTTCCCCCTTAGCTTCTTGTTTGGTACTCAGGATTCTGTCTATACAGAGCTTCTGTTGAAGACCTGTCTGGGCCGAGTGGCGCTTTGGGGGTTTGTATATGGTTGTATTCACCTTTGGAAGGGATGGAGTACTGGAGAAAACAGTGATATTGGTAACTGTGTATGAGTGCCCTGAAACAGGGGTCTCTTCCCAGATCCTGGACCTCTATCAATACCTGAGGATGTCTAAAATCCTTAACCACTCACCTGTAGCCTAGGAATCCTGTCCCCAAACCACAGGCCAGGGACGCTGACCCACAAATGGCCCAGGCCACAGAGCTTGACCAGGTCAGACAGACTCTTGACCACCGGGGCACAAGTCCTTTAAAAGCACTGCTGGGAGCTAAGAAAGGCCAAGATAGAGAGATCATGCAGGTTAGCAGACTTTGTCATTATCACCCACAGTGTGATGAAAGCTTGTCACCTTGGTTGGGCTAAGGTGTGCTGTCAGGAAGCTACAGAGGACAATAACCATTGAGTAGGTGGGCGGAACAAAGCAGATAGGCCTCCCCATGTGGGTGGGCCTCATTTAATCAGTTGAAAGGCTAAATATAACAAATGGACAAAGAAGGAGTTCCTCTTGCCTGATGATCTTTGAACTGAGATATTGGTCTTTGCCTGATAGACAGGGGTAGCCTTGGGAAATGGACTTGGCCAGTATAGCTGGGTCTTCTTGAGCTGTCATTTCTCTACAGAACCCACAGGCAATTTCTCACTTCTGAGCTCTGGTTTTCCAGCCTGTCTCTCTGCCCAGCATATCTAGCCAGCACTCCTGGGGCAGCCTGCCAACACTAGTACTATTATCGTAAGCTCGTCTAGCTGAGTGCTCATTTAGACATAGAGATGCCTTTTTCCTTCTCCCCTAGGGTGCACTGTGGGCCAGGCATGGCCTTGGTCAGTTGAACACACAGACCTTGCTGATCACTGTCTACAGAGCAGTGTCCACTGCTGCCCAAAGCCTCTGATGACCATTTGTCCACACGTTATGCAGCCCCAGAGACCCAGTTATATGTTGATACCCTGTCCTCCTTCCTACTAGGCCAGTTCAGCAGGACCTTCAATCCCTTCCGTCAGACCAGACAAGGTTAGTTCCCGGGACCCTGGTTCCAGCAGGACTTACTGACTCCACTGGCACAGCCTTCCCTCTTTTTCCCCTCCTTTCTGGCTCAGTGAGCATTTGCCATAATTTGAAGCTGGAGCTGTTACTCTAATTTGCATAGAGCTTTGGCCTTCAAAATATTTAAAGTGTAGGGGTCTCTCACTGACTTTATAAAAGCATTGGATCTGGCTTGTAAGCCAGACTCACTAGGATTGGACTGAAGCCAACTGTCATGGTTTCAGATAGGCCTGGGCTCATACCCAAGCTTGGATTTTAGAGAGAACCAGAATGTTTAGTGACATTTGGACCAAATACATTCTTGTTCCGCCTCTCTGTATGGGCACAGGTCACTGTCCTGTCAGCAGGAATGGGGGGTGGGTACTCAATATAAATAAGGGACTTTACCTTGTGAACTGGGAGGAAGGTGGTGGCTCTTCTCTCTCAGAGCAAGAAAGGATGGACAGACCATAGCGCTACTACTGGCTGCCATCCTCCAAGCTCCGTCAGTCCCTGGAAGAATGTCTGATGCAGGATGCTGGAATTGTGACAAGGTCAGGCCAAGTCAGTGCCACTTTTGCTGCTGCTCATGAAACACCAGAGCCCTTTGCAGCAGCCAGCTCTGAGAGTAGGCATGGTCAGATGGGGGCCAGGTCAAGCACAGGCCTCAGGTGACTTTTAAAGAATGTCATTTTCTGAGTTGTACCTAATCTTACCTAACCTCCATTTTCCTCTCCCTACCATGGGGCAAATGCTGGTGGCCTCCAGGCACCCCCGGGCAGTCAGGCTGATAGATTGCAAAATCCACCAGAGTAAAAATGAGGGCCAGACCCCTGGCAAGTGCTTGGGGTGTGGGTCAGGGGTTCATGTGGCATGCAGAGCAAGTGTGGCTGGAGAGCGCCTTGCATAGGAACAGGGGTGTGGAGCTATGGAGGAGACTAAGGCACTGCCTGGAAAGCGTGGGAATCTGGTAAGCCCCAATGCACCACCACAGAGAAAGCCCCCAAGAGCACCAGTACCACAAGGGCACCAGCATCCCAGCACCCCAAAGGTACCAGCATCCCAGGGCACCAGCACCCCAAAAAGATCCCCAAAGCATAAAGATCCCCAAGGCAAAATCCCAGTGCAATGCAACCACAATGATAACATTGAGAGAGACCTGGCTCCCGAGCCCTATCTACAGCAGTCTCTCCTCCTTCTCTTCCACAGCCCACCAGGATCTCAATGGACACACCTATGGGACTTTCCAGATGCTTGCCTTCCCTGGCCCTACCTAGTTGTCATTCCCACTCCTTGACCTGGGAAATGGCCTACACTCTCCGGAGGACCAGCTCCAGCTGTCCTCTGGATCTAACCATGGCCAGGCCACGACCACAGGAAGATGCCAGGGAAATCCAGTTTTTAGCATCTTATGCTGTAGAGTTATTGACTGCACGTCATGTGGCTTACCTGGAATGACTGCCTCAAACTTGGTCTCCCACTGTGATCAGGGCCTGTTTTGGGGAGGGGGGGACAAATGTGTGACTCTGAACGAGGCACAGCTATGGTACTTTGGGAGCTGCTCTCTCTCTCACCCCCCCCCCCAGAGTGAGCCTGAGCGACAAGGCAGAGCTGAGATGAGAACTTTTGATGTCTCCCTCCTGATACAGGCCTGGGAAAGCCCTCAGCCACCCAGAGCAGGAGAAAATTGTGCAGCTAAAAACTTACAAGATCCTTAAGAGGAAAGAGTGACAAATGGGGCTATCTAAGGTTTTCAAACAGTAATTATTGAAAAGTAGGATTCTGGAGAAGGGATTTACTCCACAGGCAGCCATATTTTTCTGCCATGGGGTGGCTGGCTATCATTCATATGATTCTGGAAATGGCGGGTACAAGATTATTGTCTACAAGGGATGATGGTCCAAGAGAAAAAGTGGCTTTAGACACATCTGGTGATATCTATTTTCAAAGAACAAGACAAACAGAAAGCAGGGATATACTGCCTACTTAAGGGAATGGCTCCCGAGGACCAGTTGATGCCAGGGAAGCTTCTGATTTTAGTTCACCATACCCTGAGGCACCTCTGTCTTCACTCCTCCTAGAGGCCACTGTAACCCAGCCTGTAGATGCCCTGTTGTTTCCTGTGAAGTAAAGAGGTTGGTTGGTAAGGGCACCCCACATCGGGAGTCTCCCCAGGAGCATGGGGCCACACACCTTGCTGAACCTGAAGAGCAGTGACAAGAGTTGTGTGGCTGGGCAGACCAGGAAGGTGCACAGGAGGCAGAGACTGAAGGATTCCAGAGTGGGTCCCACATCCAGGGAGTTCTGCAACCATTCAATTATACCACAATTAATTCCCTCGAGTCCCACCCAAAACACACAGAATTCCAAATGCATTTGATGTGAACATGAATTAGCTAAAGCCCTTTCTCCCAGAGCCTTGCCTCTGCCCCAGGGGTTGAACAAGCCAAAATGCACTTTTCCTCATCCTTGTGAACCAAACAAATGCTAGCTGAGCACGCACAAGACTGATTAAGTCCTGATGACAGTCCTACAATAAGGAGCCAAGAGCTTCAGTATGTCCCCAGCCAAGGACAAGAAGGCATCCTGGATCAGACTACTGGAGGTACCCAGGGAAGCCGAGCTCCCCAGAGAGCATAGCAGGCCTCTCCTGGCCACTTGATCACATTCTTGTCATGTTTTGTTTGTTGTCACCAGTTCTACCAACATATTATCGTTTAAATTCTGCATGTCTTTAAGTGTGATCATATCTGCTGCCATGTAAAGGATTTGCCACACTCTTTGTCCTCTGACAGATGGCTGAACTCAACCTTGACAAAGCTACTATCAGTGTCCCTTCCAGCCATCTGCAGGGCCAGGTGAACTCAGGGGCTGGCCCCATGAGTGATGCTGAATTTATCACAGAAAACAACCTTGGGCTGGAGAGATGGCTCAATGCCTAAGAACACCTGATGCTCTTGCAGCTGATGCTAGTTTGTTTCCTAGCACCCCCATCAGGCAGCTCACAAACAACCTGTCACCCCAGGAGAGGTTTGACCCCCTCCTCTGGACTCTAAGGGTACCCTCCCTGTCCCTCCTTGTCTCACATGTACCCATAATACAAATGATAAAAATATTAAAAAAGATTAGCTTCTTTCCCCTCCCCTGAATATCATGCTGTACAGATGCCAGGATGTGGATTCTCAGAGGGCAGCAGTGTGTTGAGGACTTGCAGACCCTCCCAGCTCTAATTCCAGTCCTGTTCCCTGCTGGCCTACTCCTTACTCTGCTGGACAGCTGCCCCTAGCTTAAGCTCTGAGGTTTGCATGGTAAAAGAAGGACAGGCTGTATGCCTGAGATTTGAAAGTTACTCTGGGAAAATCTGCTGCCTCCCACCTGCTCATGAGCACCCACGGTGACCAGGGCAGCGAGGCATGAGTAGACACAGAGGAGGCAGGAGGACACGGCAAGCCGCTGTGTGTGTAGGTAGCTGCTGGTGGGGGGCTGGCTGTACGGTGAGAGCCAGATGTGGAAATCCTCCAGGTACTCCGTGAACTTGGAATAGAAAAGCTGAAACAGAAAGCACAGGTGTTTTCCCAGACCTGGACACAGGTGTGAGCAGGGTGGAGCCCTGACTGAGAACCAGCAACTTTCAGAAGGAGACTCCAAAAATGTCTTGGCTTTTCTCTTTCAGCTGAAAGCTGGGTAACTCCTGGCCACTGGGTCGGCACAGGCAGAGGCCCCACCCACGTCCTCCTCAGCAACATTGCACTGGACCGTGCCTTCACCACCAGGACTCTGACCCAGTTCAGCCTTCTGCTGAAGCTTCCAAAGGTTTAGTCCCAGCAGCTTCCTGCATCATTTGTGCTGGCACATGGAGACTTCCTCTCGTGGCCTTCCCGCCCACCGTTCCTTCCCTTTCTGATCCCAAGAGACTTTCTAAATCTCTCCATTGTCAGCACTTTCCACAGAAACACCTTCACATTTTAGCTGGGCACTGGCTCCGGGTGCACTGAGAGCTGGGGCTGATCTGCCCTCTCCTCCGCACGCAGCCTTACAAGGTCTACTGCCCGGAAGTTGGTAATATCTTGTGAAATTTATCTGAATTTTAAAATTCTCAATGCAACTTAAGTATTTTTTGGTGCTAAACATTCTAGAAAAGAACTGTTTATAAACAGAACTGAACAGCAAATACAGGAAAAACAGGTTTAATAGACTAAGGATATATCTTTTGCATGTAAATTCCCAAGTGCCCATTGATTCCAGAGACCCAGCCATATGGGTTGACAGACAACTAAATCACTGAAGTCAGATTTCTTACCCAAAGTTCTCAAGCAAGAGCTGGAGGGGAAGCATGGAGATTATTGCCCAAGGGATGTTGCAGTTAAGCAGGGCCTTTGGTTTAAAGTGCTAATTTTTTTTTTTTCTTTCCCATGGCTGTTTGGGAGCAGTTGTTTCCAATTCACATTGGCCATGTTTTCTGCTAAACTGGCAATGCCAGGTACTTCTCTCTATGGTGACAGTGGAAAGAACAAGACCCAGTGGCCAGGAAATGTCAGGTTGGCAAGAAAGTTCAAAGGATAAAAGCACTTGCTGCCAAGGCTGATGGCCTGAGTCCAATCCCCAGGACCCGCATGGTGGAGAGAGGACCAAGTCCTACAGTTCTTGCACCCCTACAGTGCACTGTGACATGGACACACATTCACAAAACCAGTCATTTAAAATGTTATGAAAATTAGAAAAAAGAAATCACTCTTCACAAACCCAAGTCTCAAAGACGCGTCTCTGTGACATTTGCTGTTACAGAAATAAAGGAAGGAGAATTGTGGCTGTAGCATCAGCAAATAATGTACAGTGGGCTATTGTATGGCCTCTAAATTCGTTAAAAGAAAACTCATGAAGAGGTTTATTCTAAAATATAGAATATAAAATGTGAGTGTTAGCAATGAGCCAATGTCCACCAATGGGGAGTTGATGGGAATATTCAGAAATGAAAATTTCATACTTAATCTGATACTAGACAATTCTGGCACTTATCTATCTTCAGACATTAGAGCCATGATCTGTTTGTATTCCGTGACAGAGAAATTGTTTGTGGCACATGAGTTAATAACAAGTCTTTAATTTGGGCCCTCTTGGACACCACCATGCAGAAGTTCTAGAAATGTGTTACTGCTGCTGCTCAAAGACGGCAGAACTGCATTACTGTAGAGATTGCTAAGCAGCAAAGGCAATGATGCACGTTGGCTGGTCAGCTGATCCAAGTGTCATGTCACCTGAGGTGTGATGTGCTGCAGCTATCTCCTCTGAACTGAAACCGCCCCTCTTGGAGGAGGAGGGAGGTGCTAAGACCCAGGGAGCTCAAGAAACAAGAGTCACAAATATTGCTATGAAGAGGATTTACTGGCTGAGCTGCCTGCAAGTAATGCAGAGGCCTGGGACCCATGCTGGGGTTGGCTTTTTAGTGGTATAGCTTCTTTTGAGTCACCCACATCCTTATAAGTCATCCATAAACCAAGTGGCTAACCAAGGTAGACTAGGACGGAGTAATTTCTTTGGTGGGTCGTCAGTCCCTATCAGGAGTGAGTAGTCTTGTTTAACATCTCTCCAGGAGAAGTTAAACAACATGAGTATTTTGATAGTTAGCTACATAACTTTAGGAAATTTCAAGTAGCAACTTTGGAAAGATAAGCAGAAGTGGGCATCAAATAGTACCGGCCAATTAGGTATGTCACCAGTCACCTACATGGGACCTACCTTCCAGAAGCCAAGACCGCGCCGCAGGCAGAAAAGCTCTCTCTGCACACGGCCATCGCATAGGCTCACAGCCAGCCAGCACTGGGCCAAGAAGAACCAGCATTGGCCTGAACATAGGTCTTTCACCATTACGTGACTGATGAACCAGTTTGGGGAAGGTCCACTACTGTCGTGCCAGAGGCGGATCTTCTGCAGTGGTCCCAGTTGGTTAGGAGTGCTAGTGACACATAGAAATGTCTTATCAGCCATGCGTATTCAGTACCTGTAACAATCTCTGGTATGGCCCTTAAGGACAGTGGGCTCCAAGGCCTTCAGGGTCACTCTAATGCACCCTTTATCACCAATTTACTTCTCCCAGTTTCAGTTATTCACCAACAAGCACAAATAGAACATACCTAGTGGGAAATTCTAGAAATAAACAATCTCAAAGTTCTCGAGTCTTATTATATTGTATTGTTATAGCCATTCTGCTTTATTATTACTGATTGATAATCTTGTGCTGCGCCTCACTAATAACTCATACTTTATCTTGGGTTTGGATGTCAAAGAGCAATCAAGTAGGTACAGGGTCCAGTGCTCTCTGCTCATGCCGGGAACCACTGTGTGGCCTGGAACACATATCTAGAAAAGGAATGGCCCCAACTACCTTAAAGCAAGTCACTCAGCTCTCCATATGCCTATTCTGGTGTGAGTTAGCCTGAAGTTAAACTGTACTTTCCTCGTAAAACAATGCTCCAAAATAATAAATATTATCAGCAAATTATAACAAACATTACACATTCCTTTCATGAGAAGAAAAATGACTCCATTATTTTTGTGATTTTTAAGAATGGGAGGTGCTTACACCTCTGCCTTGATAAACGATATCTTCCCTGACTCCCCATCTTTGGGATGCCATGTAGCATTGCTCTTCCAGATTTGGAGTGGTGGCACTAATTAGATTAATCAGGTTTTGTGACATAAAAAAATGCTTATTCTAGGGTCTCTTTTTCACGTTGCTCCTCTGAAGAGGCAGGCAGGTCTTTGTGTCACCTCTCTCTCTCTCTCTCCCTCCCTCCCTCCCTCTCTCCCCCTTCTCTCCTTCCCTTTCTCCCCCTTCTCCCTTTCTCTCCCCATCTCTTCCTCCCTCTCTCCCCCTCTCTCTTCTTTTTTTTCTCTCTCTCAGCCTTTCTCCTCTCTTTCACGACTCCTGTCCCCAAAGGCCAGTTTCCTCCCTCCTCTCCCCACTTTCTCATTTCCTCTCTCAATAAAATTCCCTATGTTAAAAAAAAAATCACTTATTCTAACACACAGGCTTAGTAAGCCTCCACCTTTTTTTCTGCCTTCATACAAACCCCCATCCCCACCCCGACTCCCACACCTCCAGCCCCCCACCCCACCCATGTTAATCTAGCCTATATGTAAGGCATGTGTGTAATTCCAGCCCCAGGGCAGCAGAGTCAGGAGAATTGTTGCAAATCCAAAGCCAGGCTGGTCTACATAGCAAATTTCAGACCTGTTGTGGCTACATAGTAAGACCCTACCTTAAAAGCAAAACCAGAACCTTTCTAAAATTTTAAGTATGTGAAACAGTGTTCATCACTCTCTCTGCTTTATCTTAAGCATGATGTTCAGAAAGCCAAAGTTCCCTATGCAGCATCTTTGGGATACCCATTCTGACCAGCCACTTTCCCAAACCATGAGGTTAGAGGTGTCAGGAGTACCTACCTCAGTATAAAGGTGTGCCTGGAATTCCTTCCAAACAAGGGCATCTCTGGGCAGCAGAGTTCTTTGGTTTCTGAGAGTCCATTTTCACCACATAAAACAATGAAAACCTTTGAACAGACACAGAAATGAGAGCTAAACCCATGTCACTGAGGGTGTGGAGTTCTCCAGAACAATGTTTCTTTGCCCATTCCAGCTCCCTCCTGGCAGGTTCCAGCATTGAGCCCAGGGGCTGGGGGAGCCTGCATGGCTTGCAAAGCCCTCACAGACCAGGGCTGACATCCCACAGTGTAGTCTACTCCACTAGCCAGCCACAAATTTCATCTAGAAAAGTGGGAGCCCTTTGGAACCTCAGCATTTCTATTCCTCAGCAGGGAAGAACTCCACAGAGGGCGGCATCTTCTACCCTAGGGCATGGTGGCTGAACACTGGGCCTATAGAACACCAGAGTGTGGTGAGTACTGGTGGGTGGGATACCCATGTCCATAAGGAGCACCCTAGGGGAGCACATTGGACTGTGCCTATCACTCTCCCTGGTATCTGTCACACAGAAATCTTCAGTTTTGTTGTCCTATAATCTTAATCTTTCTTTCATTAAAATAACATTATTCTCTGCCTTTCTTTCCTTCCATGTCTTCCTTCCTTCCTCCCCCCCCCTCTTCCTTTCTGTCTTTTTTGGTTTATTTTTGTTTCTCAAGACAGGGTTTCTCTGTTAATAGTCCTGGTTGTTCAGAACTCACTCTGTAGACCAGGCTGGCCTCAAACTCACAGAGATCAGCCTACCTCTGCCTTCCAAGTGCTGAGGTTAAAGGAGTGGACCTCTACATCCTGGCCCAATCTCTTGTCTTTCAAATCCTGTCCCAATCCAAAATAATCTTTTGCTTAGAGTAGTCACTATTTTTTTAAAATTATCTTTGTTTATAGACTTCTGAAGTTAATTGTGTATGTAATATCAACTAAAGATTTTATATTGTTTTCTTTTATAGCGTCTAGATATTTTGCTGAACAGCCTCTTTGGTCTACAAGACCTTGACACACACCTGGGTCATTTCTGGGTATGTAACTGTCCCATAAGTGTACTGGCCAACCCTAGACGACATTACACTATGATGGCTCTTGCATGGCTTTCTGGTGGGAGCCATGCCCCTCTTTTTCAGATTGTTAACCCTATACTTATTCTTCTGTGTGCTAGTGTTCCTTTAATATGGACTTTAGAATTAATAATTCCTGTTCCACAAGACATCTTTCTGAAATTGTAATGATTTCATTTGCTTTTAAGGCTTTATATCTTAGTTAGTTAGTAAGTTTCTTTTTTCTTTTCTTTTTTTTCAGTAAAATGGATAGTGTGGCTGGGTGTGACGACACACCTTTAACTCCAGCATTTGGGAAAGAGAGGCAATTGGATTTCTGTGTTCAAGGCCAGCCTAGTCTATACAGCAAGTCCCAGAAGAGCTAGGGTTACATAGTGCAATCCTGTATCAACATACCAGCAAACAAATGCAATCAGAACAAAAACTCAAATAAAATATATAATGTGGATATAGGAATAGACCAATTCACATTGTCATCATTATCATTGTCCTATGGATTTATTTATGATTTATGACAGGGGGAAATTAGTTGTCTCAGCTACTGCATTAAGATTGCTATTTATTTAGGTCTTTTATGAATACTGGGCAAAATCTTCCCATGGTGCTTCTGTACATGTTAGGTGACTTCACCTTCAGGTTCTCATCATTTTGTGACTGTTAGGAGGCTCTTGCTTTTAATTATACACAACGGAAACTACTGACTCTGTATGGATGAGTGGTGTGGTTAACCCCAACCCCGATCACGAACCTAGCAAACATGTCTAACGCATTGGGTCTAATTGTTTTACATTGTTTTTGTACCAGCATGTCAAGAGCACATGGCTCTACCTTCTGGATTTAGGGGAGGCCACACTCACTCCTCATGCCTCTAGTCCTATATAGGTTCCACAAAGCAGACATGATTTTAGAGAAAAGTATCAAGTACATACGGAGAATTCCTGGTGGATTTGTTGGACACATTGCTAACACATGCCTCAGAAAGTTTGTTCCTGTCCTCTGTAGACTTCTCTTCAATAGCTCATCTTCACCTAGGCGTTCCCCTGGGCTGCTAGGCTGGACTTCCTCCTTGAGCCTCCTACCACTTCCTCTTCCTCCCCACCCACAACCTCATCTTCATCTGCCTCTCTATTGAACCCTCTGTCCTTGATCTCTGTCTCTCAACCCAGCCCGTTTCCCCTTAGCCCCAAGGCTAGTCTAGGAACTTCTTGCCCCTTTCTCGCTAGATCCTTCTCAGATGTAGGTCATGGATTCAGTGTTAACTCAGAGAAGCCCAGTCAGTTCTCATCCTTTCAGAGACCCACCCTGAAGAAAGCCATTTGTGAAGCTGTTTTTCACCATGGAGTCAGAAAAGGGGAGGAGAGTCCAGGGGGCAGGAGGTGAGGGTCCTGTCTTTGCCCTTACAAACATGCAGAAGGACAGTGGAAAGGAGAGATAAGCATCACCGCTGACATTAAGATGGGACAGTGGTCACAGGTGACTGATAGATCAGCCAAATCATCTCATTGTCACTTCTTGTGCCTATGAGGCCCATGGACACCCTGAGATCTCACTAAAGGCATTGTTAGGAGCTCATGTTACCTTTGCCGTAAATTGGGCTGGTGACCGGAAGCCAGTGTCAATGATGACTGCATACAGCTGGTGGCCAGGTGGGATATCTTCTTCCAGAAAAATACAGCCAGGTTTCTTTTTCTTGTGACAGTCTACACATCTGCTTTTAGTCATCAAAAATCCATAAAGGATCAAGAAAAACACACTGAAAATACCGGGAAGCAAGTTGCATGGGTGACTGTAAACAAAGGAAGAGGAATTAAGGAAATTTCTCGTGAGAACTGGCATTCAGGAAGATGCATCAGCTCTGCACAAATTCACAAACTCTCATTGGTTTTTATGAACTTGTTAACCCAACACCTGATACTGGTTGAGTGGAAGGGGACTCTAAAAACACAGAGCTGCCTGTTGGCAGACAGGCACCCCACAGTCTACCCTGAACCCCCAAGGAGCCTATGATGATCCAGCTGGGGTGGCAGGAAGCTGCACCCTGTTATGTCTGATGGACTTGTACTGGGGAATTAAAAAAGAATGCCAGGTATGGCTCAGTGGTAGAGTACTTGCCTAGCATATGTGACACTCTGGGTTTAATCATTAGCATGAATGGGGGGAAAAATGGAAGAGAGTAGGAAAGAAAGAAGAATGTCCCTGTATGGACATGCCTCACAGTACCGTTGTGACATTCTGTTCTCTTCCTGCCTCCACCAGCAGAACAAGACAGGAGAAACCCTAGATGTTCCCCTGTGCTTTTTTATCTCCCCATGTCCTGGCAAGCAAGGCTGCTTGCTCCCCACAGGCAGCTTACACTCATCTGGTCCCTGGAACTCATGCACCAAGTCGGCCTGGGAGAGCAATCATCCAGCGCCATCCTCTATAGATTCACAGAGTCACCATGAGAAGCCCCTCCAGCTGAACCTTAACATACTTGGACTTGGGCTATATGGGCATTTGACAAAACTGCAGAGGGCCCATACTGTGTGTGAATGCTACCTTCCTAGTCTGTCTCATTACTCTGACTCTATCTAAAGCTGATGTGCTTGGTCCCAGATCTGTGTCCTCTTTTCTGCTTCCAGACCAGAATCAGAACCAGGTCACCTTTGCTCTCGACCACACTCCATGAACTCATAGCTTCCTAGCTCTAGCCCATCCTTCTTATTCTGACATTACTTCCTGGAAGCACTCAGGTGTCACCAGCGCTTTGGGGTGACTTTGGATGCCATTTTCTGTCCCTATTAGCTCCACTCCCACATTGTTCCTTGTTTATTCACAAATAATACTAGTGTTTCAGAAAACCAGGATGGGAACTACTGTTCTCCAGGCCCTGAGAACTGTTGGCTGGAAACCTTCCCTGGGGTAGCACTGGTCATCAGTAGCTAATGACTACTTGCTACCTATCAGGCCCACACGCTTATCTACTAAATACCATCCATAAGTGGACTACAGTCTCATATTCTACCAATATAGGTGCAAAAAATTATTCAAAGCAGTTTTCCTTCAATGTGCTCATATCCCAAACTCTAAATAAAGTTTTTCAATATGAAACAGTGGCTATGAATACATGGTAATTTTTGAACGTATTTAAAATAGGATAGAGGTTTGTGGAGGTTCGAATAGGAATGGCCTCCATAGACCATGTGTTTAAATCTTGGCCATAGGAAATGGCGCTATTAGGAGGTGCAGCCTTGTTAAAGTAGGTGTGGCTTTGTTGGAGGAGGTATGTCACTAGGGGGTTGGCTTTGAGGTCTCAGAAGCTCAAGCCATGCCCAGTGTACAGTCTCTGCCTGCTCTATGCCAATCAAAATGTAGAACTCTCAGATCCTTCTACAGTGTCATAGCTACCAGTATACCACCATACTTCCCAACACGAAGACAATGAACTAAACTTCTGAAACTATCAGCCAGCCACAATGAAATGTTTTTCCTTTATAAGAGCTGCCGTGGTCATGGTATCTCTTCACAGCTTTAGAAATCCTAACTAAGATGAGGTTGTTATTGAAAATGAGGCTACAATATTCAGTATTAACCAAGAAAAGCAAATTGAGTGCCATTTTCGATTGCTGTAAACATGTACTAAATCAGTAGTAATTGACCCAGTCTACTCTGAAACATAGCTGAGCTTAAAAGTAAGGAAGATACTGGATCCCTGGTGTTTGTAAGGCTCCTGTCAGTAGATGTAAAGTACAAACAGTAATATCACATATAAGACAATCATTCCTCACATCTATGCTCCAGAAAGCAAACATGCCAAGTAACTGTTAACTACAAACTCATTGAGCATGGGCGTCCCTTAAGCGGTCTCTAGAGCACATGAAATGAAACTCTGCTTTGGAGAACGGAACTCACCTCCGAAACACAGAAATGCTGCTCACTTCCAAAGTGGCATTCAGCTTTCTTCTCAGGACAGAGAAAGGCGCAAGGCGATGGTAGCTAAGGGGGAAGGCAGAGCAGAGTAACAAATGTGGGTAAGTTCAGCTCTCTGTGATGGGACAATGAGAAGCTGGAAAAAAAAGAAGTCATTCCAATGTTGTGACGTGGGCCAGTTTGCCATGTCCTCATGTGTAACTCCGATGTACCACAGAGCCTCACAGTCTGGGAATGGAAACTGTCCTGAGATGTCTGGCATCAGGGAACACTGCCCCCTAAAAGGCAGACCCAGTACTGCACAGCCCTGCATGAGACTCAGGTTAGAGGCTCATGATGGACTTATCTTTGCTTAAACACTTGTCCTGGCCTCACAATATCTTCTCATTGCTAAGCCTGTCATGACAAGTATAGTAAATTCTGTTTTTTTGTAAAACAAAACCGCCTTCTCTTTGTCATCCTGCAGGTAGTTTCTGTGTGTTCTTCCTCTGTGACCCTGGCTCTTGGGGAAGAAGTACTATGTAATAGAGAACAACGAACAGCTTCCATGTGTAATTTAATAACAAAGAACACCATAAATTCCCATGGCACAATATTATCATAAAAGTCCACCGCAAAGCAAGATGATGTTGGCACGAAAAGAGACACGGAGGCCAATGGGTTGAAATAGAGAATCTGGTCATAAATCCACACCACTTTGGCCCCCTGATTTTTGACAAAGATACCAAAAGTACACGCTGAAGAAAATACAGCATCTTCAACAAATAGTACTGGAAGAACTGAGTACCTGTGTGCAGAAGAATGAAACTAGGTACTAATCTCGCACCCTCCATGAAAATCAATTCCAAATTTTAAATGTAAAAGCAGAGCTTTAAAACCAATAGAGGGAAAGGTAGAGAGTATTCTGTAAGATACAGGCATATGTAAGGGCTTTCTCAATGGGACTCCAGTCACTCGGGAAATAAAACAAGTGAACTCAATCGTATTTTTATATATTTTGCTACCTTTGGACAGTTTTTTATTTCATTGATCTTTTGTGTGTATATCATGGTTTTCAATTTTGTGGGTCTGTGCGTGTTTCTTGAGCTTTTTTGCTGTTTTATTCTAGTTTGTTGGCTTTTTGTTTGCATGTTTGTTTTCTAAAGAGAACGAAGATGTGGAGTTGGATGTAGAGAGATGGGGACGTTCTGGGAGGAGATGGCAATGGGAAATCTATACATTTTTAGTTAAAAACGACTCTCTCATACACACACACACACACACACACACACACACACACACACACACACACCAAAGTCAAAAACAAACAATTACAATGTAAAAGTAGAAGGGGAACCAGGAGTAGGAGGTGGATAACAGAGGATAATGCCTCCAGATCAGTTCAGTTTGGACATGTTTGACTCCTAGTGGGCAAACACAATATGTGACTCTTTGTGGCTTCATTGTTCTTGAGGGAAAAGACTGTTTCTATACTAATAATTGCTGAGTTTCTACCCAATTGGGAAGGTAAGGGCAGCACAAATAAATGGACTAAACTGATCGTAAGATTGTTAAATCTATGCCTAGGTGATACATAACAGTCACTTTAGCTATCCCAAATGACTAGGAATGCTGCTTGTGTCCATGCAGACTTCTCTTTCCCTGTGAAGCTAACTTTCAGTCCAAGCCCTTGGGCAGGGAACTCCTCTGCTCACAAAGAGATGAACAGCAGCGGCTGTAACAGTGGAGGCTCCGCCTGCCTGACTACAAAGTACATAGTCCCAGGACGCCCTGCGTCTATGGTAACGATCTAATGGATTCATGCTCACTCAGCTGCTGTCTCATTTCACAGTGGGCACTGACAGTGACCTACAACATCCAGTCGTTACAGGTGGCTCCAACAGGATGCCCAGAGAACATCAGTCCCTTTCCTTGAGAGCCACAAGACAGACGTGCAGACAGGTGTAGCAGGCATTTTCTGTTAGGGTAGCATCAATCAAGACTGACCAACTTTCATGAGAGGACACCGTTCACACAAGGCCCCTGGGACTGACACAAATGTGGATGAAAATAGAGCCAGTGAAAGCTCCCGGCTTGTCCCCAGCAGGATGCCCGTACCTGCAGTTGACTTTTTCAGGAGAAGTTCCTGGCTGTGGACAGGGACCTTCGGATCTCCATCCTGTCTTGTCCCAAAGCACACACTGGATCCACTGGAAATTCACGGTGTAGTTTACTGCCCCAGCAAGATATTTGTTTGGAGGTCTTCTGTCATAATCAGCATTCAATAGGGACAAATACCCCACATTGGTCCCTAGAAAAGAGGGGAAAACAATATCAATAAAACGTGAACTTTGCAAGTGGGAGGGCCCCAGGGGACACAGAGATAGAGAAGGACTGAAAAGTACATCAGATTCTGGCCATTTCCTGCTATGGGGTATTTACAGTGAGTTAAACACACCAAGACTTTTCATTTTGAGTGACAGAGTGCCGTGGGGGGGGGGGGCAGTGTTTCTGATGCCACCATGTTCCAAGTCCTTCCTGACATCTAAACAAAGGGGCCCCCTCCCACTCCCTCCCACCCCCTCCCACCACAAAGGATGGAGATAGTTCAGCTCCTCCTTAGCTACCATTCAAGCCATTTCTGCTTCTTCTCAGACCACCCGCCACTCTGTCAAACACGATGCTTCTGTGAACAACACACACACACACACCACATAGCTTTAGCTAATCATCTCCAGATAAGTTTGATGTTTAAAAGTAAAAGTATTTAAAGTTTTCTCCTGGGATTTTGAAATAAATGGTTTGGGGGAAATTAGGTATTAGTTGTGAGAGTGCTTGCTGTGCAAGCATAAAGACATGAGTTCAAATCCCTGTATAAGATGTTTGGTGGAGTTACACATTTCCTTGTAATCTAGTGGTGTGGGGATTGGAGACAAGATGTTGTCTGGGGCTTATGGACACCAGTCTTGTCTCAGGTCCAGGAACAAACCTTGTCTCAAGGGACTAAGGTGGAGAGCCATAAAACAGGATACCCGACATCTTTCTCTGCCTTTTCACACACAGAGATTTGCACACCTGCTGACACATATGGGCATAAACTGCATATACTATACATTTATACCACATGCTCTCTCATACACAATGAATGAATGAATGAATAAAATTGTACCACTCTTCATATTCTATGCAATAATAAATAATTGGTCAGAGAGTTAAAATGTTAAAACACTAACAATGTACCAGTGCTAAAAGACACATAAATGATTTCTCTTAAAACTCAGATATTAGGAATTGATTTCTAACAGTGGCCCCAAATCTAAGAGTCCTCCTCATCAAAGAGACCTTACTTTGTAACATATGCAAGCAACTACAGAAACCCACAACTGGTCAAAACACAGTGTACAAGTGATGGTGGAATGTTCCATCCCAATCAAAGCATCTACAGCTAAGGCTCAAGGAACATTGCAAAAGAATGGTTGGAAAGACTGTAAGAGCCAGGTGACTAGGAAATCCACTTGAGCCTCCTAGAAACATTAGGGACGCTTCATCCACTGACCTTTCAACGGAACAGCAGGTACATAAACTTGTACAGTCTGCTCTTCCCAGAAGTACACCTGCTTCACAAGAAAATCAGTAGGCGTGGCTTTCTTGGAGAACCTGGGGCAAACAAGGAGTGTAGACTTTTCTTATGCACTTTGTGACAACCATACTTTTCCAAACTATTCATGTAAAGAAAATCCCAAGCACCTCCCTCCCTTTTGTCTGTGCTTTGAAGAATTAAGTGGGGGAAAAATCCAGGTTCTTTCAGCAAATAGAAACCTCTTGCCATCCGATGGCTCAATGCCCTTGGCAGATAGAGTCAAGCCAGTGGATTAGGATTCAGCTGTGTGTGGAGGCTATCTGCCCAGCAAATACATAACACTGACACTTGCTCCTGAGTCCCCTCCAGCCAGTGGAGAGTCTCACATGCTTACACAGCTGCCGTGGAACAGCTAACATCTGCCCACACATGGAAACTCCCAGAGCCGCTTCTCCCAGAAGACACTGCCCCTCCCCACCAGCCACTCAGTCACTGCAGTGGCTTCCAACAGTGTTTTCAACCAGAGTCCAGAGAATCTCCAGTAGCCTTTCCACACAGTCTAGCCACTGGCTGAGGCCAATCTAATCTCACATACTCAGTGTCACCGAGAAAGAGAATTAACTTACCAAGTCTCTATGGAAATATAAAATATAATACATTTTCTCCTGGGGGGGGAGAAAAGAAGCAAGCGAGGGAGGGAACAATAGAACAATCTTGTCCAGGTCTGTACTGTGGTGTTATCAGACTTCCAAATGATGCCATACTATGTATGACTGAAACTCGGGTGTTTCTCACTCTAGGCAACAGGCAGGAATCTAACATTTGAAAAGGATGGGAGCTCATTTTCTAAACAGATACACATACTTCGTACATGTAGGCACACATATAATTTTCTTTAGACAATGACCCTTATTATTGCTTTGAAGCTGATTCACCCATTTGTTCACAAAAACCCTCAAGGACACTCCAACATGTTATAATCTCATTTCCACCACCGTAGCTGCCACCCTCACACACCTTACTAACAGCATGATGGGGAAGGCTCTTGTACTGGGCTTAGAGAATCTGATGTGTATCTGTAAGGTTTCCTGGGGTCTTTCAGCAAGCCCAGTGAACTGGTGGAGGTTTACTTCATCCCGTCTCAACGTGAACATGGTTGGATTTCTCTTGTGCTGTTTGTCAGAAAGAGAGCAAGTCAGGCGTGTTGTCTTGGGACAGTGGATGCATTAGAAAACAGCCAGCCCAGCTTAAATAGCGGATCAGCTGTCTTTACCTGGTGGTTTTCCTCTCCAAACTCCACAGTCACAGGTGTCTCCAGTCGTCCTCTGAGAATTGGGCGTCTGCTCTTGCAGCTGTAAAGCCGAGGGCTTACCACACCACCCACCTTGGGGAACAAAGGAAATGAAGCCAACAGTTGAGTCGAAGGTGAAAAGCAGATAGGCACAGCAGCACACACCTTTAATCCCAGCACTCCCTGGAGGCAGAGGCAGATGGATCTCTGTGAGTTCGAGACCAGCCTGGTCTACATAGTGAGTTCCAGGATAGCTGGGCTGTGTGAAGAGACCCCGTCGCAACAATCAAATGAACAAACAAACAAAATGAAAACAAAGAGAGGTGAAGAAAAGCAGGTGGTTATTGGAGTCATACTGTCTTCCAGTTCTGATCAAACAAAATGAGTTTAATGAGATAGATTGGCAGGATTTTTGTGGATGGGGGAGGGAGGCCTTAATGCTCCTTGTATGCTTTCCTTGCCAAAATGATAATTTTAAGTAAAAAACAAATGTTACGCACCCTTATAAAAAGAAGTATTTGTGATGGGCGTGGTAGTGCAAGCCTTTCGTCACAGCACTCAGGAGGCAGGGACGGGTTGGTCTCTGTGACTCCGATGGCTACATAGTGAGACCCTGTCTTATTTTTTTTTCTTTTAAAGAAGGAGAAGAAGGAGGACAAGGAAGAGGAGGTAGAGAAGGAAGAGGTGAAGGAGGAAGAGGAGGAGAGGGAGAAGAGGAGGGGCCCCACTTGGCTGAGCTGGGTGGGAAGGCAGGGATGATCACTGTGCACACCACTTTCTGCCTTTCCTGACCCATGTGATCCACAGACCCAGGAGCACCTGTGGATTCTGGATGCAGATGCTCACAGCAAATTGTGAAGACCTTGGAACCCTGCTTGACTTCCACAGCCCTAACCTCGGACAGATCTCACACACACCTCTTCATTAGCATGGCCTCTGTTCTGTTCTGTTCTGTTCTGTTCTGTTCTGTTCTGTTCTGTTCTGTTCTGTTCTGTTCTGTGTGAACTCCATGTTGATTGTAGGACCACTCCACCACAAGCTCTGGCCCTCTACTCTCTGACACAGATTAGGCCCCATGGTGAACACTGCAGAGAATCCTATCAGAGACCAATGAGCCCTAGTTCTGCTAAGATTTTCCTGGAGAAATGTGTAAAGACAAAAGACCAAGAATAAAAACAGAAATCCTGATACTTGAAAGATCAGGCCATGATCTTCAGGAGCCTGACTTCAGACACCTGGGGCAACTCAGGCAAACAACTCCTAATGACCTATGGTACCTTAGCCCAAATGGCCAGTGTCAAAAGAACAATTTGTACTGGAAGCTGTACTAATTAACAAGACTGTGAGAAGCCCGCCCACCTACCCAGAAATGGACACTTTATAAACACCTCAGGAGTAAGGCTAAGCACTTCCCCCATGGACTTGCCCACAGAGCCTGTGGTATGGTCTAATAACTCTTCTCTTTCTCTGTCTGGTCTTGTCCCTGGAAAATACATTTTCCACCTTCTGTCACCAGTCTTCTATAGGCCACCCTGGATACAGCAAGAGTTATCTCTAGCCACTTCAAAAATGGCTTCTCTTTGGAAGCAAGGACAATGTGCAAGAGTTCCAACCTACTTTCCTTTTTTTTTTTAATGTAAGTCGAGTTACTGAAAATTTGAAAGCGCCACTAGAAGGGGCAGAGGCCACAAGCTGTACCTGTCCAGGAACTGGTCCCATTGGATAAGGACTGCTCATAAAGGCCATGAGCTGGCTGATGTAGCACTGGCTGTGTGATTCCTCTTGAACTGGACTGTGCAAGACCAGGTCAGCAGGGAAGTGAACCCAGATGAAGCCCAGGTTCTGGACAGAACTCTGGAAGCTGTGATGGACAATGGTCCAGAACTCCATCTGCCCAGTGCTTATGTGAAGCTGATGCTGGTGGCTCAAGGAGAGACAGGTCTGCAAACACAGGAGGGAGAGGAGGATGCTCTCAAGATGGATGAGCAAATGGATACAAAACACAATAGGCAATGGTACTAAAGACACAAATGACTTTTTCCCAGTTCTGGTGCATCTCACTGATATTTAATTTATTTTTTAAAAATTGCTATGCTCTTGGTGCTTCCTAGTTCATAAGAAGAGTTTTGACAGTATGATTGCTTTTCAAACCTTTAGGTGGGTTGGTATGTGCACAAGCCTGAGCTTTAGTACAGGTTCAGATGGAAGACATTTTCACATGTGCATGTGAACAACAGTACAAACTGCCAGACTCAAATATAGTATTTGTTGGGAACCAGCAGTCTGCTGACCCCGCCCCCTACTGACGGGTGGGATGTTCATGGCCTCGTCTTATCTACAACATGACTTATCTGGCTGCTCAAGCTTTATGTGGCTGCCAGGGGACTCACTTACACATGAGCAAATTTCCCTTTTAAAGCAAGCGTGCCAAGCACGCCTCTCTCTCTTTCTCTCTCTCTTGCTCTTTCTCTCTTGCTCTCTCTCTTTCTCTCTTGCTCTCTCTCTTTCTCTCTCCTCTCTCTCTCTCCCCTGCTTTCGGTTGGCCACCAGCTACCCCCCCTTCTCTCCCCTCTATCAATAAACTCCATGTGGGCTCTGAGTCTCGTGTTTGTGTTTCATAGGCAATAGCTGCAGCAAAAGAACAACAGTATTAGTTGCTCTATAATTTCCAAAATGTTTTGATAGCTCTAGTTAAATAAACCTGCAAGCGTGCGTGGAAGGGATGGCAGACGGGGGGAAGGGGAGAAAAACATCTAATATTAACTGACTGCTTCCTTAGAACATTGGCCATTTCACAAGATTAAAATAAAATATCCAAGACAACTTCTCAAAACCACTGGAGCAGAAATATAAATAGATAAAATAGACATCTGTTTTTTTTTTTTTTTTAACAGCTATGGATCAGCAGTGCCACTTTGGAATCTAATGTGTGCAAGCCATCTTTTGTGTGACTTCATATCATTTTTCGGAAAACAAAGTATGCCCCAAATCCCAAATGGAAAACTATCAGAACACTGGACACAGAACACTACTGTCACAAAACACGTAACATTCCAGGTGAACATTTCCAAACACTGAGCCACCACCCAGAACCATAGCTCATCTCTTCAGGAACTAACTCTAATATTAAGTGGGGAAAGTGATGTAAATATTGGCTAACATGTGATAAGGGAGCAGCTGTTTGTTTTGTCTGTTGGTTTGGTGTGTGTGTGTGTGTCTATGTCTGTGTGTCTGTTGGGGATGGAATCAAGTGTCTTATGCATACAGAGCACATATTCTTCCACTGAGCAGCACCAGGCCTGTGGTTGCATTCTGCAGGTGGATAGAACATCTTACCAGTAACATGTCGGAGATGATCTTCATACCTTCTTCTTGCAGATAGTCCTCACTTCTCATGTCTTCTTTGGCAGCTTCCCAGACTCCAGAGATGAGAAGGATAAATTCAACTCCCAGTTTTTTGTTGACCAGTAGCTTCCTGGAGAGCTGACCTTGAGCGAGGAGCCCCTGGGCATGTTTGAGGATGTGCATGGCACTCGTCAAGCTCAGCTGCATGGGAAGAGGGCATGCGGTCAGGTGTTCCCTGACATGTGGTGTGTACACTCTTGCTTCTTTCTCTGTTACTAGGGATCAAAACGACTCAACGTGGGAACAAGACAACAGAATCCAGCTCATGTATGGTGTTAGGTGGTGAGTGGACACCATTCCCAGCAAGAATTTGATCTAGGATGTTTAGCTTCTCCACTGATACAATGGCCAAAGAAAAGCATAAGGTCTTTTATAGCCCTTTCTGCTTTAACATGGTATGCATTTTTTAAAAGCATGTCATAAATCCTTGAACATATTGACCCCAATATCACTCCATAGCCTCCATTCTCTCCGTCACCCATGTGTGGTCTGTGCTCAAGCTGCACTGAACTTTTATCATCCCCCAATAACCAAGGTTCACCCCCCAATGTCATGCATATTCCTCCACCAGTAATACCCTTGCCCTCTGCTTGGCTAGCAAACCCCTCCTTTTCAGCTTCCCTCTGTATAAGCCTTCACCATACACTTCTGAATGCTTGTCAAGGCAGAGAGGGTGGGCTAGTATCACCACACACCTGTTGCCCACCTTAGAGAGTTATTCTTTACTAGTAACACTTAAGAAATTAGCATCCATTTATTAATTCTTTGAGAATTTTATGTATGGATACTATGTATTTTGATCTCATCCCCCACCCACACCTTCACCTAATTCATCTACTTACTTCTTCCCAGTCCAGCTTGTGTTGCCTATGTATTAATGGGCGTGGGATCATCCATCAGAGTATGATCCATCTACCAGGGGCCACACCTTTAAAGAAAACTGATTTTCCCGTCCGCAATAACCATCAACTATCCGCAGAGCTCAGCCAGGATGCATACTCATAAGCCCCTCCCTTTTCCAGGCAGCATTATTCTTCCATTCCCTCTTTAGACTTATATATATATATATATATATATATATATATATATATATATAATCTGCAAAGGTGTTCACTATGCTACAGTTAAGAGCCACAATTTAGTGGTTTATTTAGTAAACCTTATTTAGTAAACCAACAACTCCTAACATACTGGGGATAACCTAACTGTTGCCTGTGCTGCAGAGGAATTGTGACCCTCTCCTAATAACACCTCAGGCAGGCATAAGGTGAGCTCTGTCATGTCCACCCTCCTGGCCTTCTGGGGAGTCACGTCTGGGCAAAAACTCCATACTCCAGGCCCTGGAGTCCAGGTGAGGCCATGTGTGCATCAGTCATCAGGAAAATGTGTGGGATGGGATTTGTTACTTTCAGGGTGACATTAACTGACATGTGGCACACCCTATCTGTGTTCTTCTCCCCTGAATTGGGGAGCCAAAAACTACAGATGTCAGCTGCATGATAATGAGGGAGGGGGAGGTTGAGTCTCCATGAGGAGATCATTCACAAAATGCTTTCTCTGTGTTCAGTTACTCGGACACCAGGGCTTTTATTATTGCAGCTAACATTACCACAGCTTATCCTAGGAGAATTAAAATTAGAAGACAGATGTGCCCCAAATCCCGGTGCAAGTGCTATGTTTATGTGGAGTCAAATGAACCTGTCATCAGATCCCTGAGGGTTTCATGGGGATTATGGAATTTGAAACCAGATTTGATGAGAAACCAATATTTTCAAAGGAGAAGAAATAATCTGTTCCATGTTAGGAGAAAACTTGCCATTTCAGGAGCATGAGAAACATCTAGAGTGGCAGAACATAGAAGAGGTGGTGTGCAAGGGGAGGTACAGAGATAATGAGCTGGGCCAGGTAAGGTCCTTGTGTGCTGTGTGGAGAATCTGAACATTATCTATATGTGGGGAGCCATCAGGCATATTGAGTAGCAGGTGACATGACCAGATGTGTTTTATGAAGGGAGATCTGTAAAAGATCAGCTATATGGTCAAGGGAAGTCCTGCTTCTTACCCAGATGTGGTATAATTGGTAATCACTATTGAGATGAAGAAGAGACTTAAAGAATGGGAAATAGGGGACAGGGCCACCAGTGTCTGTCACTCATTTTACTACTGTCTCTCTATCATCGAGACACTCCCACTCCAGTGACAGAAAGCAAACACATAAAGAAATACACAAGACAGCTGCTGTGTACAAAACCATCAAAGGAGAGAGCCCAGACAGTAAGGAGAGATGGTGCAAGGTGACAGTGATGCCTGTGAGGAGGAAACAGTGTCTGGACCATTTTCCGTTCTCTGCTGAGCCAAAGGCAGCACACAATAGGACAAGGCCAACTACCCTGGTTATCGGCTAGAATAATACAAGAGTGTGGTTGGTTGAAGGACCCAGGTGAAGAAAGTGTAAGTAGGAAGGAGACAAAGCATGCAGGCTATGGTGAGATCTTTGCGTGTTCCTCAATGTGAACACAAAGCTGTGGAATGGTATTAAGAGAGAGGAGGTGACTAACTGATTTAGGCTTTCCCACAAGGCTCTGACTGGTGCTGCGGCAAATGTTATCAAGGAGATAGGAAGGAAGCAGAGAGTGTTGAGAGAGACACCAACTTGGATGGTCTTGTAGGTCAGTGGGGAGCGGTCGAGATGGAAGACAGGGAGATTCCAGTTACATCTTTATTGTTGTTGTTTTGTTTTTTTGAGACAGGGTTTCTCTATATTGCTTTAGAGCTTGTCCTGGAACTAGCTCTGTAGACCAGGCTGGCCTCAAACTCAAGGAGATCTGCCTGCCTCTGTCTCCTTAGTTCTGGGATCAAAGGCGTGAGCCACCAACGCCAAGCTCAGTTACATTTTTTTAAATAATAACTGACTAGTTCAGTTATATTTGATGGATGCAGACATCAAAGGATGCGTAGGTGACCTTGGTGTTTTGTCTCTATTCTGGGTAGTTGTGCTGTCCTGTCTTGTGTCAAAGGAAGCAGGAAGAAAATGGAGTGGCTCTCAACTTGGAAATGCGAGGCTGGTTTACAGCACATGAGAGAAGGCTGGGCCAAGGGTGTGGAATGCACAGTCTGATATAATTACATCAGTTTCAGACTAAGACTAGAAGAGGTCTCCAGGAGAGAATGTTGGAGAAGTTCAACACGAACCATGTCAACATGTCAGGGAGGAGGCAACTGGAGAGCCAAGGATGGCAACCAAAAGCTGAGTTATGAGGACTTGAAATGAGATCCCCCTCTCTCCCACACACACCATGGCATGTCCTGTGAAGGAAAGAAAGAGGATAAGAGCTGTCTAGTAGAATTGAAAGGATGGAGAATCCTTCAGCTTCAGCACTAAGAATATGCAAAGCCATTGCAACAAGTAAAGCTGCAGGACAGACAGCAAGCATTGACACAGCAAACCCAAGCACCGCCTCAATGCTCTTCTCTAAAGAGGTGCCTAGCAGTGAGAGCTGCTGGAAGAGGTTGGGCATTACTAAGTGGATATTTAAAGAAATAAGTGGGAGTCATAACGTACCTTGAGATCATCTAGAAGAGGGATAAAAGAAGTAGCCAATCATGGACAACCTAAGGAGATAAACCCTGGAGAACAGTATGACCCAGATGAAACTACCAGCACCAGCCAGTTAGGTTGGACATGTTCCCAACTTCAGGGACATCAGTCACACACACACACACACACACACACACACACACACACACACACAGGACAGAGGCTAGACTGGGGCTGTTCAGAGTGGTTGTGGGTAGGTTTCTGAGCACAGGTGAAGTGAAAATGCTTGCTGGGAGTCCTGAATTTTATTTTCTAGAGACAGGGTATGAAGACAGATGTAACTGCAGTAAGATTTTATGATTGGTGGCAACGAGGGAGGCCCATGGGTTCTTTTGTCATCTCTCAAAGAACAGCACAGTGAAGACACCTACTGAAGGACTCCAGGGAATGTCAAAGATTTGAGAAAACAAACAGGCACGGCCATGAGAAAATCCAACACCACATTAGCAATAAAGAAGAATCCGCTCACCAAAGCAATTCATACTGATTGATACCCCTTTCCACTTCTATTCTGCATGAAGAAAAGGTCTTCAGGCATGCCTCGAGGTAGATAATGCTGTTCAGAGGAGCATTTAGGAGAAAGTGCTGTCTCTAATCTCAATGTCAAAATAAAATTATGAATCGTATATTTATCAAGTCTTGATCATGACATTTATAATTGTGCAAAATCCAGGAGACTAACACCAAGAAAAAAAATAACCCTTACCTTATTAGGGAAGTTTATGAGGTCCCTCAATATATGAATAGAATCCATCATTGCTTCCTAAACAGCAGAAACATGCCAACAAATGGGGAATGGGGGGAAAGAGAGAGAGAGAGAGAGATTGTCATTACTTCAAATGCAACTTGCTTAGGGAGAAATGGAGCATATAATGTGTTTTTCTATGAAGAGGCTTCCTAGAGGCCAGCCTTTTTGTAGCAAGATCATGACCTTTGTCTCGAAGTTTTCTTCTAGTCCAGCACGACTCTGATGTGTCTCTGGTCAGGCTCACTAGACCCTAGCAGGAAACTGACACAATAGAAGTTGAAATAAAGGACAGGACTAAATAGATCTTTGAAGAAGGGGAAGAGAAAATGTCAGAGGAAGGAAAATGATTAGGTCTAGTAGAATGAGTATCTTGTAATTCTATTGAAATGTTCTCTAACAACCATTATAAAGCAGAGTTGCAGAGATGCTGTATTTGAGGCAGGAAAGATGGTTCTGTGGTTGAGCATACTGCCTGCTTTTCTAGAGGACCAAAGTTCAATTCCCAGCACCCAAATGGCTCCAGTTCCAGGGGATCCAATGCTTGTGCCTGGCCTCCATGAGCACCAGGTATGCAGATATACACATAGGCAAAATAACCATGCACATAAAAGAAATAAATCTTTAAAAACATTGACATTTACAAAAAAAAGAAATGGCATAGCATTTTGACATTATCCTTCAGTTTATGGTTGTTAACAGAAAAAAAAATCAAACTTATGCATGATTTTTGTCATAAAACATTGAGAGAATTATCCATAATGATAATAAACTTGTATCACTCTTTCTATTATAAAGCAGAAACATGCACAGGACCTTAGTGGCCTGCATACCTTGCCCCTTTCCTGCCTGGACGGTAGGAGCAGGAGTCCTTGCTGAGAAGCCTGATTTCAGAGGACTGCTGCTATCCTGCTCAGGGCCATACCTGGTCTGTAAAAGGTACTTTGCATGCTGAAGAAATCAATACATCCTGTATCTGTGACCACAGGCCACATGTAGATGTGTTTCTGCTCTCCACATACAAACGGGTCAGGATTGCAGTGGTCATGGCAATGTAGTTCATGACTTCCGTGTAACTCCCCACCAGCTGGAGAGAAGACAGGGTTTCCAGGGTGTAGTTGTATCTGAAGGAAACACAGAACTAATTGTGATGGTTTGACAAGATTGTAAGACTTTACTATACCAAAGGTGGAGTGGAATTTGTTCTTGAGTGTGTCTTAACCAAAAGGGAATGGCAAAACACAATTGGACATGTTACTAAAATCCTAGTAACACATCACCTTTGATTAGAATTGAAAAACACAGCATGTCAAACAGATTCCAATATATAAGCATCATGACAAATTAAGGAATGTGACCCAGAGCTAAAGACACAGTGGCTATAGCTGGCTGAAGCTACGTAGGCAGCCTAACCATTAAGAGCTCATTGTGTACAGACTCAAATTAGAGGGAAAAGATATATCATATTTGCAGCAGTGTACAAAAATCACAGGTTTATGACTTCAGATTTTATTAATTGGGTGTTTTACTTATCTATGAGTGGAATGATAAGTTTATTTGCAGCTGGAAAGGCCACCTCATGTCTTAGGGCTCTGTGCATTGGGCCGATGCCTTCTCCAGCCCTTGTTCTACACTGTCTTCATATGACTGTAAGACGCCATTTACTTGAATAACTCAGCTGAATCTCCAAAAGTAAAACAAACTCCAACTAAATAAAAATGCATGGTGAGCAATGAATCACATACTAAGCAATATGCCATGTTGACTAAAGACTGTAGGAGCCAGGTGAAAGAGAAAACACACAAATGAGTCTGAGAAGAAATAGCACAGATTACACAATTATGGAAATTATGTTTACAGACTTAGTCTCCTACAGTCAATAATCATACAAACAAAACACAAAGCAAACAAAAGCAGCCCCAGGAAGCCTCAGAAAACCAGTCCCATACACAGAGAGGCAGAATATATTATACAGAAGGTGCAGTTTTCAATGAAATCTTATGAGACTGCCAAACAAACTTTAAAGCCTGACTCAAACACAGGAAAAAAGAGTAGACAACAGGAGCTTCCTGTGAGAAAACCCAAATGATGGATTGATCAAAGACTTCAAAGCAGGAATCATAAATACATTCAAAGAACTAAACACAGATAATTTTGAAAATTAAATAAGGGTATTATGGTGACTGATCAAATATAGAACAGCAATGAAGGAAAGCTACACATTTTCTATAAAATTAAATGGAATTTCTGGAGCTCTGTGTACATTAACAACAACGAAAATTCACTGTAGAATTTGAAAAGTGAATTTGAGAAAAGCATCTGTGAATCTGGGGACCAAACAATAGAGATAATGAACAACAAACAGAAAAATAGGAAGAAAATAAACAGGGTTGTAGAAATTCTGGGTAGCAAGTTCGCACAAAGTATACTTTTTCTTTCTTTGTTTAACAAATCCATTGTGTAAGATAATGTCTATAAAATGCTATGGTTGAGAAGCAGAGATGCACAATTAAGCACTGAGCCAAACTCTTGGAATCCAGTTTCAAAGAGGGAGAAGTGACTAACAAAGGGCTCGAGACCATGCTGGGAAAACCCACAGAAACAACTGACCTGAGCAAGTGGGAACTCATGGACCCCAATCTAACGGCTGGGGAACAAACATAGGACCAAACCAGGCCCCCTGAACGTGGGTGTCAGCTGGGGGAATGTGCAGTCTATGGGGCCTCTGGCAGTGGAACCAGGATGTATCTCTAGTGCACGAACAGACTTTGGGAACCCATTTCCCGTAGAGGGATACTTTCTTAGCATAGAGACACGGGGGAGGGCCTAGGCCCTACCCAAAATGATTTGACAGATTTTGATGATCCCTCATGGAAGGCCTCACTCTCCCTAGGGAGTGGAAGGGGGATGGGATGTCGGTGGGGGTATGGCAGGATTGGAGGGAGAGGGAACTGTAATTGATATGTAAAATAAGATTGTTTCTAATTTAAATAAAATGTATTAATAAGAAAAATGCTATGGTTGAATCTCTAACAAGTAGGCATCAGTTCAGACAGATGCCTTAGGGAACCTAGAATGGTTATACTTTTATCGGCTAAAAATAAAAGAACTGGGAGCAAGTTTTAATGATCAAGAGGGAGAGATTCTAATCATAAAATGGTCCAACTCACCAGAAAGGTAAAAGTTATATCATTGGTCAAAGTGTGAAGAGCAAGGGAAGGAGCCCTCATCTGTGTTAACCGCATCATTTCAAGGCCTAGGAAACACAGTGGGAGAGGAGGCAGAGAGAAGGCAAGAGCTGGAGGATGGGGAGGAGACCTGTGAAGTGCTGTTCTCTGGACAGGACGGTCACAAGCATGAAAGTACAGCAACTGAGATTACCCGTACAAGACCTACACAAGATCAAGCCAAGCGCAGCCCCAGCATAGATGGGTAGATGGCCTCAGCTCTACCCCTGGCTAAGGAGTTGTTGGCAGTGGAAAGTTGCTGGGGAGGGAGACTTATTCTTTTTTCAGGATATGGCCACTCAGAGGATTCCCATGCTCCAGTTGTCAACCCCACCCCCCATGGACAGCACTAACTTATACTTGGTGGGTTGTTAGAAAAGAAAGATATAAAGTAGGGGGCATATTGGGGCATAAGGAGAGAATTGGAGGGGGAGTTTGGTCAGAGATATTTTTATTGTATACAAAATGAAATCCTGAAAAACTTTAAAAGCTTAAAACCCTGGTGCACAAACATTCACGATGCATTGTTAAATAGTGAATGCCTTATCACATTATAATGTGTGCACAATTGCCCAAAGACTTAACACTGTGGAGTTGTACGAAACAGTTATGAATACATAGGGAATCTAACAAGAGAAAAGAAACTGATGGTACTGGAGGGGCAGGGAGGACTTCAGAGCTAGTAATGCTATCTAAAAATAATGGACAAAATAACAGCAAGAGATCAACAAAGTGTGTAAGACTCAAAATGAATGTGATCAAACACATTATATATGACTACATTAAAGAATAGTAAATTATTTATTATATATTTTATGCATATGGGTATTTTGCCTGTGTGTGTGTGTGTGTGTGTGTGTGTGTGTGTGTGTGTCTGTGTATCATGTGTGTGCCTGGTGCATTTGGAAGTCAGAAGAGGGCATTAGATCACCTGTAACTGGAGTTATAGGTGGTTGTAAGCCAACATGTGGGCACTGGAAATAAAATCCCAGTCCTTTGCAAGAGCTACAAGTGCTCTTAACTGCTGAGCCATCTCTCTAGCCCCCAAAGAATACATTTTTTAAAAATATTCACAAAAATAATCTTGGAGCCAGAGAGATGACTCAGTAGGTAAAGATACTTTTTATGCAAGCCTGACGTGAGTTTAATTCTTAGAACCTAGGCAGAGGTGGGAAGAACAGATTCTACAGAGTTGTCCTCTGACCTGCATGTATGTACCATGGCATGAAATGAGAGTTAGGAAATGCACTTTAGCATTTATGGATTGTCCCAGTTTGCTTTCTGTTGCTGTGATAAAACACTAACCAAAACAACTTGGGGAGGATAGGGTTCATTTCATCTGACAACTTCCATGTCACAGTCCATTATGGAGGGGATTTAGGACAGGCACTCAAGGCAGGAACCTGGAGGCAGGAACTGAAGTGGAGTGGAGGAAGAACACCACTCACTTGCTTGCTCCCCATAGCTTGCTTAGTCTGCTTTCTTATATAACCCAAGACCATGGGCCCAGTGTAAGAGTTGGACACCATCCACAGTTGGCTGAGCCTTTGCACATCAATCATTAAGCATGTGAATGTCCCAAGGCCCAATTAGATGGAGACATTCTCTCAAGGTTTTGTCTTCCCAGATGACTTCAGTTGGAACTGAGTTGACACAAAAACTAAGTCCCACACAGTCAGCACAGAGGAAAATCACCTCAGCCAGTGCTGGTAGGAATGGCAAGAGGTGCAGCCCCTCTGGAGAAGTGCTAAGCAAGAAGTATCATATGACCCAGGGATTCTACCCACGAGAAATGAAAATGCTCACCAAATCTCACAGAAGAACCTTCAGAACAATCTGACTTACAGACAAAAAAATAGGCAGTGTCATATGTTCAATGAGTAAACAAATAGAGGCAGTAGGATAAATATGATTGAGTAATTTAAAAATGAGGTGCTGATGGTACTGGCTGAAATTCAGCAATATTCAGGTGTGAAATGGAGAGTATATTTTTCATCATTCTGTTGCCATGAAATTTCTAAAATATACAAATCTTCAGGCACAAATATTTTGGTTTTGGGGATTGGGAGGTAGGAGTTGGGACTGATGATTCAGGAGTGACTACTGTTAGTACAAAAATGTTATGATAACCAAATAGCCCCAAACTAAAGGCTACATTGCTCTGTAAGTGTGAAGAATTTCAAAAGATAAGCTATGTAATGTATAAATGATACCTCAATTAAACTGTTGAATGGATAGATGGCTCAGTGGTTAAGACCACTTGCTGCTTTTCCAGAAGACCCCAATTCAGTTTTCAGAACTATATAGGTGGCTCATACAGTCCTCTACTCCAACTTCAGGAGTTCAATGTCTTCTTTGAGGGCTCTCAGGTAACCCCACTATGCTCTCAAAGATGCATAAATAAAATAAATCTTAAAAATATGTTTTAGAAAGAAAGAAAGAGCCTCATACAGGTCCTGGGTAGTCTTTGCTTTTGCCCAGCAAGAGAGGAGCAATTTGTGTTGTTCTTTTAGGAGTTCTTTGCCATCTCCCCAGGGAATATAACCTCTGTTCTAGGATGTCTTTGTTGCACCCTGTTACTTACAGGTCCTTGTCCGGGCAGGCATTTCCATGGTAACGGGGTAGCACGGTCACTTCCACAGTGCATGGCTGCACCTTGGAGCCTTGGCCATCTGTGATCTCAGTAGAAACAATGACTGTGAAGGAATATGACAGAGGAGAGTCATCCCAGACACCAGCTGTGGAGAAGTGTCTTCATACACCATCACCAGCTGAGTAGTAGAGGTAAGGTGATGGAGAATGGGATGTGGGCAAAATTCAGGCAAGCTATTTTCCCTCCCACATTATACAACACTGAGGATACCAACAAATCTGTAAATATAATGTCTGTTAAGCAAAACCATGAGCTGTAGTGGTGAAGTTTTTTGTTTGTTTGTTTGGTTTTTTTTTTTTTTTTTTGCTTTTAAAGATTTATTGTATTAAAAATAGATTTTTCATACAATATATTTTGATTACTCTTACCCTCCCCCAATCCCTCTTAGATCCTCCCCACCCACCCACCCAAATTCACATTCTTTCTTGATCTTTCTCTCACTAGAAAACAATTAAGCATCTGAAAAAGAAAGAAATCAAAGAATAAGAAAAGTAAAAACAAAAAACGAATAGACAAAAAAAAAAAAATCTGAAAGAAGGCCCCTCCCAAAGCAGAAGAAACACATATTGATTGAGAGAACCGATCTATAAGGTTAAAAAGAAAGAGAGAAGGGAGGAAAAAAGAAAAAGGGAAGGAAGAAAGAAAGAAAACGAAAGCAGACAAAGCTACATTCAATGCTCAGTATTGCTCAGCCATACAGAGAGGCTCCCTCTTGCAGTAGAGGGGAATAAGTACAGAGACCCACAACTGGAAACTGTGCAGAGTGAGAGACCTTGGAACATTCAGTCCTACATGGGAGGACTCCATCAGATCCTTCCCCTCAGGGCTCAGGGAACCCTGTGGAAGAGGAGGCAGAAAGAGTGTAAGAGCCAGAGATGATGGAGGACACGGAGGAAACAAGGCCTTCTAGACACAACAGGGCTGTTGCACATACAAACTCCCAGTCACCGTGGCAGCATGCACAGGGCTGCACAGGTCTAAGCCAGGTGCATCTCAGTGCTGAGAGGGGAAGTGGACACACGCCTCCATCCCTAACCCAGAAGTTATCTCCAATTGATAACTGCTTGTAAATGAAAATTTAGTTCAACAGAGACTCACTGGGCCCCATGCCCAGGAGCAGATAACCAACACAAACAAATTTGAAGAATTTTTTGAGTTTTTTTCTTATAAAATTTATTTTTAATTATGTGTGTGTATATGTCGGGGGTATGCACATGTGAGTGCAGGTGGTCTTGATGGCCAGAAGAGTGTACTGGATGTCCTGGAGTTGGAGCTACAGGAAGAATCAAACTCAGGTCTTCTTCAAGAGCGGTGCATGCTCTTAACCACTGAGCTATCTCTTCTGCCCCATGGCTATGGATTGTTTACCAGGAATTCAAAAACAAGGCAAGGTATGAGAAAAGACCTCAAGATTCTTCTGTCCTGGGAAGACCTCACAGCCCAACCTAAGATCTGAATGCCATAGTAAGGTCAATGAGTGCTCATCAGGTAGGGGTCAGGGGGGTGTTACAGAGGGCAGATGCCATCACCGTGTGATGCAGAAAGTGGGACTAAGTCATCATCCATTCACAAGGTCATGGTAGGTAGGACCATTTCTGCCCTCCAGGATGTCCCTGTCTACAAAAACCTTAGAAGTGCTGAAATGCAGTACCAGGGTCATGTGGAGTGTAATCCTGACTCTGCAATGGATGGACCTAGGAATCCCCTCACATAACAAAGGCTCAAAGGTGTGATGACACCTGCTGGTGATGTTGGGGCCTGGGTGATGGCCACAGGTAGAGTTGTGGGTATCACACAGGAAGATCAGCACATATGTTAACCCTGGGTATCTACATAGTAGATGCAACTTGAAATCCACTATTAAAGGCTGGAGACTTAACTTGGATGACAGTTCTTTTTAGGAAGTGAGCTCTGGACATGTATAATCCAATCACTAAGAAGGCAAAATTCTGGGATCTACCTTCCCCCAAGATTCTGAGCCAGTAGTTACTATGAGAACCCCTGAAACTACCAGTTTTAATAAGTACCCCACTGTAGATAATGTACTGTGAATCAAGAGAGAGGATGGGAGAAAAGGAGTGGGTTTTAGATAAGACTTAATTTGATGTAATGACTGTGTCATATTCACTCCTGCAAAAGATGGGACAAGATAAGGAACATTTATTTTGCTTAACTGCTCCTATTTATCCTGTTATAAATTATGAATCCAGATAGTCACTGGAATCTAATATAACACCAGTTACCAGTACTTATCATATGTATGAAGGATTTGAACAACATTTAACTGACACTGTTCCAGGCCTGTGACCTAAGATCTGGACCTATAGATTTATGTCAAGACATTCTTCATTCCAACATAGTGCCTGATTCAAGGTCTTCTATTTAGACATCTGTCTAGCTCTGAGAACTATGGCTGTCTGGTGGAAAGAGGTTCTCATGCCCCTACATGCAGCTCTCAGGTAAGGAACATGTCAGGTGTTAAGTAACTTGCACCATAAGAGGGATGCTTCTTGTGGTTTGTCTTTATCTAAGGCAAGTGCTATTATGACCCAGCTCTAGCCACCCCCAAGAAGCAGGTGCTTGGCCTGAGCAAAATTTCCAGAAGGCAGATGAATACAATTTTAGCATTTGAAGATTTATGGATGGAAAACCCATGAATACCACCTTTATCTAATCAGCAATGCCTACTATGCTGGCTAGTGTGTTTGCTTGGCTTTAGAAAAACTCAAGTTCAGATGCAAATATAAAACTATCATCATGCTAATCAGAACATAATTCCAAAGCTCAGAGAAGTTTGCTCAGTGTGACTTGAGCCTGGGAGCAAGCGGAGGTCTGGAGGACATGGAAAAGTTGTCAGCAAGAAAGTATTTTGTTGACTTTAAAGGGGAAGGGAGATTCAAGTACATCATTTTACTATCTCAAATCAAAGAAACTTCTACATTACTGGCTTTCATTCATACCTATACATTGGAATCACATAGAAGTTTAAAAATAAAAGTAAAATACAGGTCATTCCCCATTAACCAGACTGGCTTGTGTGAAAGCAGACACTTTGTCACATCCTTTATGAGCAACATTAGGTGACACCAGGTCTCATGTGCTGAATTGGGCTTAAGGGACAGTGCTTGGGATAGAAAGCTATTGTCACCACAGACTTCATTGGGATTGGGATTCCTGTCATTCAGATCTGCAACATCTTCCAGAGGTCCATGTATTTAAGGGTTAGTGTTTAGCTTAACACTGTTGTAAGTTAGTGGAACCTTTCAAAGATAGGACCCAGTGTGAGGTCTTCTGTTCATGGGGGACATTCTATCAAAGAGGACACAAAGAAGAAACTTAAATGTTACAGGGATTGCCACTTTGCTCACTCAACAGTCTTCCACATTTTGTTTTTTGGAGGGAATATCTTAATTTGTTTTCATCTACAATAAGTTCAAAATTCAGAAGATATGAGCTCTTTAATTAGTAAATAGGATTCCCTATTCTTGCATATATTAATCAAATATAAGATCACATATAATCACATACATATATCTTTTAATACTTATTATCAATATTTTGATTGAAATTGGAGATATGAAAATCCTAATTTGCTGATGATGTCCCTAGTATTCTTTCTGTATTAAAAGGCAGGTAAAGAGCCTAAATTCACTGAGGTAAATAAATGATTTTAATTTCTAGGTCCCTCTAGTAATTTGTAATTGTTAGAAACCAGGAGAAATTGTTTGAAGGGATAAGTAGGCATACTTAGCCACACGGTTGACACTGTGACTTACCTTTGTAATTGTCCGAGGTCTCACCAGCTGGCAAGAAAAAGTAGTACTGGGTATCTCGTCCACGGTACAGGGTGTGTGAAGTGTTTCCTATGTAGTAGCGAAATTCGTAATGAAAGTCCTATGATCCAATCCATGGGAGGAAAAAAATAAATAAAAGGGAAACTGAACACACTGTGGATGGAATCACCAATCAATGCAACACACCTCCACCCTCATGGCCACTGCTGGTTATGTTTTGTAGCCCAGCCCAGGCTGCCTGCATCATCCTCAGCACACACAAAAGGGAGAGGCCTCCTGGCACTATAGGGCTCGTCTGCTCTTAGCCAAAGGGCTTTTCATATGAAGCAGGATTTTGCACTTGGGTCAGGTAGCTCTCTTGTCTTTGGAGCCCCTAACACAGTGGTTCTCAACCTGTAAGTCGTGACCAACCCCCTTCTCTGTACATGAGGGAAGATTCCTGAGAAGGAACGTGGGAAGAACAGAACAGATGGTGTCCATAGCCAGAGGACTGTGACTGAAAATTCACAGCCCCATACTGTGCCGCCATCTGACTTCAAAGGGGCCCTTAGTCCCTTCACACCTCATTCTCCTCAGATCCTCACAAGACCCTCTTCAAAAATGCAGAGTGACTTTTTACACTGTCTAAATTAGGACAAAGAGGTCAAGTGTAGGTCACAGACATGTCCTGCTGAGGGAGTTAGGACTCAGGCTGAGTCCCCTACCAGCAACTTGTATGCTCATAGGTAACAGAACTTCCTGAATTTGCAGCAAAGCCCTGCAAGGATCCTCTCTTTCTGATGAGGAGGCTGCTCTTACTAGTAGGAGAAACCCCCATTCATGCAGATATGACCTTCCCACATTGCTGGGCAGGCCCAGCCCTGCAGCCCACCAGCAAAGAACTCCTTCCAAGAGCTGTGGTTGCTTGAACCCCTTGGGATAGACAAGGGTTCTGACATACCGGTTTCCCTGACATGCAGAAGACACTGAAGATGGTATGTGCCTCCAGACCACTGTGGGGTTGCACCTGACAAGACATGTCCTGTGGAACTTGGTTGACCGTTATGTAGAGCTGAGCTTTGCCTACTAAGGCATGCTTTGAAGCTAAGAGAAGGACAGAATGGGGATTTCAGCCAGCATAGAGAATAAGAGTGGAGAATATGTATGTATGTATGTATGTATGTATGTATGTATGCATGCATGTAAATGCATACATATAATACACACACATCACACACACAAACATACACACTTCCCATATCCTCAATGTCCTCAGCTTATGTCTAGAATCTGCCGTAAACATGTATCTGAGAATTCTCTAGGCAGATGTAGCACAACAGATGTAATCGTTACTTTCCAGTTACTAAACACCATGTTGCGTACTTTTTGCTCTATTAATCACCTTACAATACTTATTATCATTTACAATTTTTAAAAAAGTAATATACTGTTAGGATAAATTATGGGCTGGGGCTTTCTATAGTATAGCACATTGTCAAAAATCTTCATCAGGTCCTACGGGGACTGTTTTTGTGGCCACTGGCAGGCAGAACACTCTGCCTGTGCTTCCTGTTTAACAGTGATTTGACAATACTGGCCACAGAGAACAGGCCCTTCAACACAAGTGAAATCCAAGAGGACACAGTGATTAGTTCTGCCTGGCTGACCAGCCAAATCCCCGCAAAAGAAGCAAGCCAACAACCCTGGGGTATGAATAGCTTGGCAGACATGGGGCAAGAGTATTCCCCCAAAATAACACAAGGAAGGACTGCCACACTGCACCGTGCGTGATGGAGGGCACACGGGAGTGACGCTGTTAGGGAGGCTTTGGGTGGGCTAACTGATGGACAGCTGAGCAGGACACCTGGCACCTGAGCTCAGCTCTCCCAGGTGGGAGAGCTGGGGACCGTGGGAAGACTCTCAGGAATCTCCTGTGTAAAGAAGATGCATGGCTTAAGAGAATGGCTTTTAGTTTGTTCCTTGGTGGATTTCAAAACTGGGGTGGGGTGGGGAGGTGGCACATGAGCTACTGAGAAGCAAAGGTATCCCTTATAATAGAAGCAAGCATTATCCCTGTGTGGGCAGAAGCAGGGACCAAGGCCTTGGTGTCTAGACAGGGCAGGCGGAGACTCACAGCATCGGGAGGCTCCAGAGCCATTCAGTGAAACATCAGGAAACAGCCTTGGGGGGATGTATGGAAACCCAGGAGGCAAAACTGGAAGCGCAATTCCCTCAGCCTCCCAGCTGCTGCTATGATAGCTAGGCCACTGTGCTTGGCTCATGCAAAATGCAGATGAAGAATTGATCCTGCATATCAGTTGAATCTTCTGTGTTTGTTAAATGGGAATGAAAGTCTCCAGAAATGGAAGGAATGTTTAGAAGTTATCCAAAAGAATGCTTTCAGATTGAGTCATGGGAATGCAGGGAGAGTTGTGGGGCACTGAGCAGGATAAGCCTGTGGATAAGTCCCAGCCCACGTGGAACACTCACAAAAATGGCAATAACACATGGTTGGGATTATATATATGCAGGGAAGGTGACCTGCTCAGGTGTGGCAGTTTGAATGTAATTGGCCTCCATAATCTCATAGGTAGAGGCACTGGTAGGAGGTATGGCCTTGTTGGAGGAAGTGTGTCACCGTGGGGGCGGGCTTTGAGGTTTCCTATGCTTAAGATACTGTCCAGTGTGTCAGTCGACTCCCTGTTACCTGCAAGATGTAAGACTATCAGCTACTCTAGCACCAGGTCTGCCTGCATGCCGCCATGCCTCCTGCCATGATGATAATGGACTGAACCTCTGAAACTGTAAGCCAGCCACCCTGATTAAATGTTTTCCATTATAAGAGTTGCTGTGGTCATGGTGACTCTGCACAGCAATGAAAACCCTAACTAAGACATTAGGTATCTAATAAAAAAAAAAAGTCAAATATACAAGAGGGACAGTAAGTGATGGTTGTTTAGCCTGTTCTAAACATGCACCTGGTTCCATGAGGAAGGAGAGCATCACAGCAACTAATGTGAGTAACAAATAATGGGATAGGCAGCGGGAGAGAAGGGAGAGGTGAGGCCTAGAGCAAGGTGTGGCAGTGCAGAGTCACTGCTATTTCTAGGAAAAGAAAATATGATAATGACCAAAGCCTTCATGGTTCCCCACACCAGATCCAACTTGTACCTAGACATACCTACAGAGGCCTGTAAGACATACATCTCGCCACTGCTCAGTGAGAATGGTTTTATTGTCAAAGCTGGTCCCATGATACCTACAAAAGAGAAGGTGTCCACATGAAAATGGCAGTCAGCGGGCCCCCAGGGGCGAAGCAATAATATTGCGGTGGTTTGAATAGGCTATGGCCCCCCATAGCTGCATGTGGGAGCGACACTATTAGGAGGTATAGCCTTGTTAGAGGAGGTGTGTGTGGCCTCGTGGGAGGAAGTGTTTCACTATGGGGGTGGACTTTGAGGTCTCATATGCTCAAGCTATTCACAGTGTGGGATACAGCCTCTTTCTGCTGCCTGTGGATCATGATATAGAACTCTGTTACCTTTCCAGCACCATGTCTGCCTGCATGCTGCCATGTTTCTCACCATGAGAATGTGGACTAAACCTCTGAAACTGTAAGCCAGTCCCAATTAAATGTTTTTCTTTATGAGAGCTGCTGTGGTCATAGTGTCTCGTCACAGCAATAGAGACCCTACGACACATGTTCTGTTCATATTTGGGAAGGACACTTGTCTGTGGGTTACCAGCCTTCTTTGAGGAGCCCAAATTCCTATTTGCAGGCCATCCTCACCCAGTGGAAACAGTATTGAGGTACACCAGTCACCCTTAGCTCAGAAATGAGGTAGATTTCCCTACCAACAAGAGAATGCTGATAAGATCTCTTCTTGTACATTAACAATAAGCTCAGTGTTCGAGTTTTTTATTTTATAAATTTGACTTATCTGTTAAAGTATCATTGACATAATAAGTTTTTGTAGAATTTTGGTTTTGAAAAAAAATTTATTTTATTTATTATGTATACAGTGTTCTGCCTAAATGTGTGCTTGCACGCCAGAAGAGGGCACTGGATCTCATTACAGATGGTTGTGAGCCATCATGTGGTTGCTGGGAGTTGAACTCAGAACCTCTGGAAGAGAAGACAGTGCTCATAACCTCTCTCCAGCCCAGATATGAAAATTTTTTTATCTCTTCTCCTGCAAGAGTCAGCTGGATCATCCTGCTTAGCCTTCCTCAAAATTGGGAGAGCTCCAAGATACAAGACAAGTGATTGGAGAGAGAAAGGAGAAAATCCCCTTAAAAATAGCATGAAATACATAGCCTCCCCAAAAGGCTTATGGGGGTGACCTACGCACATGTAATACTCAGAAAGGCAGTGACCTACCAGAGCAGACAAACCAACATGCCTGTGCTGGGGGAGACAGGTTAAAAATTCCTTTTCCTCACAGGGCCAGCTTTACTTATCCATTCATGTAAATGGAACATCTGCTTTATACAGGAGCTTAGAGACGGGCAGATGCCACATGATGGGGTGCCACCAGAACTGAAGCTCCCTGCTGATCTGCAGCTAGAGACTCCTAGGGGACAGCTGCAGCTAGCATCGTCCTTAGAGAAGGATCCATGGACTGGTCCACAGAGGGACAAACATGAACAGAAAAGGCTAGGTGGTTCCACTCATCCATTAAGATAAAAGACTTGGGAGAACTTGAGGGCTGATTCCAAACTCTTCTGAAATGGCTATTAATCCAGGGTGCAAGGAGCATGTTCATACCTGAGGAGGTGTAGTCGTGGAAGATGGCTTGGCTGACCAGGGTCTTGGGCCAGTCGATCATGAAATCTGGCTTTGCTCTGCCTGTGTGGAGGAAAGGGCCTAGCAGGTTGTCCCCATCACTGGCACTCTCCTCGGCATCCATGCTTGGTCCTGATTCCTGGAAGTTGGTGCTGGTTCCTAGGAAGATAAATCATGGCACAGGAGAGAAAGGGAAAGGTCGCAGTCTTGTGAAACATGAACGCTTCAAGGTTGATGCTAATCCCATGTCTGTGGTTGCCAGATATGGTACATCTAAAACAATGCCTTTAGTACGTGTGCGTATTCAAGAACTGTACCTTAGTGTCTTCTAATCAGCCTCCTTTCAGTACCTTCCCCATCTCTCCCCTCCTTGATCCTTTCCTTTCCCCTCCTGCCCTCGTATTCCTTCCACCCTTCCACCTTGTGATCTGGAATTTCATAATTCAGTCAGGTAATGATAAATGACAGGAAAAACACAGCAGATTCGCAGAGAAAGCAGGTGGGAGGACTTCTGTTGTGGGAGGGGGAAGGGGGGGTCCTGTTGGAGCAGTGGGCAAAGGATGTGTTCAGGGAAGATCTGGAGGAAGTTTCCAGACCGAGTAGAAACCAAGTGTGGTGGGAATGGTCCTCTGTGGGCAGCTGAAGAAACAGAATGGAGCCCAGAAGGTGGGTAGTGAGGCTGAGACATGCCTGCCTGTGGCCACCAATAGAAACCTTTGCCTTGAAAATGGCAGGATGCCACCAGTGGCCAGAGGAAACTGACCACCTAGTTTGTGTCTGAGAAAGTTCCCTGGATGCCTTGTAGACATGTGACTGCAGGCAGCAGGCTATGACTGCAGAAATCGACTATGCAGTCTGGGGAGGAATGGCATGGGGCAATGCTAGACCTACTGAAGACTTCAAAGGAGACCACAGAAACAAGACATGGTACCAAAAATCCTTGAGGAATTAGGCTGACTCATGGCAGAAAGTCATGCTAGGAACAGGATAAGTCTATTTTGTCCATTTGCTATTATGATTTGGCACCTGCCATGCATAAGCAGGACCCCCGAAGGAGACCTGTGTATGCATTATAAATTATAATTTTTCTGTATGATTTTTATGGCTTGAATTTGTAGTTATCCTCACAGGTCCATGTTAAATGGTTGGTCCCCAGCTGGCTGTGCCTTTTCTGGAGGTTCTGGAAAGCTTGGAAGGTAGAACCTAGCTGTGAAAAGGGGGTGGGTCCTTGGTGGTGTGCTGTCCTTAGTCCCTTCCTATTTGGCCTGTTTTCTGTCCACCATAGAGAAAACCTCCTTTATACACACTCACACTGATAAGACTTTCTACCAGGAGCATGGAGCCATAAACCAAACCCTGGAAAACCGTGAGGCAAAACTGGTGACAGGAATTGCCAACCAATGCAATCAGGTCTCAGTGTCCTACAAATACACAAAACAGCAGCAAAACTTGCCTTTCTGGCAAGAAAGAGGCCACCCGTCCTGACCTAACCAGTCCCTACTGATAGCGAGGGCCTAGTCAGGAGCAGATCCCACCTGCTCCATGGCCAGCACGCCCACCCCACAACCCCCCATCCTGCTGTACACTCTGGGCAACAGTCCTCTCCTTACTCGCCACAGAGCCAGGTGATTAGGTACCAAAGCTGTACGAGGCATCATTTCCTCTGTCCACAGCCTACTGGAATTACTCAGACTGCCAGATCCTGAAGGACATACTGCCTATCATGTTCCTCTCTTTGAAAACCTAATGTGGCTAGGGCTCATGGTCCTGTCAGGTTTTCTCACAAGGCCCCGAGTGGTGGGCCACATGTTTGTCCCTAGAACCTGTGACCATAACACACTTTGTTTTTCAGGTCTCTCTTCTCTTCCTCCCAAGACGGCCTATGAACAGCATCCCACAGAAAGAAGTATGACACACAGGAGGGAACAAGAGGGGCTGAGGAAACCCTAAGTCAGAAGCAGCTGAAGAAAGCCCTGCAGTGAATCAGAGGACCAACAGAACTCAACCATTTAATCTCTCAAAAGATACACCAACCATTCTGCTCTGTCAACAAACGAATCTCCTGCCCATTCCTTTGGTAGATACAGCATGCTCCTGTCACCCATCTGTTCACTAGACAGGTAGAGCCAGTGTTCGGTCTGTCTGTTCTTCAGAAACATAGATCATCAACCATACACCTGTTTACATGATACAATTATCCCGTGTTCACCAATGCACTGGGCACCACAATGGTTCTGGGGATACGAGAATGAGCGAGCGTGAAGCTTTTGTGAAGATGTCAGGTGTATATGGGACAGACACAGTAAGACATCATTGGTTCAGAAGCCACCTGCTTAGAAGAGATAGCAGTGGAAACTGAACTGACAGGAGTCATCATAGTGCCGAGGGAGAATTCAGTGTGGAGGGAGAGGGATGAGCAAGAAGGTAAGGTGGAAAGAGCCCTCGGGGAGACCTAGCCGATGGTCACCATGCCAGGCACCTCGGGTCTGGATTGCCTACTGTTGTGCCTGAGACCACTGGGAGTTTGGAAGCTCAAGGTTTGCAGCAGTAAGTCAGGCAGGGGTGAGGTCTGTGCTGTGGAGAGAGGCTTGCAGTATCCATTTCAAGACTCCCTAGGGGAGTTTTAGGTGGTCTTGATGAAGGGACAAACATGAAGAATCCAGGAGGGCTGCTGCATAGTGAGTCTGTGTGCAGGACTCTTCTACAGGGGGACAGTCATAAAAGTGTTTACCTGGCTGTCTTCCTAGGGATGGCACATCTTCTTGGATGTCATTATAATAGGCTTCAAAATCTATACAAGAGGGAAAAAATGACATTTTGTTTGAAGACACAATTAGTGAGTGCTGAAGGCTATAGACTAGAGCCCCTCACACCAAGATCCTGCAAGGCCGAAGGAATAGAATGTCATGATCCTGTAGAGTTTTCAGATCAGAACCAAACTATCCAAACCATTTTAGTCCCCTAAAAGTGTCATCATTATCCACTCCCACTAAACATCTTTTTGACTATTGGTAAAACCTTTAAAATGTGTTCTTAGCAGAGAACTATTTGCTACCAATCCACAGCTAAAAATGTTGTCAGTCTAGAACCTAGATGACTGTTCCCACACATGACTGTAAGCCACTAATTGGTGGTTCCCACACACACAATGTATTTGATACAATTTTCTTTGTTGTATAATGTAACCACTTCCACTGTGGAAAACATACTTAAGGGCAATATTTATCTGTGTCCCTGGACCACCATCACTCATATTTGGGTCAAGAATAAATATCTCTAAGCTGGGTCTCAGTGGCACGTGTCAAAATGCCAGTGCTTGAACAGTAAAGACGGGAGGACCAGGAATTCAAGCTTAGCTACAGAGGGAACTGGAGGCCTGGGCTCTGCATTGAGTATGAACAAAGGTGGGAGTGACTTCAATCTGTCCCCTTTGATTCACTCCTTCCCAGATACCTACATATAAGAAACAGTGTGTGGCACTTACCGTCAAAGGCAGGGGAGGAGCCGGAAGGCGGCCAGCTTCCCTCTGGGGTGCTCATCATCAAAGTTTGTTCACCTGAGGAACCTAGTGCTGGACTCATTGAGCCGTAGTCCTCCATAGGTTCCCCTGAACCTGCCAGGGGACCCGCCAAGGGGATGTGGTGGCCACCTGCTGTGAACTCTCTGGAGGTGCTCCCCAGGTTGGGAAGAGCTGTCCAGCTCAGGGGCCTGGATGACTGCTCTGGTGAGTGCGGTGTCTGTGATCTTCTGGGGCCTGACTGAGACAACTTCAGAAGGGCCCCAAATGCCGAAGAACCCAGCAGCCCCACAGTGCTGCAGAAAGGGACTTAAACACAAGTGACAGGGTTAAAATTCCACGCTGAAAATACAAAATATCGGTCTTTTAAAAATATACAGGCTATGGGGTCACTGCAAGATGGCTCAGCTAGTTAGTAAAGGTGCTTGCTGCTGAAACTTGGTGATCTTAATCTAATATCCTGAAGTTTGTAATGGTGGCTAACCTCCACATGTGCACTGTGGCATCCCATCAACACCCACATACCATACACACACATATACACACCCACCACACACACCACACAGATACACACACATACCACACACAGATCACACACCCCGAGACACATACACACCATTCTCACACAATACAGCACATACACACCCCCACACCACACAAACACACACACACATACACCACACCACATGCACCACACTTACACACACAATAAAACACATGTACACACATAATGTACACACACACACCATTCCCACACAATACAGCACGTATACACACCCCACACTACACACACACCACACACATACACACATAATACACACATACACCATACACACCACTCCCACACAATACAGCACATATACACCCCCCATACCACACACAAACACACACACACCACACACATATACCATACACACCACTCCCACACAATACAGCACATATATACACCACACTCACACAAACAGACGCATGCACACATACCATGCACATATACCCATACCACTCCCACACAATACAGCACATACACACATCTCACACCACACACACACACACCACAACATACACACGTGACACACACACATACACAATACAGCACTGCACACCCCCATACATAAACATACCACACACACACACACACACACACACACACACACCACACAGAGACACACATACACACAAACACACACAACACCTTAAAAACATATACAGGTTACATAAGCATGTCTTCTTGGGAGATGAAGGAATTCTCTGTGAGCTTGGAGTGACCATAGCCATCACAGGGCTGAGGCTGCTGCAGTCATGCAAACACAAGAAACAAAACAACAGGGAAAGTGGTCTTGGCTGCAAAGCTCCCTAGTAGAAGCAGGGATGCAGCCATGGGATTCTCACCCAAGATTCCAGCCATTTCTCCCAATTGTAAGTTGTCTGGGGGTGGGCACTAGAGTGCATAGGGTGGGGCTGCAGTGTGGCAGCTGTCACAGTCATCGTACACATGCGTTTGGGTGACGCATCTGTTTCTACATCCCCTGCGCTCCTGTCACTAACCCTTCAGCGATGCCCCTGACTTGAGTAGACTGTCCATCATTGGTGCATCTTGTGCCCTATCTGGGGTGAATGAACACATCTTCTCAGGAAACACTATACTATTTTAAAGAGCCATGGAAACCTGATGCTCGGATCGAGGTCCTGGCACATGGCTCTGGCCCGGCGCTGTGAAGCCAATGCATGACCTAAATGTGTACAAGTGAGAAAAGGATCTCCCAGTCCTTCCCTGGAGCAAGCTCTTGCCAGTCTATGTTCAGACTAGAGGGTCACCCTACCAGGTTCTACAAGCCACGGTGTGAATGAGTGGCATTGTATTCTGGAAGCAATTTCTGCTAGTCATCATTCCCCTCCCTGATAAGGAGGATTCAGTAAATAATTCTAAAAAGTCTCACTAGGAATTATGATAAAGGAGCAAGGACAGAAAAAAAATCACAGATGAAAAATCCGCTTTTAAAAGGCAGCTTTTGTTTTGACCAGGACAGACCCCTCCGCCTGTGTCTTCTAAGGTGCCCCTGACAGTGAACTAGTGGTTTGTTTCCCCGTGTTCCTTGAACTGCTGTAAGAGGGGGTGCCTGAGACCATAGACTCCCCCCTCTTCCCCGCTGGCCCCAGGTCCTTCTGATCAGCCTGGTGGATTTCTTCAGACATCCTGACATGCAGGAGTTACACCCTAGTGAGGCACCTTCCTTACTTCCCAGAATGCCTCACATCACTGAGTAACTGCCGGTCACACCCTGTGCTCTTTCTACTGACCAATGCAGTTCTAACAACCAGTTTGAAATGTAAGTCCTGCCCTGGGGTATAAATGCCAGAGAGCCCACTGGTGTCTTTTCAGGAGCCCTTACTCTGTGGCCATTTTCAACTGGGACTTGAATAAACTCTGTCCCAACACTCAGTGTGCCTCGACTTCCCATTTAGAGTGACAAATTGGATCACCATCATTCACCCACATGAGTGGAATCTTTTAGAGTAACTTACCACCCCCATTTAGCAGTATAGACTGAAAGCTAGAACCAGGCCTGCTGGACACCTATCCAAGAGAGGCAGGTCGGATAAGACACACAGGCTCAGACTCAACTGATCTGGCCTCACCACACAGATGGCCTCTAAGATGCCCAAAGATACAGACATTTCACCCCACTAGCAGCAAGCCATTCAGAAGCATCATCAGCTGGTCCCCTCTAATTTAGTCCTCATGCTGTCTACCTGGGCACTGCATCAAATGGCCATCTGAGAGCTTGGTTCTCCGTCCATCCCATCTTGAAATGTCCACATGGTTTTATGGTTATTTGATTTTAAACAGGGGTTCCCATCACCCGCTCCTACAGAAGCTCACATAATTCAGGGAAATGCTTTCACTGAACAACTGTAAATTGGCATTACAGATGACAGAAGCTAAGGGGTCCCTAGGGTGAGGTGTGTGAGCAGAGGCCGGAGTTGCCAGCCCTTTCTGGAAATCCAGCCTCCACCAGTGATCTTTGTCCTTGTGGGGCTCTACTGGAAGCTTCCTAACACAGACATGGTTGATTACATCATCCTGCCCTAGTGTTTGGGATGGCCAGGCCTCATCTCAAGGATACTCAGGGGCTGCTAGCCACCTGTCAGCTCATTATCATAAAAAAGTGTGATCAGAGCAAGTCCAAGCACTTTAGGAGTTGCATGCCAAGAAAGTAGAGCTTAGACCCAATACATATGTCAGCTTCCAGGGCCACAGTTCTCTGGACAGTGAGCTTCACCACAGATCCTTTGCAATGGCCTCCTGTAATTCTCAACCAATAAAATTGCCTAAGTAAGTCTGGGCTCAACCTCCTTATAGCACATATGTTAGAAACCATTTTTGGACTGTCACTAGGTGTCTGGGCTGAAGTGAGATGAAGTCCCAGCCGTGGGTAGGTCAGATGCAATGGTTCAGCAACCACAGAATGACCCTGAGCTATTTTATTTATTAGAAAGAGAGTAGCCATGTTACCTTCCAACGTGTTCTTTTCTGTTGCATTGACTAGGAAGAGATCCCAGGAATAAGTGAGGTCTGGTACATTGCCACAGTCTTCACACACAGCTCTGAGAGACAATTCTTCATTCCAGTTTGCACGGGTGTCTCTAAAGTTGACCCATGAGATGTGGAGGAATCTGGAACAGGCAATCATTTGAAGTTGTAGGAAAATACCACCCACGGGCATCCTTAGGCTGCATTCATGTGGGCTGGCCACGTTTGAACCATCTGTGTTGGCTCTGTTTTATGAGCACTCAGTGTATTACCACAGCCTGTGGGGGTTAGCACAGACCATGTAACTGGCTTCCAGACTTTACACAGCATGAGTTGACCTAATCCACCAGACAAGCACATTCACACCTCACTAAGTTCAGAGACACTGTGAGATTTCCTCAATGTCAAATAGTCCTGGGCTTTCTTCTCTCTGTCACTCAGTCTTGGCTCTGGCCATGCTGCCCAAACACAGAAGTCAATACCTGAGTTATCTCTTTACCTTTCCGCCACATGCTTGCCTCTATAGCTATAAACCACTTTCACCTAGGCCTTTCCAAGCCATCTGCCTTTGCCACGGTCATCTGGCTCAGCCTTGCCTCCCACTTGTGCAGAGCTATTGGGTCATGAGCTGCCCCATGCCCTACAGTGCCCACAGGAGTTATACCTTGCATGGTCTCACATTCCATACACACATTTCTGAGTCACTGTAGCTATATCCTGGCAATTTCTCCAGGCTCTTTGCTAGCCCAGGGCTGAGTCCCAAAGAACATTTTATGAAGCCTGGTTCTTTGGGACATCATCAGGTGGTGTGAGGGACTGTGTTGGGCCTCACCATGTGGATTCCTTTCATACAGGACTTGAGGATAATTTAAAAGACTGAGTATAGAGAGGGCTTGCTAAGTGGCATGCAGAATTCTCTTTGTCTTTCACTGTCAGGCAAATCCCAAGCCACGACTTCACCATGTAACACCAAGCGCAGGAGGCGAGAAGGACCATGGCAAGGCATGTCTGCTGCTTCCTCAAAAGGAATCAGCCTGTCACATGCTGGTGTGTACCTCTGTATTTGTGTGTGTACATGTGTGCAGTAGCTGTTGTCCATAGTTTCAGCTACTTGCAGTCAACCAACATCTGAAACAATAAATGGAAAATTCCAGAAATAAACTATTCATAAGTGTTCAGGTATGCCGGTCTCAGGAATGTATAATTGTGTCCTATCCTTGAATTTCATTCTCCTGGAAATCAGCCCCTGCTCTGCCACATGTAGCCTAGACCCTGAAGGAAGAACCCAGATGATTCTGTGTCTTTGCCCATCCTAGCAGCTCACCTTAAGTTCTGGTACCAGCTTTTGGTCCTTGGGGCTGTACATGTGAGTACTTTGGTAGTCTTAGGGATGAAGAGTTTATGGGTAATCTCTCATGCTCCAAGATATCACAACTGGACCTACACATGCATCCCTTCAGTCCTGTAATCCCTAGAAGGCTCCTGAGTCTGGAAATCAGATCACCTTGCCACCTTCTATCATCAGCCTCAAGCACTGGTCTTCCATCTTGGGGATGGTGATGTAACAGGAAGGACCCAGTGACTCTGAAAGTCACTGGTGTGTCACTGTTAGCCCAGGAGACAGGAGAACTATCCAAGTAACCAGCCCCTCCCTGGCCACCAGGTGTGGTTCCCACACAGCCTAACTTCACTGGTCTCCACGAACATAGACTCCTTTCAAGCAGCCACCAGAGTGCTCAGCTACATATGACCAGACAAAAGTACCTGAAGGCCGGGTCAGGACTGGTGGACAGGAATATCAAGGCCTGAGAAGAGTTCTGTCCATTGCTGGAGACTGTCAGTGTCACAAGGAACTGGTCACAGCATTCACTGAGCCACTTTGCTGGGAAAGAAACTGAAGGAGCCTGAGTGTCTACTTGGTGTGGGGTAGAGTCCTCAAAGCAGGGCCACCTTAGCGAGCTGGTTGTAGTGCAAGTCCAGTGATACCTATAGAAGAAACCAATGGAGGAACATGGTTAGCATCACTGTGTATTAAGGGCACGTGTGGCTGGAAAGAGACAATACCCCTCACTCTTCGACATCAGTGACACAGGGGCTGGGCATGTCTCTTCCACTGTACTCCACCTAGAGTCATGCTTCCGGCTGACTTGTGTCTTACACTGTGGTCCAGCTATGTCTGTCACTCCTCCCCTCCCTGTGCATCGTGACTGGTGACTCCCTCTTCTCATAAGTTACACAGCCCTGCAATGCCTAGAATAACTCCCTCACAATGTCTCTGCCAATGCTGCATCTCATCTTGGTAAGACAGGAATGTCACACTATCCCTAATTTAGGAAGAAAACAGCTTGGTAGAGGTCTTGGGGGAGCTGCCCTGTTTCATTCATAGCTGATGCAAAGTGTAGCTAACAGTGAACTTGAGATGATTCTCTTTGAATCTCACCATCTTTCTGTAAAATGTTAATTGCTTGAGCCACAAAACAAAGATGGTTGCACCATCAGGGGTGGAATGGGAGGACAGCATCTTTGAGCAGATCTTAATCCATAGAGAGAGACATACTTAAACAGGCATGAGGCAGGCAGGAATCAGTGTGGAAATGCACTGGCAAGGTAGGCCAGCCTTATTATGGCAACCTGTTTCCACAAGTATGACTTAAACCTGAACTGCTGCTGAGGCTTAAAAACCCATTTCCATGTTTAGATTGCAGGTAGTGCATTCTGAGAAGACATTGCATTCTGAGGAGACACTGCATTCTGAGGAGACACTGCATTCTGAGGAGACACTGCATTCTGAGGAGACACTGCATTCTGAGAAAGCACTGCATTCTGAGGAGGCACTGCATTCTGAGGAGGCACTGCATTCTGAGGAGAAATTGCATTCTGAGGAGACACTGCCTTCCAAGGCAGGTACTGCTGCAGCCTCTTAGCCTCTGCTGGGAAGAAGCATCTCTGAAGCATAACAGAAGGCAGTGTCCAGTGCAGTTCATAAGCTGTATAGAGAAACTGTCCCATGATTCCCCTAAAGATTCCTTATTGCCCAGAAGTACAATCAGCAGGAGGCACTCAGCTCAGGCACTATGATGAGTAACGGTGTGAAGATGATGGAGACACAGCCTTGGTCTGCCTGGCTTGGGGGTGAAGAACAGATAGTTGGGATCTATGTCTACAGCATGTGCACAGCTAGAATGTGGAAAGGGACCTCTCATTTCACTGCACTAAAGAAGCACCAAGTTTCACACTTGGTGTGTCAAACACACAGGATCACAGCAGGGGTTACAACAACAAAGGGACCTCTCCATTGATTGATGAACAGGGACACGTGCCAGGCACAGGGATGTACCCACTGAGAGCCCTGCTGTTCCGATCTTAAACTCAATGAAGGAGGGCAATGAATAGCAGCCGTATGAGTGCGGAGTAAGTGTAAGACTGGGTTGGCTCCAGACAAGACAGTGGCTTCCCCTCTGAGTCAAATGGGTGTGATGAAGGTCAGAGCAGGGAAGTTAGGGCATCTAACTTTTTCTAGAAAACACCATACTCTGTGTTGGACAATTGGCTGAGGCTGAGGATGTACATAGGCTGAGGGCTGGATGGCTCCACCCAGGCAATCAGGGGAAGAGTGTGGGGGTGGTGGTTTCTATGGGAGACCTAATGTAATTTCCTGACAGAAGAGACACAGAGTGTGAGAGAAAGTGATGTTAAAGCCGTTCAAGGAAGCTTTGGTCTGCGTGACTGGAAGATATGTTTCCTTGAGGTCCCAACACTAAGATGAGAAAATGGACAAGAACCCCCATCCCAACCAAGATCCTATCTCCAACTGACAAACGCTCAAAAAGGAAAATTAAGTTTCCTCCATGGAGTCTTAGTGTGTATACAAACCACAGGGCAGCAGTGGGTGGGCAACACAAAATGAATTCAATGGCATTTTTGGAGATTTTTTTTTTGGTCTTATATTGAATTGGACATTTTTAACTGAGCTTTTGCTTATATATTATGGTTTCTGATTTTGTGTTTTTAAGGGTTTTATTTGTGTATGAGTGTTAGTGTGTATATGCGTTTCTTGTCCTTTTTTTTTTTCTTTCTCATTTTTTTGTTCTGGTTCATTTGCCTTTTGTTTGAGAGACAGGAGCAGGGACAGGGGCATGAAGTTGGATGTGTGGGGAGGGGAGAGGATTTGGGATGACATGAAGTAGGGGAAACTGTGATCAGAAAATATTGTATAAAAAATTACTTTTGGACAGGGTGTTGGTGGCGCACACCTTTAACCTCAGCACTTGGGAGACAGATGCAGGTGGATCTCTGTGAGTTCGAGGCCAGCCTGGTCTACAGAGCTAGTTCCAGGACAGGTTCCAAAACAATACAGAGAAACCCTGTCTCAAAAGCCAAAACAAAAAAAAAAAAAAAAAATACTTTTAATTAAAAAAGTTGTTTCCTGGATGAAGATGGGGAAGAGGCTGACTTTGTGGCTGGGTGACTTGAGGCACAGGAAAGGACACAAAGGTGGTGGCGATGTGAAACTCAGAGCAGATTGGGGGAGGATGTGCGTCTGAGCCTGTGGGGAGAGTGGCTTGAGTGGAGGATGCATGCCGGAAGGAAGAGGACCACATCAGAAGACTGGGAAAGGCCTGCTGGGTTGGACTGTCTGGGCCAGAGCCTGGGACCACAGAGTGGAGCCCAGACAGGTGGCACTCTGTCACACACCCCCTTTGCCTGGCCACCCCCCCAACACACACACACAAGGACATCTGACAAGGCGTCCTTAGAGAAGGGAAGCATTTACAATGTGCATTCCAAAATGGCATTTGAAGCATCACCTTAAAAAGGTACTCACACTTTACTCTCCAATATTGGCTTACACTTGACTAATGAATAAAGCACTTCAACCTAAGAAAGCTGCTACCCAGAAATGTCTCAGACTACGTTGATTGGCAGAATTCCCAGACTAACTCTCCTAATATTCCTGAGGCAGAGTTTGGAGAAGTAGGAGCCCGGGATCCTCGAAGCTCTTTGTTCTTACCTGAGAGCAGCCCCAGGGATGTCAGGGTCATAAGACTGGAACCCTCTGAGGATGATGGGGGTGGTGGCGGCCCTAGGGATGAAGATGTGTGTGCCTTCAGAGATCACACTGACAGGAGCCCTGGCTCGAACCTCCACACCAACACAGTAGTTGCTATACACCATGCTTCCCTTGATCTGGACCTGAAAGACGGAAGACAAGGGGTATTGCACAAAGCACATGCTTTCTGGACCTATGCATGCGACAGTGGCCTTCACCTCAACTGCAGTAGTTGCCTACAGTGTTTATGTAAGGGTGTGGCTGGAGGGAAGAGCATGCATCTTTTAATACCTGTCTGCCTAAATGTACAGTTATCTAGATGTGGGTTGGTCGGTATTTTAGAACTCAGCTCCTCTTGCTTGCACAGTACAGCAAATGCTCTTCCGCACTGACCCACTTTTCCAGCTGAAATGAAAGACCCCTCTTAAAATCTTACCCACACCTTTAAAACACACACAAACACACACACATACACACTCACACTCACACAAACACACACACATACACACACACATACACACACATACACTCACACATACACACACACTCACACACACACACACACACACACACACACAAACCAAAATAAAATGAAAAAACAATACAAGCCCCCCCCCTTTCATTGGCTGGAGGCTTTTCTCCAGGGCTTGTGGAAAGGGTTGGCTTGAGGAAGCGTGAGCGAGCCCACCTTGGCCACGGCAGTGTAGTTCCCACACTCCAGGGTATAGCTTGGGAGCACGATGGTCTGTCTGTGGGTGTTGACAGCAGCAGGGAGGGTGACAGCAGTGGCCCCGGCACCCACAAAGCTCCAGGTGTAGGAAAGTCCTCGGGACACGTTACAGAGGACTGCAGCTTCGAATGTTACTCCTAGTCTCAGGGGCTGAGACCTCCATATCTGGGAATTGACATGAGAGGTCATGTCAGTGAATGTCCACCAACCCTGACGGTGCAGCGCGCTGTGAGAAAGTGTCACTTGTGAATCCACGACCATTTGTTTGCGATGTTATAGCATGAGGCCTGGGGCTAGCTTTAGACAGCACCATACATTTATTTTACAGACAAAAGTAAACAGTAAAAACATAAAAACAAGGAAAGTATTTATGCTTACATACTAATAGCAGGGAAAAACAGCCTTTCAAGCATAAAACTAATGGTAAAATTTAAAACATAAAGGTTACTAGATTTGATTACATCAGAATTTCATTTAATGGAGTATCTGTTACTCGTTTGTGTGTTTATTATGATACTCACAGCTGTGCTGTTCTTCCTAAGCTCTTTATGCCCCTTCCTCCAGCCTCTGGAACTAGCTCAACATCCTGGCCTGACTTTGGGATTTGTCCCTGACTGTGGAAAAGCATTCCAAGTGAGCCAGCCTTAGGAGGGAGACTGTCCAGCCAGGGACCCCTCCTGCTCTAGGGCTGATGTTAGGTGCAAGGGCTCCCCCTGGAGGTAGTTCTATGTAATTGTAAAAGAGAAAAATCTCTTGAGAAGGGATTTTAAGAATTCAGCAGTTACGTTAGTTGTCCCTCCCCATAGTCCCTCTTTTACCCTACCATCATATTTTTCTCCCCCATTTAATCCTCCAATTTTAGTTCCCCTTAGTCTCCTTATAATACTCCCGGGCAAACCACATGATCAGGAGTAGTTGGCCAACACAAAACAGAATGCATATTTTGTGTGTGTGTGTGTGTGTGTGTGTTTTGTTTTGTTTTAATATCATTTTGTTATTGATTTTCTTTGTTTATATGTTTTTATTTTTGCTGTTTTCTAGTTTTTTGAGGGAAAGGACATGAAATTGGATGTCTAGAGAGGTGGGGAGGATCTGGAAGGAGTAGAGGGAAGGAAAAGAATATGATCAAAATATAATACATGGAATCATTTTAATAAAATGTGTTTAAAGGTAAAAGAAGGTATGGGCTGCCCTCCTCCTACTGCTGACTGGGACATTTAATCTGAAATTTTAGTTGAAATATATTTTATTGTAAAGAAAACACAAATTATATAAAGACTAGGCTGTTAAAAAAAAACAGAAGAAAGAATGTATTACAACTGAGAGATTTATCTCTTGTGTTTTAGGGGGCTTTCTACACTACTTAATTTACTCTTCAATCCTTTTCATTGCTTCTACTCTGTACCTGATTTCATTGTAGGACTGTTAACAAAGCTACCACACTTACACTGGCCAGGGCAAATTGTAATACTCTCCATTTCCAGACCTTATACACATATTCCAAGTGATGAAATGCATTAAAACTATACAATTTGCATTGGAAGGGGAGCTGGTTCTGCATGCTGACAAAGTGGAGTGCACAGTAGCACTTAGGGGACACAAATAAACTTCCCAAGAGAGGCATCTGCCCTTCAGCTCTGTGACATGGAAATACTAAGGATATGAAAAAAAATGTGTGCACCAGAGTTTTGCATGCTAAAGATGTGTGCACAGAGTACAGCATGCTAAAGATGTGTGCAGAGAGGGCCATATGCTAAACACATGTGCAGAGAGGGCCAGATGTTATTTATAGTAATAGAAAGAAACAATCAAAGTTTAGTAGTGAGGACTCTGGGAAATGCTGTAGAATTCATACATGCCACCATTAAAAGTAATAGACAAGATGATGTAATAAGAGACAGTGGTCATGCTATAATGCAATAATTTAAATTTTGTGATGAACACACATATTCAACCCCTCCCCACACACACACATATACTAAAACAATAGCAGGGAGCTGGAGAAAAGGCTCAGTGGTTAAGAATGTTTTCTGTTCTTGCAGGGGAACTAAGTTTTTTTCCCAGTACCCATGTTGGGCAACTCACATCCCCCTATAACTCTAGCTCAGGGTATCTGACACCCTCTGTTGGGCTGTGTGAGCACATACCCATACGCACACATCACTTTAAAATAATGATCATTTTTAAGCAATAGAAAAACATTTAAAATACATACATCTATCTCCTGCTTCCTGGATTTCACACAATTCCATTTTTTTTTCTTTCTTTATGCTTTTAGAAAACACAAGAACTATAAAAGACAAATGGAGTCATCAATACTGTTTTCCTTATTTTACAGAAAAACTCAAATGAAAATGTTTTCCAGATTAGAAGCTGAGCTCATTTATTTGTACAATGTTTGTTTCTGAGTATCAGTTGAAAGTAAGTGTATATTAAAACAAACAATAGATCCGTGTGTGGGAGTGTGAGCCTGTAGCTCCAGCAAACAGGAAGCTGCGGAAGAAAAACCACAAGTGCTGGGCTAGCTTGGGGAGCACAGCGGATTTGAGGACAGCTTGGGCTAAAGAGAGACGCTCAATCTCAAGATAAAATGAAATAAGGTAACAACAATAGCAACATATCCCTTAAAATAAAACAAAACCAAACAAAGGACAGAATGGGCTGCACAACAGAAAAAGAGTTCCAGCCAGAGCCTCGGGAGCTGTGGTCTTTCCCTAGAATCCCCGAGTTTGGCCCATCCCTCACACAGAGCACAGAACAGCCTGACACCATGGAATGCTGGCCTCCAGAGCTCCAGAGATCTTTCCTCGAGGGATGTGGACACCTGAAGCCCACAGCCTGCACATGGCAACCCCATACCCTCTTTGAAGTCCACTGGACTCGGCTGCTAGGACCTGAGATGCACGGGTTGGCAACTAATCCACCACAGAAAGTGTTTTGGCAAAGGCTCAGCAGCGAATTTTGATTCCCAAGGGTCAGGCTATACACCTTTGACCCCGAAGTAAAACTGCTTGAAATCAAAGCCCTCAAAGGACTGGAAGAAATAAAAGGCAGCCCTCTCCCCCCCCCAACTCAGTAGTTGGTACTTGGCATATAATTGGCCATTCTTTTAATTTTGGTGTCAAATTTTCCTTTTGACTGAAAATGCTATTATTGTGTATACAATCAGAAAAGAAAGGGAAAAAAAAAAGCTGCTCGAAGCAAGCTGTGCTGAACGTCAGTCATATAGGTACATAAAAGACTTATTCTCCCACTAGAAGCCAGGCTTCCCTCCCAATCCAGGCTCTCCCTGCTCAGGGAGCAGCTTCAGCGCCCTCACAGGGACTCCTTTGTGCGTGTTACACGCAGCAGGACAAACTGGACAATGCCTCCTTCATTCAGCAGCCAGCTCGCCAATATGGAAGTGGTCCATAGGGAGGCACGCAGGAGAATTCCTGAAGCTGGGCCCTACCTGCACCTGCTTAGGCCCCATGTTCTTCACCGGGGGTGGTTGGCAAGGCTCACGCACGATGAAAAGTGGCTTTCTTAGCACAGCAGAGCTGATGTTATTGAAGGCAAGGACTTCAACTGTAAATTCTCCCTCCCTGCAAGGGTGGAAAGCAGAGAGAGACACGGAAAGATCAAGGTTGCTGAATACTGGCCCCCGTTCCCTCTTTATAACCGTCTGTGACCTGTGGTTATGCTGTCTGATGGCAAGTGAACCCAAAGACTAGAGACAGAAAAGGCCTGGGTCATGAAGTTGATCTCCATGGAGGCCAGTCTCTGTCTGCTTGCTGCAGCTGCTCATCCTGCATGGACAAAGGCCTGTGCTGGTAGTCACATGCTCCAAACAACATCACACTCAGGCGAGAGCAGACTGCTCCCAGGAGCCATGAGTCAGTTCTCTGCTGGCCACAGAGCCACCCAAAGGTTGGGCCTCAAACTTTTCGCTGTGATGGACATTCCTGACTTTTCGGAATTCTGGGTCTCTGTGCACATCTTCCGGTTCTAGGGTCAGATTTCCTGAACAATCCTTAGGGTTTGGGGCACTAAAAAGGAACAGAATCAGTTTCACACCTGCCCCTTCATGCAGCCCCAGGCAGAGTGGAAGGTCCTGGCTATAGAGAGTAGGAGGACTGTGGGAATTAGGCAGCTGGTGACTAAAATGTCACCTGCTACCTTGGAGATTCAGGAAGAAAGACAGGTGCTCTAAGGAGGAGCATGGGAGGATGTCTGCATGGTGGTCTTGGGCTGTGGGATGTTCCAGGGCAAACACTGGAGATGGTACCAGACATACTCTACCATTTGCAGAGGGGTGCTGGAGCCACATTGTGTATCCTAAGTGTCTAAGCACTAGGTACCTGCCTAACCATGTGCAAATCCCTCAGGAACTTCTGATTGACTCCTTCTGTATTTTGAGAACCTATTTCCAAAGGAGAAGTCATGAATTATGGCTAGTGATAGACCACTAAAGATTGCCTGTGAAAGTTAAAAGAGGCCACAGGCATGGGCCTGCACTGAGGGAAGCCTGTAATGGTTTATGGTGCCAATGCCCAGAGGTCTTACCTTTTGAATTCTTCTATTTGTGGTTTGAATGAGAAACATCCCCACAGACACTTGTATTTAAACACTTGGTTCCCAGTTGGTGGTGCTGTTGGTGGTGCTTTGCTGGAGGAAGTGTGCCACTGGGGGTGGGCTTTGAAGGTATACAGTTCCAACACACTAAAGAGTTGGCTCTCATCTCTCACCTTCTTCCTGCCACACCACCATGTGACCATCCAGCCCTCAGAACCCCTACACTCAGGGATTCCTGAAGTTGCTTTGTTTTTGCTTTTTTGTTTGTTTGTTTTTGCTTTCCAAGACAAGGTTTCTCTGTGTAGTTTTGGAGCCTGTCCTGGAACTTGCTCTATAGACCAAGCTCACCTCCTATTTGCAGAGATCCACCTGTCTCTGACTCCTGAGTGCTGGGATTAAAGGCATGCACCACCACCACCTGGCCTGAAGTTGCTTTTGATCATGGTTTTTTTTTTTTATCACAACAGCACAGGAACTATCACAATTCTGCACACTCTAATATTCCTCTGCACCAGCTGAGCTTGAGGCTTGGCCTTGGCCATGCATGTCTCTGGCAACTGTGAAAACTAGACATTCATCGTGAGGTCTTGACCCATTTAGGACCTAGGATTTACCCCAGCCAGAGACTCAATTAGGAACAACTGACCTGTTTGTCTACAGTTTCCACATTCCCGACCTTGAGTGACATTTGCACTTGTGGTTTTACATGGAAGAAAACCTTCAGGAGTGATGATTTTTGGACAAAGGCAATCAGATATAACTTATCTTTCTAATCTAGCCAGGTGCTGCAGAATGATGGTTAATGAGGTATTGCACATAACATGACAAGGGTTCCTAGGATTACAGTAAGGCAGAACATTTTGTATTGCCTAGTGATACCATAGCTGTCATAATATAAACAGAACGACACTGGGATGAAATCAATTCCAGCACAAACAATGATGCCCAGTATACGGATGGTGATATAAATGGCCTTGTGGTTGCTTTATATATTTATAAACTATAGTTTTCAGAGAATGTACACCTACTTATAAAAAGAAATGTTTTCTATAAAACAACATTTCCTGGGCAGTGGCTTTCTGCACCTAATTATTTATATCCTCTCTTGATTGCATCAGGCACAATATAAGATCTATGGCATCTAAGTCTGTGTAAACACACTTATAATGCTTGCACACTAACAGAACCAACAAGTAATGGCTTTGCAGAGTACCTCTGGCAGTTAAATAACACACAACTATCCCATAATGCCTTGTTCCAGGTAAGCAGTGGGTTGAATTAAGGGTAGTATTCATACTCTACTTTCAAACACAGAGACCCATTGTAATGTGTCCTCGGAGCTCTTACCGTTTTATCTGCCCCCTGTTTACTGCCTCTCCCTATCCCAATCACACCTACCTGCTACTGCAGCCCCCCCCCCCACTCATGCCATTGTTTTGGGTCTCTGTTGGTTTCCCATCCCCTCCTTTTGTCTAGGAATCCCTGCTGGAGGTTCCCCTTCTGGTCATTCGCAAATGCCCAAGTGTGGTTTCTTGGTCTACAAACCCATGTGTGTGGGTCATGCCCTCTGCACCCCATACCTTCCTTGCTGATGGAACCCCCAGGAATGAAGGCCTCTACTTGCCTCCTTTCCCTGGACTGCAAGCTCCTTCAAAGCCTAGCCAGGCCTGGCTTGTTTCCATTCAACATTTGTCATCTGCATGGCCTGCAAGGTTGGCTATGGGGTTTTAAGCATCAGTCCTTCAGAAAGCAGCCCCATGTGCCACCTGCAGTCAGTTGTCACCTGTCCTGCATAACTCACCTGCTGTAGACATGGCTGGAGGAGCTTCCACCCAGCTCAATGGTCCCATCTCCAAAGTTCCAACGATAGGCTACATCAGTGCCAAAGTTGAGTCTGCACTCAAAGGACACATTGGCATTTACCAGGGCTGAGGCAGTGGACATAAGCCGATTGGCCCTGATTCTCTTCTGTACCCTGATGAGGTGGGACTCAGAGACCACACTGCCAGTCTTGCTGGTGGCCTTGACCATCACTTGGTACCTGAGGATGGGTACAAGATGAGAACATGAGAACATGAGGCTGGTGAGAATCTCCACATTGCTTCTGCAGACAGACAGAGCTGGGAGCTTAAGTTGTGGGCATTATCCAATGAGGTAGTATCAAAGTCAGGATTCAGGGACTTCTTAAGTTCCCTTTCTTATTATTTAGTTCATGTCTCTAAATGAGGTGAGAACCTTACCCCTCTTTAAAGGAATTGCCATCTAGATTAGAGGGCTAAGATGAGATTTGATCACTGTGTTTCTTAGTGTTCACTGGGGGAGGCAAGCTTAATACACAGACATGCTTAGGGACTGGATGAAATTTAAACACTAATAAAACTATTGTGATAGTGCTGGAGTGGTCTTTATCCTGACTGTTGGCTGCATCAGTATTAAAGAGCATATTGACAAACCACTGAGGGATGCTCAGCCTTCTTTTGATGCTTCTGGAAGTTGTCCTCACTGGTGGGTCATCTCCCAAATACCATGTGAACTCCAGGGGTATGGTTTCCTTGGTAACAGCCACAAATGTGATGTTTGTGTCTGCAGCAAACACAGTTCCATTGGTGTAGACAGACACAGCTGTGACAAAGAGAGGGAGGGAGGGGTCCATTAGCACAAAGAGCTGGTAGCTGCTCAGAGACCACCCCCCCTCCAAACCAAACTTATGGATTGAGCCTATGGATTGTGAGGGTAACACAAAACCAGGGGGTGAGGGGGACCTGTGGGGCCCAAGCAGGAGGTAGAGCCCAGGTCTGAGGGCTATCAGCAACAGCTCACAAGGCAACATGGCCAGCTCCTTTGGGAACTGTGCTTGGAAGGCATGGGATGGAGGTGGGATGGGAGCAGCAGGTGACCATATGATAGTCCCCCATCTCCCACACTCAGGTGGGAGTTCAGAGCCTATGGTTTCTAGGTGCAAAAGAGCCTGCCAAAGGGCCAATAGGATGGGTCCTGGGCTGAGCTGGCAGTAGAAGCTTCAGCAGTCAGCTGCTAAGGCAGAAGAGCTATATCGAGAATTAAAACAGAGACGCACATTGCATCTTATACCCAACAGTCACGCCAAGCCAAGCCTGGCCGCTGCCCACTTGTATCTGAGAAATGAAGGACACATTGTATGAAGAAACAGATGAGAAGCAATGCATCACAACTGTGCCTACAAGAGAAGACAAGGGAGACATTTTAATTCACTTGTCTTAAGCTCTCTCTCTCTCTCTCAAACACATACACATGTGCACACACACACATACACACGCATCAATATTTCTCATTGTCAACTTTCTCTTTGAATTTTAATAAAATTTGAAATCTGGAGCACACACTCAAATGAGGTGGTTGGCAAATGTGAGTTATGTCACAGGATTTCTCTCTTTAAATTTTTCTTTAAATGATTTTTTTTCTCTTCAGAGACCTTGACATGGTGATGAATACATTACAGTCTTTGCAACACACTGATTCCTTTGTTAGATGGCTTTATGTTAAACATATTTGTCCTATGTGTGTATATTAAACACACACCATAGAGATATGTGTTTAATCATAGAGTCTCTACATCATGAAGGTTCTTAATTGGGGGTTGGGGATCCAACAATAAGCCTCATTCATCTAAGTCCTCTAAAATGTAATGTAGTATTTTGTGTGTGTGTGTGTGTGCTTATACACATATGTATGTATATATTAGAAGGCAAATACTAAAAACTTGAATCAGATCCTAGAAGAAGGCTATGATGTCTAAGAAGATTGAAATAAACTCATTTGGGATATTAGAAATAATATGGGCTTTAAAATTATTGTTGTTTTCTATGCATATTCTCTTTATGAAGACAAAATGTTTATTTATAATATAAATAAAATGGATTGGATACAGATTCTTTTTAAATGTGCCCCATGAATAAGCTTAACAATGACCAAAACTTTTTTTTCTGCATTTTTAAAATTTAAGTTTGAAACAATCTTATTTTATTTATCAATTTCAGTTCCCTCACCCTCCCATGCCCCCCATCAACCTCCATCCCATCCCTCTTCTGCTCCATAGAAAGGGTAAGGCCCTCTATGGGGGGGTCATCAAAATCTGTTGCATCATTTGGGGCAGGGCCTAGGCCCTCCCCCATGTGTCTAGGTTGAGAGAGTATGGAGAATGGGCTCCCAATGCAATGACAAAATCTTAATCTTGATCACAATCTGTGTCACAACACGAGGAAAGAAAAGTCATGGTTTTGCACAAGGGTGTCCAATTATTGATCCTTGGTATGGGATTTAGACTCAAATCACCCAATTCTAAATCTTAGCACAAAACCTACTTTTCTCAAAGGCACATGTGGCCTATGCTCACCCACTTTACTCAAAGCTTTGATAAGACAAGTCAATACGGTTGGTCAGCAGGCTGGCTACAGTACACTGATTGGAGGGTTGAGAAGTCCTCCTTTGTGTCATGTGATGCTTAGTCGGAGAGTTTCCCCCAAGGGGAACTGTGAAAAATGCAGTCCATACATGGTAAAATAGTTCGGATTCTCAAGAATGAGTTCTTCAGGATACACCTCCCCCTGGGTTCTCCTATCTACTGGAGCAGAACACTCTGGGGTCTTACTGTTCTACTCTCGTTCTGCTAAAATGTGTTCCAACTGTTTCCTTCAGAACCCTTAATTACAGTCCCTCTTCTAACTCCTTCTGGGCTATGAGTTTTTGATGCTGTCTGCCAAACTGGCAGCAGGGCAATGGATACCCAGAGGTGGGTGTGGGGCGAGGGTGAGGAGGCAGGACTTAGGAGCTCCTGACATACTGTGAGCCCAGCATCACATACCATTGGCTATGGCTGTGGCAGCTACCAGAATGTCCCCATACCTGCTCTTCACAGCCCACTATATGTAGCAACTTCTGTCTCATATAATATCTGTCCCACAGTAATAATAGTCTGGGGCCCTCCCAGCCCCATGGCCATGCTCCTCTGCAGGCATGGTTTTGTCCTTTCACCTAGATTTGTTCCACACTTATCCTGTCTTTACTGGATTACAAATTCCCTAAGGTTGGATTCCTGCATGATTCCACCTCATCTCCCCCCAACAATATTCCACACAGTACCTGTTTTCTCTGTGAGATAAAAACAGATGACAGCACTGTATTTAGGATGGCTGGAACTTCCACAGTGAAACTAAAGCTACAAGAACAGCAGAGATCTGCACGCAGCCCAGAGAGCTCCACACACAGGTCTCACCTTTCTGTTGTGGGAGGGAGTCAGCAAAGGCAAGAGCTTCACCATCGTGGATAGAGCTGGAGTTCATGAATACAGACACTTTCTCATGGCCAATGTCCACGTAATAAGGCCCTAGTTCCACATCAGCTCCATGAACGCCATGGACAACAGCCCTGAGCTTGTAGACTCCTTCTGGAAAAAGAAAGAAAAAAATGGACATTTGATGGCTTTTCAAACAGACATAAGAGCTAACATCTCACGATAGTCACAATGGGGTGTGACTAGCAGTCTGTGAACTGATACTGCAAGATTTTTTTTTTTTTAAATTCCTTGCAACAGCAGGGACATTTCATCCCACATTCAACATGACTTGGTGTAGCTTAATGGTCTCCTGCCTGGAAATTCCTAATAATATTAATAGTGTTTGTGTTTTCCACTAGACCCTGAAAATGATGCACCCTATCTGTGCGTTATAATTTTAACATTAAAATAGATCCAGGTCATTTCAGAATAGCTAGGTTAATATGTGTGTATCTGATACACATACTTGCTTGAATAAACATCCAAATAGTATATATCAAAGCATGATAGACTAAAAAATAGCCCCCAACCCTGACAGTTTTCTTGAAGGTTTTATAATGTCATTATGATGTGATTTTAAATTTTTTGTTAAATATGACTTTGAATTTTTCATTAAGTGGTAGAAACTAGTCTTCCTTTTTTAGATTGTTATCAGTCATGGTTAATTGCATAGTCTCTCCAACTTGTCTCTGGGCTGGTCACCATTATCATGGGAAGTATATGGACCTAGCTTGCTGAAGAAGATACAAAACTCAGTTGTCCCATGGGGCCAGTCATTTCTCGGAAGAATCATCAATTTGTCTGATTGGCATTGCCTAAGGATCTATAATGAATCCTTTGACGCCAGCCCAGATCCAAAGAAACCCCTAAAAACCAATTGGATTCATGATTGCATTCTATTTTGTTTTTAGTTCTTTGAGAATGTTGTATTTAAGACACTGAGTTCCATTTTATTAACATAGCCACAGATGACTGATACAGATCTACCAGGCTAGAGAGGCATCTAGTAGCTTGCCAATGCCAACCTCCTACCCACTATTCTAAATTATGTATTTACTCCTACTGTACATTGGCTTTAAAATGTTAGGTGACCCTTGTTGTGTCACAGGATTATGTCCTCTGCTGGTCCCAGTCACCCATCCCCAGCTCTGTCTGTCGATCACAGACCTCATTCATCATCCATACAAAGCAAAGGTTCCCTTCCCAGCCTCTCTCAGCTTACAAGTCACCATTTTGTAAGCTCCTTGTCTCCTCCTGACCAACTCACATCCACCACAACCCTTCATAAATGACTTGGGCAGAATGGGTGCCTTCATCTGGTGATAGCCCACAGCTCTGGGGGGTGTTTCATTTCCAAGTTCACTATATTCTGTCTTTTTTGCTTCCAAAGTTCATCACAGTTCACTTAGCACACACATAATAAATGCTTGTGAAATGATCAGTGACACTAAAGCCAAACAAATAAAACAATGTTCGTAAGGCCCAGCACACACTGTTCCTAAGGAATCCATACAGCCTTCACTGTCCTAGAGAGGAAGTGGTGGCAAAGACATACAAACCAGAGGGACTTAGCAGAGACAAAGAAAAGCCATCTATAAGGAAACTCAGTGAATATGTCTCGAAGCAGGGTTTGGGGCAGTGTGCTGAGCAGAGCCCCAAAGAAAGTACCCTGCCCTGAACTGAGATTTAATTATTTCTTAAGAATGGGCAGACCCCGGGCTGGAGACAACTCAGAAGTGAAGAGTGTGTACTGCTCTTGCAAGGAGTTGAGTTTGAGTCACAGCACCTGCACTGAGCAGCTGGCAACCTCCTGTAATTCCAGCTTTACTGGCTCCAATGCTCTGTTTGTCTCGGTAGTCACCGGCATTCACTTGTACACACACACACACACACACACACACACACACACACACACACACTTTAAAAATAAATCCTCTTTAAAGGCACACTTTTCCAACTTACAGAAGCCCTATCTTAAATGCCGCATCATCATTAATAACTTCATCACATTTACAAAACAAACCGACACTTCTCACAATAGAATCCAAAGGAGATCTATGCATGGCTTTTCATAAATAGAAAGTGAAACTAACGTTAGTTCAGCTATCACAGTCATGGGGACCAGGACTGAATGAAGAGTTATGTTATGGACAAATCAACATATTATTTATACTTTATTTTAAGAGGCAGATTTCATCACTTCAGCACCAGGAAGCTAGTTTATCTAGCAGTTAAAAGAACTGTTCCTAGACTCAGGAATTTGATTCCAGGTCTTAAGAAAATTTGTTTGCAAATTCCCTTTAAACTTAACCTCTAGGAAATGATAGAATACTTACTCAGTGCTGGATAATTTTATGTCAACTTGACCCAAAAAAGTCCATTTGTGAGGGGGAACCTCAATTAAGAAAATGTCTCCATAAGATCAGGTTATAGACAAACCTGTAGGGCATTTTCTTAATTAGTGATCAATGGGATAGGGCCCAGCCTACTGTGAGTGGTGTTATCCCTGGGCTGCTGGTTCCGGGTTCTGTAAGAAAGCAGGCTGAGTAAACCATGATGAACAGCCAGTCAGCAGCACCCCTCCATGACCTCTGCATCAGCTCCTGCCTCCAGGTTCTGGCCCTGTTTGAGTTCCTGTCTGACTTCCTTCAGTGATGAACAGAAATATGAAAGTGTAAGTAAAGCCAAATAAACCCTTTCCTCCTCAACTTGCTTTTTGGTCATGGCGTTTCATCACAGCAATGCCTAACTAAGACAAACTTCTTATTTTGTTTTTAAGGCAGTAAGAAAAATCAACTTATTAAAGTTGTGGGTATTTAATAGCAATAGAGCATGCCACAATTTGAGTATGGCACAGTTAGCCTTCCACTGAGTCTTCCAGACCTTATGCAAAAGCAAAGGGATAAGAACAAACTAAAATGAAATACATTTGAAGGAGTGATGAGAGGTAGCCCTATGCATGTTTCATAATACAAAAGAGATGTAAGAGCTGCCAAAGCAGCAAAAGTCAAGCATGGATGGGCAGGAACCATGCTGGAGGTGGGGAAGGGAAGATACTGTAAATTCAGAAGAACCTGGTGACTGTAAAGTTCTCAAGCAAAACCCACCTGCAATAATTAACTCACTTAGGAGAAACACTGCAAAGACAAAGAATCAGGAAATGATGAAAGGGAGGGAGACAACACCATTCAGAGCTTATGAGATACTACAAGAGTTAAGAGGAAAGCTTCAGGAGGTACTCAGTGGATGGAGATTGTCCTCCAGAAAATATATATGGTTCAAGGAAGATTAATGGATTAAACACCGGAGAACCATTACCTTCTCTCATGAATGGTGCAAGAGTAGAAGAGAGAACACTTCAAAGATCGCACTGGAGGAGAGACACCACTCCAAGTAAAAGAGACACAAAGGAAAGGGGGGGCAGTCAAAAGAAAGCAGAGGTATTGGAAAAACAAATGAGACCACAAACAGAGAGACCGAACAGTGCTGTAACAGACTCTCACGACTCAAAGTTAAGGTGTTGGGACAGAAAAAGTTTAAGGACATGACCAAATAAATATTCCTTGAAGCACATTAAAGGGTAATGCATGTCTACATATGCGGAAGTACCGTGTAAGCCAGAGGAAGTGATCGAGAATAGTCGATTTTGAGGCATGTGCATTCTGGCGAAGCTACTGGAAAGTACATTTGTAAAAAACAATTATTTTGAAAGAGAGCCATCACAGCTTAGGAAAGGATGCAGCCACCTATGAGAGGGCTGTGCAAGACACAGATATCAGGGAGCTGGAGGGCGAGGTGGGCCTAAGAATCTGCATTTCAAGGCAGGCACTGGCGATGATAACAGTGATGAAGCGTGGCACACATGGAGAGCCACCCTTAAGAGAAGGGACCAGTGGAGGGACGACTAGAGTCCTCAAGAGAACAACACGTGCCCAGGAACTTATAGGCCAGGAAACTGTCACTCAAATACAGCAGCATAGACTTTAACTGCTCATCCGAGCTCTCCCCACAATCAGCAGGAGGCTGAACTGTAGTGAGCTAAATGAGAGCAGGAAGGGAGAACTGGGAATGAGAACGGAGCCCATCTCACACTAGAACCAGAGTAAACTGGGTGTGGCCAGCTGCTGGCAGACAGACCATCGGCCCGATGCTGATGCCTTGAAGATGTAGAATTTACAAAGGGAGCTCAAGTGGGCAAGGAAAGAGAGGAAGGGTGGAGGTGTGAAGTACTATGGCTACACTTCCTTGTGACCTTGACTGGGTTGAGAATCACCATGGAAACACAGTTCTGGAAAGGTGTGACTGAGGGAAAACCTGCCCTGAATTTGGGCTGTATTATCCCATAGTCTGGTATTCCAGAGTGAATTAAAACCAACCAACCAAACAAACAAACAAAAAATAAAAAACAAAGACAAAGTGAGCTGTGCACCAGAATCCATTATCTGTGTTTCCTGAATGTGTGGGGGCAATGTGACCTCCTGCTTCATTCACCTGTCACCTCAGGCCATTGTTGAATATGCCTTCTCACCATGGTGAGCTGCATCTTGTCCAACCATAAGCCGAAATCAACTCTTCTACTTAATGTTCCTTGTCATGAACAGAAAGAATCCTGTGATAAATAGACACCTATGATAAATGAGGGGTGGGAAGGAGAAAAGGGAATGCACTTATAGCCTTATTCAATGGGTAGTCAGTGGATCGCCTGACCTTGACCACCCTGCTTAGGACAGGGTGCCAACTCCGTGGGTCATAATGCCACTGGTGATTTTTAGCTCAAGGTCTGTCTTCCTCCCTCCCTCCCTCCCTCCCTCCGTCCCTTCTTCCCTCCCTTCTTCCCTCCCTCCCTTCCTTCCTCTTTCTTCCTTTCTTTCATCCTTCCTTCCCCTCCTTCCCTTTCTCTCTCTTTCCCTCTAGCTCTTCCTTCTTCCCCCCTGCCTTCCATTCTCTTGCCTTCCTCTCTCTCCTCCTCTTCCTCCCCCTCTCCCACTCTCATTTGCTCTTACTAGTCTTTCCACTGGAGGGGTTGGGAGGTAATGAGTCTCAGGCAGGAAGGTAGCACAGGAGTTCAGAACCCAGAAGATCCGGAGCCACTTAAGCCCATCATGTCAGGATGGACAACCTCCTGAGCACTCTTGAATTCTCATTTCTAACACTGACTGCAGTTTAAACTACAAAGATGACATCAAAACTTAAAAAAAAAAATCAGAAAACTAGAAAAAATATTTATTATGGTACACAGTGACTGGAAATGAATAATGAAACAGTCAAACAAAGGTCATAGGATATATGGATATGTTAGAGAAATAAGAAAGAAATAACCAAAAAAAAAAAAAAGCATGAAAAAAAAAAAAAAAGGATCAAAGCAAATTAACCAACTAGGAAAACACACACACACACACTCAATCCATGCTGGTTCCTTATCTAAAGAAAAGCACATCAGCCCTATCTAATTCAGAAGAGAAGCAAGAGCAAAATTAAATAAAAATGATGAAGGAAATAAGTCAGTATCAATGAAAATTTAAGAACCAGAGGGGCCCACTTTGTTCATGGCTATGTAGTTAAGCTTGAAGACTTGAATTAAAAGGGTAATTTTTTTCATGGCTATGTAGTTAAGCTTGAAGACTTGAATTAAAAGAGTAATTTTCTAAGGGCCTAGAATTTAAAAGAATTAGCTATATGAAAAGTAGCAAATATCAATAGAGAAAGGCGTAAACAAGTCAGCCAGAGGCAACAAGAAAGTGGGTGTGTAGGTTCATCCAGACAATAACTGTCTCTAATGCTGTCTTTGCTGTTCCAGGGTGAGAGAAATATAAAGTTCTCCATGTATCACTTGGAAAATTTAAAGCTTATGCCCCCAAACCAACGAATAGACCCCAGCCAGATTATGAGCACCAGTGTAGAACCCTTGAATAGGATTTAGAAAAGTGAGTTCAACCACTTTAAAAATAGTAAGGCAAAATCATATAGAATTCAGGAATGTGATATGGCTTGAAACTTGTGTAGTTCTAAAGAAAAACAAATGTTAAGATCATCTTAGCAGATAGAATCTGTAAGGAGCTTTAAAAAAATTTTTAGTCCTTAACAAAAGATGAAAACTTCTGTGCCAGGATAAATTGAAATTCTAACATGAAGTTTGGAGAAAAAAAAATGGTAGAAAATTCTGAGGACAAACACACCCAACATTATCCACTAATTTAACCCACAACACTCTGGAAATCTGGGCCAAGCCAATTAAACAAGAGAAAGGGCTGTGAGGTGATCACTGGAGATGGGAAGTGACACACCAGCATTTCTAAACAGTGCGTTTACACAGCTAAGAAAACACTTGGGAATGTGGGTAAGAGATGCCTGCGTCCAAGTTCAGCAAGACGAGAGGCCACAAAACAAAGAGCAACTTCTTCACCTCTCTACATATCATGGCAACCAGTTTGAAGATAAATAGCTTATTTGTATCAGCACAAAATAATGAATGCCATGTAAGTTTCATATGGAAACAAACGTTTCCAAAGGAGTGAGGAAGGATAGAAAGGAGCAGAGTATGTTCTATTGAAAGGGGGGCTTAGGAGCATAAAACTACACAAATTAACTTTAAGTTAAACACAATTCCGATAAAATTGCCAATATCTTCGTGTTAGTCAGTGTGGGTCTAAAGTTTATGTGGAAAAATCAAGAAAATATGACTAAAGCCAGGCAGTGATGGCACACAACTTTGATCCAGCACTTGGGAGGTAGAAGCAAGTGGATCTCTGTGAGTTTGAGGCCAGCCTGGTCTACAAAGCAATTTCCAGGACAATTGGCCTGTTACACAAGGAAATCCTGTCCGGGGAAAACAAAACAAAAAACAAAATAAAACAAAACAAAACCCAAAAAACAAAAGCAAAACAAAAAAGATAATATGACCAAATAATCCCAGAAAAGTTGAGGCACCAGGAGCACTAGCCACGGTAACAAGACCTGAGGAAGCTTAACGGTGGCTCTCATGAGAAGTAGAACAAATAGACAAAGGGAAGAGAAAGTCTGCGGATGGCCTAGAACAGGAACCCAGCTTGTAAAGGAGAAAGAGATAACATTCCAGATGTTTCTGAAAAGTGGATCATTTGAGCTACCTGAGCAGTTCTGCTGACCTCAGGAAAGGGAAACGTGAATCTGACATTATGCCAGAATATGTATTCAAATATATTAATTACTTAAATGTGCAAAATTCTATCATAATAGACTAAAAGACATGAAAGAGTTGCTTTATAAATTTGGATAAGGAACATCTTTTTAACTAGGGCATGTATCTCAAAAATTGGGGCTTACCAATAGCTCAGTGGTAGAATATTTGCAATAGTTGCCTAGAATTTGTGAAGCTAGGTTCAACCTTTAGCACCCCCATAATAGATAAAAATAAAATAAACAAGCAAAATTTTCACACGAAAACATCTAAAAGTAAAGCTGAAACATAAATAAACGAAGAAAAATATTTGCAACTTTTGACCCTCACAATAAAAAGACTAATTTTCTCAGTAATGGAAAGTACTCACAAAACCCCATGCTATACAGAACCATAAAAGTGCTCTTTGTGTCTAAACATTGTTTTTGGAAAGGTACTTTAATTTGAATAATGGTAATAACACACAAAGTTTCAGAAGGTGGCCATTTCCATCTTCAGACTGGCATTTATCTGCACTCTTCACAGAGCATGGGCCAGACAGCTCTAATTGAGAACAATTTGGCAATAACTTGGCAAAATATCCTCTTTATTGTGAGCTGCCATGTTCCCACTGCAATGTTACCTTTAACGCTAAAAGATCAGAAGCTATCCCAAAATCCACCAATTACATACAGCTAAACAGGCTTGGCCTGTTAAATCACTATACAGCAGCCACCCCAAAGGGCAGTGATGCCCTTTTGGTCTGGATGGAGGAGCTGCTCTAAGATGAATTTGCACTTACATGGGCAGAGAGCTGGATACTGTGCTTAATGCACTTCTGCTTACAGGAAGCAGAACAAGCCTGATAGTACATGCACACGAGATGTAAGAAATAAAAGATGTGGTTGCCCTATGGGTTAGTGAGAAGAGACTCTTGCTGTGCATCTTGTCAACTGTGTGGGCTTGCACAAGAGGCTAGACAATGTTCAAAACAATAGTTTTCAAAAGGGAAAGAAAAAAAGTTAAGTTTTCCACTCACATCCCACACTGGTCTCCAAGGCTTTAGATTTGCCTAACACACACCAAAACATCTATACAAACATTGGCCATTGTTTGTTATTATTGCTTTGGATTTGTTGGAATTTTCAACTCAAAAGAAACAGGGTGCCCTATCACACGTGGCTCACTGAAGAGGAATGTAAGGGGCTTTTGCGTGTCACCATGTGTGGGAAGGAGGCCCTGTGTGACCTGACTGTGTGACCCCAGGGATCGTTTCTCAATCTCATTCTCCTACCCCACAGCCCTGAGGGGAAGATTAACGAGCTGAAATATAAAGACTTGGTCATAGTCCAAAATGTGAGCTCTGCCAGTCGGAAGCCACCAGGTTGGTTCAGAAGGGTTCAGAGGGTGGAATATGGCTTCCTCCCTGCCAGTGTCCTGGGATGGCATCTCCTTCCCAAGCCTCCAGAGAAGGACAAGTTGCGCCATACCTTTCCTGTATCGGTGGTAGCCAGTCGCTGCAGCTGCACCTGTCACCGTACACAGGCTCATCTCAGCTCCACAACCATCCCCAAAGTCCAACAGCACACAAAGAGCTGTTCCGGAAGCCAGGTGAACACGGATTCCCAGAGCTGCAGGTGCCGGAGCATCTGTTTCTGGGAAATGGCAGACGGCAAAGTGCCCAGCATTTTCAGCCTGTGTCACTGGGATGGACCCAAAAGGATGCTGAGTGAGGGGAGAGGCACTCTCAGGATGGTACCAGGATGTGGGGAGGCTGTAGGTGCAAGCCATCCCAGGAGGAGGATCTGAGGAACTAAGAGAAAGGCAGTCAGGGCAGTCTACAGAGGGTATGGGTGGGTGGGAGGGTAGGTGGGGGCAAACTTTCTAGGATAGCTGGCAGGGAACAGGTCCTGGTGTTCAGTGGGCTCCCTGCCAGCAATACCAAAATCACTGGCCACTTACGACAGGCACTTCTGACCACTGGCTGAGACTCTTAAAGCAAGGCCAGAAAGTCCCCTAGAGACTGGGGTCAGCCCTCTAGAGACTGGGGTCAGCCCTCTAGAGACTGGGATCAACACCCTGGAGGCTGAAGTCAGTTTCTGGAGCACAACTAATCTAGATACAGAAAAAGAAAGGGTAAAATAACCTTTTCTCTATCACTGAAATCATGAGTCAAAAGCCAGTCTTTCTAGAGTCGCCACCTGCTGGGTTTGTACAATGCTTATCTTGACCCACAGTTTCCCATTTCCACCTGTAGCTCCTTGTGCGGGGATCTGGGGACTAGGAAGAGTCAGGGCTACTAGCTCCCAAGAATACAGGACTGCTGTCCCTGGCTTACTGGGAACTGTTGCAGGAGGGCACTGGTGATGGGCATTTAAGCAGTCAGAAGTCTGAGGAAAGGACAGAGCCCTTCAGTGCAGAAGGAGAATGCTCTCACGGACAAGGAAGGGTCCTTAGTGTCAGGAATACTTCACATTTCCCTCCTCTGCCTGTGCTGTGCTTATCCCCCCAGCAACACGGGCAGACAGTGCTGAGGTCTGACTTTCTGACTGCTCTAAAGGACAAAGGGACCACATGACACAGGATGCAGGTGGCAAGGAGCATCCAGTCATATCATCTGGAGCACAGCGGCTTGGCACACTCCCAGCCACAGCTGTAAGAACCAAGAGATCCGAATCAACAAATGACTGCTAGTGACTAAGGCGAGATGTGTGTGGCCTTCACTACCCTCCCTCTGCCTTCTGGGAATGGTAGGAAAATGGAAAGCCAGCTAGATGCCTGAGAGCTGCCTAGGTGCTGGTGTGTGGGGATGTGCCGCCCTGGTGGGGGCCCCCTAGCGGCAGACCTCACAAGCAGCATCTTGGAGAGGTTTTCCACAGAGCTCAGCAGTCCTTCACAGAAGAGAACGTCCTTCTTCAGGCTGCAGAGGGCCGCTGCTGAAGGGACACCCTGCAACATAAATGTCTAAAGTCACAGGAGTTTCTCCAGTCCCTGCTCTGACACACGTTTTCCAAAGTCAACTTAGTAAATGGCCCATGAGATTGCAGACTCCTTAGACTGAGGACTCTGGTGTGGCTGGGAAAATGTAAAGCAACCTGTCCATGGCACTGGCTTCAGAACGAAATGGGGACAGTTCCCAGCAAAGAGAACACCCAGCTGGGAACCCCCACACAGGTGGCACCAGCAACTTCAGGGCGACCTATTACCATTTCATGTTGTCAATGGCACTGCGTTCGGAATGAAAGGGGGCCATTCCCAGCAAAGACAGCATCCTGCTGGGAACCCTCTAGAACTACACAGGTGGCACCAGGAACTTCAGGGATGGCCTACTATCACTTCATGAAGTCAGCCTGTGCTAAGGCAATAGGTTAGCTATTTATATGATCAGTATGCACGAGGCCGGCAGCTGAGAGATGACATTACCACAGGCAGGAAAGTGTGGACTCTTTTTTTTTTTTTTTTAAACCACAATAACATATTTCAATTCTGCACAATCTTGCAACATCTAACAGAGTTAGAAAGACAAAGGAGTGGTCACTGATCAGCTCAGAGGCAAGTTCTTCAAGGGCTGGGCTCAGACACCAACCTGCTGGGGACCAGAGAATGATCCATCTGCCCTTTCAGTCTCACGTGGCCACAGAAGACAGGAGCAGGGACCGGCAATATTCCTCATGTTCCTGCTCATGACAGAGGGCAGAGAGATGCTGTCATATGCTTGGCACATCTGACTGTTATCTGGAAGACCCTCCCTGTCACCCAAGCCCATAAGGCAGTCCATCAGAGACTTAGATGTGCTGTGAACCGGCCCACACAGGGCTATGGCAGATGTCATTGAGAAGTCTTTAGGGAGGAAGGGAGCCCAGTTAAAGCCATTTGCTAAAATGTGTACATCCCACACATGCTGGGCCATCAGTATGCACTGTGGCCTAAGCCCATGCCCTGTAGCACAGACAGGGAGTTGGGGTCCAGGAAGGCAGGTCCTGGTTATGAACCCTAATCTGTGGCTAGCACCTCGTGTCCTGTGCCTCTCACTGACCACAGCAGGCTCAAGGTCTGCAGGTTCAAGGCCCTCATGGAGGCAGTGAACTGTGGCATGTGACTAACTTCAGAATTCAGCTCTGGTCCCGGATCTGTTGCTGTGTCCCCCTTCCCGGCTTCCCTCATGGTGCAGGACACAGACACCATTCCATCCACTGGTGGAACCAGTTCCCTTTACACTTCTGATGGCACATCTTCCTGCATTGTCCCACGTAACTTTGAACATCCCTAATGGGTCTCACTTTCTGGCTCTTTGCTTTCTGGTTTGGTTTTGTTTTTCATTTATGGCTCTTTACTTCTTAACACAGAAATGTATTAAGCTGGGGGTGTAGCTCAGGCTCTCTGCTCAACATTAAGAGGATCTCCTTTTTAGAAAAGACAGGCCTTCCCTTCTGCCCAGACACGTTATCCAGAGCTTTATTCAACCAGATACTACTGGGAGCAATGCTGGTGTAGGAGGAGAAAGCAGAGTTTAGGGCTCCTGCCTGAGACAGCTCTGCTTTGCTCTTGGTGACTGTTGACTATTGACTAAGGTCACACACAGCAGAGAGAAGAATGGCATTTCCTTGATGGCCCACAGGGAGTGTTAACCCCGGGGAATGTTTTCTTTTAATTGAACAGTTATACCTTGCCAAGTCCTACATAATTTAAAATAAGCTATATAACACTTCAGTGCTTGACTCTCACGTTGGAGAATGTTGTTTCGCCCAAGCCAGAAAGAACTTGATTATTGACGTGGGCTTGGGTGGGTGGGATGGGTGACAGACTGGCCTGTAAAATCTGACAGCATGTATTTTATGCTGAGATGCCCTATAATGAAATAGGCAACACAGACAACAGCAACTGAAAGACCTTAAGCTGTCAGACTACCAGACACAGACAGACAAATTCCACCCCTAACAGGAAGCCACATGTTTGTAAAGTAGAATCCAGGAAAGCCATAGTGTTGGGCCCACCCTTCCAGTGGTCTGGGCCACAAACCCTGCAGGATGGGGGGGGGTATGCTATGCTCTCCAGTGTTCCCCACACACAGACTTCAAATTTTTGGTTATGTAATATTGTTTTGCTTGTTGGATTGTACAAGAATAAAGAAAAACATATTTATATATAAAATATTATATCACAGTGAACGTGTCTAAGGTAGAGTTAAGCAATCATGATTATATTCACAGACCCATGCCACCAGTATCCAGGATTTTTACTTCCCTGGGAACCTTGAAACGACCCCCAGATGCCCCCACTCACGCTACCCCACCCCTTGGCCACTCCTCGTCTACTCTTGCATCCGTGGCTCAGACTTCCCTAGTAGGAACTGCACAGTAAGGGTTGCTTTTTCAACGGGCTCATTTCACAAAGTCCCACATCCTCGTCCTCAAGGTCCCCTAACAGTTTTTGTTTCCAACTCCAATTCCCACATACCCCACTGAGGCTTTGCCAGCTCCGTTCCTGGTATTGCCATCATGCCGAGCCTCATTCTAAACTACAACATAATATATACAGCACGAGCTTTCAGGCAGGGCAGAGCTTTCAGACTCCATTTGAAAAGCAGCATCTGGCCCCCTTTTGAGGGCAAATGCAGACACAGAAAGACTCTGTACCTCATAGTGCATGTAGCCGCCACCACTTACTTGTCTGGTGTCATCATGACTGATACACGGCTCATTCCTAAATGTAACAAGATGTCATTGGGAAATCTATCAAAGCAGCTTGGCAGCAGATGAGCACAGGGGTGAATCCCAACCGTATCAGGGAAATGCCCAAGAAGTAGCTCCATGGCTAAGCAGGTAAAAAGGATTGCCGTGAAGGCCTGCTGACTTGAGTTCAAATCCCAGAACTCATAAAAAGCCAGGCACAGTAGCTTATGTCTGTGATGCCAGCACTAACAGGGCAAAGGTGGAGGTGATGAATCTATAAAGCCTGCAGGTCCACCAGCCTGGATACAGACAGAGTGGCAGAAACAAGGTAGATGCTGTGTCAATAAGGTGAAAGGAAGGGACACACTTCTGAACATTGTTGTTTGCTCTCCACACTTATACCAGGGCTTTCAAGTGCCTACAATTATAAAGACATCACACACACACACACACACACACACACACACACACAGAGTAATGATAATAAAATAATAATAAAGAACTGGTCTCTGTGATATATGCATAATTTGTTTTAAAAAGTGTGGGGGGAGATAGAATACAGAGACAGAGAGAGACAGAGAGACAGAGAGAGAGAGAAAGGAAGGAACAAAAGAATGAATAAAAAAGGAAACAAGCCAGCCTAGAACTTACAAATACACTAGATTGAGCAAGGTTACAACATTCTTACCTGAACTCTGTAAGGAAAGGGAAGCTAACACTGCAATGGGGACACCCTCCCTGACATCTGACTACCCAGTGTGAGCATAAAGGGACAGGCAGGCAGAGAGCTCCTGACTGTCCTCAGGGCTTGAGTCTACCGTGGTCTCCACCACAGCAGAGGCAATACCCTTGCCCATAGCTCCCATAGCACTGAGTTCCTGCAGCTTGACTCAGTGGGGACCCAACAGCCCTGCCACCCTGCAGCTGTATCACTAGTGGCTCCCCACCTGGCATCACAACCTAATTAATCCCTGCAGTAATTCTGCACCTCTAAAAGCCTTCTGTCTGTCTCCGGTGATGCTCCCTGAAGTCCTTGAACCCCACTGTAGCCCCTTTGATCATCTATAGCTATTCTATGACCTACATGTGTGAACATATATATAATTACCATGTGATTAGTAACTGAGATTGGAGGAGAAGAACTGTGTTTGCCTCAGCCAGCTTTCAAGGGAAATCAGCACTACTTTGCAGACTTCAGCCAACAAAACCCACTCAGATCATAAATGCATTATTACTCAGGGAATTTAGTATTGTGGAAAGGTGCAATGTATCTGCCTGTCTGTGTTTCTGGCATAGCATGTCCATGATTGAAGTTCACAATAGTGACATGAGGACTCGTACCTGGCAGCACTTTGTGTGCCTCCCAACATTTGGTGCTGTCTACTTATACAACCTTGTCTAATAATAATAATAATTACTATATATAGGCATACAAATATTCACATACATAAAATATATGCATGTATATACATGTATAGTATACATATACATAAATATATGCACATATATACACGTATAGTATGCACAAACATAAATATGTGCACGTATATACATATATAGTTTGTATATACATATAAATATATGCACGTATATACATATATAGTATGCATATACATATGCACATGCACACATATACATATACATATTCTTTTTCCCTTTGGTGTTGAGAGGTTTAAATCTTCTTTGGGGTGGCAGAACAGACCCTGACGTTGACATCTGAGATGTTCCCCATGATTCCCATGCTGTCCGTATACTCAGAAATGCCAGACTGCCTGGGCTTCCTTGACCCACCTGTCAGTACCGTCATCCCAGCGTGGAGGAGCTTGTGATTCTCTGTTAACAGCAGGTAGTCTTCCTTCTCGACTTGTGTTCAAAACGTTCTACAAGGAAAACAAAGTAAAACTGTGAACACTGGGGGAAGGATCATTATTCATTATAAAACAGCAGCCTCCTCCACCCCTGAGTGCCAGGCACTGTCCTTCTCCCCAGGGAGAGCAACAAGGAAGACAGACAGACTGACAGACTCTGCTCCAGGGCTGTGGGAAGGAAGCTGTGGAAAGCTGGCTGTGGGAGGCTGGGGTATGGGGAGGGAGCTCATCTGGATGAGAGAAGATGGTGGCATTCCTCAGTGTGGCCTGGGAGGTGGGGTGGATGGGTGTTGGTTAAATTAGAACAAATGGTAAGTCCAAGGGGTGTGGCCTGCTTAAAGGAGAACATAGGGCAGGGGACGCAGGGGTAAGAGAGGGTTCTAGATGGGTCATGAGAATGACCCAAAGGCTTTGCCAACTGCACTTTGATACACGCAGACCTCCTTGAGACAAAACTTCTATTCCTGTGTGACTTGGACAGCAGGGCTGAGAATCAGGAGGAAGTCCCAACCCAAAGCTGGCTGGCCACAGCAAATCCCCACACTTGAGCAACACGTGACTTTAGGTTGGATTGCTTGTGTGTTTTCATCCGCCCCTGTTCTTGTTTGAAGGCAGGCCACTCCAGGTCGCTTTGTTCTGGAACCCATTCCCAGCATGCCCCACTCCTGATAAGGCAACTACCCCTCCATCTTCAACCCTGTGTCTTTTCTCTCACAGTAACTGCAAGTGTTGTCCCTTCCCGAGCACTTCAGCCTCCGTGGCTGTTTGTCCCCAGTGAACTCATGCACCAGGTAGATAATAGCTCTTTAGTAAAGGCCTTCAAAGAGCTTCCATGCCCACTAAAAAATGCTGTTCCACACTTTGTGCTGCTCGAAGCCTATGGTGGGAGGTAACCCCCCAAACACATGAGGGACAGTATCATCCTCAGACTGAGAGGCAGTACCCCTCCTCATTTAAGGAACAGCACCATTTCCCTCCCGAGGGCAGTCTTACCCCACTCCTGAGGAGAGCTATCATTCCCCTACCCAAGGGCCATTCTCATTCTCCAACTGAAGGGCAGTCCACACCTCACCACTACACAAAGGATGGCCCCACCCTATTCCAACTGGAAGGCCAGCCCCATCTCCTGCAGGGAAGCCCCATCCTTTTACACCTGAAAGACAGCACCCCGGTCCTGGTCCCCATATGAGGAGTTGTCCTCCCCCACTCCCATTTGCCTGGGAGGCTCCTCTGCCGGCTTGTCTTTCTCATGACAGAATGAAGGTTTTAAAACTTAAGCGTGTACCCCCTCTGCTCAAGCATACATGCTGTGACAGTGACCTCAGAAGTCAAGGCAGGGGCATTTGAAGCTGTAACCCCCCCTACACACACACACACACACACACACACACACACACACACACACACACACAATTGTTCTCAGAAGGAAAGGCCTAACTGATCCAGTGTAAGGTGCACCTTGTCCCATGGAGCTGGTGAAGATGGCTTCTGTGACTGAGTGTCTCCTGCTGTTCCTTTAGGATCTTGTGAAGGACAGCTGCCCTGCTCATCACTCACATAGAGCTCTGGGTTAGTCTGAATCTCTAGAGAAGGAGAAACGTATATTCAGAGGTTGGTCACTTGCCGGAAGATGAGAGCAGAGATGGAGAAGCCTTGACGGGAACACTGGGTCTAACTCCTCTGAAGGGGCCACTGTGAAGCTATCCATCTTCAGGATAGTGCCTGTGGTCATGTCTTTGCTCTCCTTGTCTGAAAGGGCTTGGGTGAGGACCCACTGGGCAGTGTGCGGGAAGGAATGCATGGCACTAGCCACAATGGAGGAGGGGATGGTGATGGATAGGAGCACAGTTCTGTTCTGTGTGTGAGGACGAAAACTCTGTTTAAGCACCTTTTACTGCAGCTTGTATTTGGGCCAGCTTTCTCTCATAGGCAGGAGGTTGAGGCTTGAAAGCGGAAGGTTGTTGAGGGCAGAGCAGTAGGTTTGAAAGCCAAATCAGAAGAAGATGAGGCCATTCCCACAGGGATCCTGCTTCAAATCCCAAAGTACCTCTGGGTAAGGACGAAGGCAGTCAGTGTCCCCAAGCTTCTAATCTTCTGGGGCAATGTCAAATCTAATTTGAACATTTTGATCAAGAGTCCAGTATATTAATATGAGCTAAAGGGAACCTGAGGTCTTGACACCAGACATTCTGTCGAGTATATGAGGAGCAAGGTTCAGCTGCCAACCACATGAGCAACTCAGGTCTGAAAGACTTTTGTGTGTGTGTGTGTTTTTATATAGGTGTTTTTTAATTGCACATAATTTCTATTTGACACTATCTTCTTTCTTTTTTTATTCCTTCCTTCCTTCCTTTCTTTCTTCCGTTCTTTCTGTCTTTTCTAAGATTTATTTATTATGTATAAAGTGTTCTGCCCAGAAGAGGGCACCAGATCTCATTGTAGATGGTCGTGAGCCACCAGCTGGGAATTAAACTTAGAACCTCTGGAAGCAGCCAGTGCTCTTAACTTCTGAGCGATCGATCTATCTATCCAGACCTGGCCTGAAAAAGTTCAACGAACTTCTCACATCTACAGAGAAAATATTTATAAAACTGCCCTGAGCCAGGAGAGTAAAAAAAATGCCCTGTTTTTCTGATCCCACCACATTTCTGAGTTCCAGCAGGTGAAGAAAGTACTGCCCAGTTCTCGGTGGCAGCTATACAAGTCACTGACATGGAGAACTTTGAAAACAATGATTTTTACATTTTGAGAGAAAATACCCCAGACATGTCAACTCTTCTCCTCAGGCAGCTGGAGAGTCCCGGGTGGTAATGCCTTTTCTTAGTGAATGTTAGTAATAGCGTTTTGGGCAGCCCGGCTCAGAGGGAGCTCAGTGGTAGAGTGCTGTAGAGTGCTTGCCCAGAATGCACAGCCTGGAGTCAGTCCTCAGCAATGACACACACAAACATTTAGTTAGGGTGGTGGCAGATGCCTGTAACCCCGTCATTTAGGAGGCGGATCACAAATTTGAAACCAGCCTGTGCTTCACAGCAGGAAGCAAGACCCTTTGCCAAAACACCACTACTATGACGCTGATGGTGATATTGATGATAATGTTGATGACGGTGGTATTATATTGGGGGTTGTGAGTTTGGCTCAGTGACGCAGTTCTTGCCTAGCATTTGTGAAATTCTGGCTTCCATCTGAACCACCTAAACAATGATAATAGTAACAATGGAACACGTGTCTCTGTGAAGGAGATCTGGGGCCAGGGAGCCAGGTCCTGGAATCCCCACTCCCTTTCTGTTACTGGTCTCTGTGGATTTCATTGTAGACTCAGGGTTTGTCCGGGTGTGGTCCCTGCACCTCTCCTGAAGCAGAAAACCTGGAGTGGGGCCCAGTGGAGAGTTTAAAACTGTACCACCATAGCATAATGACCATTTCAAGAGCAACATCTCTGGACAATGGAATTGCCACATGAACATCTTTCTTGTAGGATCAGTGTGACATTCTCATCAAGGACAGGAAGTTGAAGGCAGAGGAATTGATGGTTAAACTAGCGCTTATCTTCCTAGGGGCTTCTCTGCCTGATAAACTTGTAGAGTACAGGCCTTGACTAACTCAGGACTTAAGTGGTAGTCTCCAACTAAACCTCTGCATCGTCATTTCCTTTCTCCAGAAAGGGTTTTGAGCCACAAAACTTGATTAGAGCTGTGTGCTTTTCTCCTCGGCTCATCTCTCACATGTTATTTTACCTGTGGACTCAGCAGGGACCCTTTGAGGACAGACGTGGGTTGTTGCTTCTATACCTTTGACCTGTATTTGTTAATGGGTGAACACAAAGGCCCGGTATCCAACAAGGGCTCCAAACCACAAGGCTGCCTCCCACTAGATACGGTGCTAGATGGTGTGTGGAGTAAAACACAGGCAACACTGGTTACCTGTGGCCTGGCTGTGGTGGCCCAGCCCTTTTCCCAAGTCCTTACCAACTGGCACTCCACAGCAGAAGGTTCTGAGACTGCAGCCACAAAGTCGAAGACACCCGCTGTCTCCAGCCCTGGTTGAGATTTCGTCATTTGAAGAAAGGGAGCAAACCAGCTGGAAACACCTATGCGTGAGAATAAAGGGAGGGGTTAGTGCAGACCTGCCACGAAGCGTGGCCACACTGTGCTACCCCTCACCCATGTCTGTGTCTCTGTCACAGACCCATCAGGCACAGTGTGACTGTCACACAAGCAAAGAGTAACTCACTATTGTGGCTTCTGCACTTTGCTTTCAAATGTGGAGGCTGCTTCTAGTTAACTAAACTCAGGTCCCATCAGGCTGTTGTAGAAGCCTGGGTCTGTCTTCCTGTTAGGTGGAAGAAGCTGGCACTCAAGCTCAGCCCTGGGCTCTGGGACTTGTCCTCTGCACCCCACTTCCAGCCTCACTGACTGTTCTCCAGCCCTGGTAACATGTTCTGTCGAGTAACACTGGGGTTCAGGAACCCATGTGTACTACTGGTTTGCTCTCCAGAGAAACGCAGACCAGGCTGTGGCTCCCAAAGGTCTGGATGTCAAGGGCTTGGTCCCCAGAGTGGTGTCACCAGGAGGTGTTGGAACCTTTAAGAAGTAGAACCCAGCCAGGTGGTGGTGGTGCATGGCTTTAATCCCAGGACTGGGTAGGCAGAAGCAGGCGGATCTTTGTGAGTTTGAGACTAGCCTGGTCTACAGAGCCAGTTTCAGGACAGCCTCCAAAGCCACAGAGAAACCCTGGAGAGAGAGAGAGAGAGAGAGAGAGAGAGAGAGAGAGAGAGAGAGAGAGAGAGGGAGGGAGGGAGGGAGGGAGGGAGGGAGGGAGGGAGGGAGAGAGAGAGAGAGAGAGAGAGAGACCTGCTCTTGCTCTTCCAGTAAGATGACCCTCATCCTCCGCCTGTAGGCTGTGACTGATGGTTTTGTTCTGTCACATACTTGCGGCCCTTATGCACTACTCCTCTGCAGGTCTAAATCAACAAGGCCAACTCACTATGGGCTGAGACAGTCCAGACATATCTTTGGTCACTATTAGGAGATTTGTCTCAGGTCTCAGAAAACACAGGCGTCAGATGTAATTACTTTGTATGGTGAAATCTTGGAAGCTGAGGGAGAGAGGTTAAGTTGGGAATGTTTAGCAAGCTGAAGAGGCAGCATTCAGTCTGAACCAGCATTCTGGTTTTGGAGGCACTAAAAGCTCCACTTCAAAGACCTTCTCCTGTTACTCTCTAATGGGGTCTCTAGACTCAAATGAATCTTGCAGTCTTGCGGTCAGCCTGAGGCCTTGGACCTTGCCCTCCAGACAGGGCTCCTCAACACCTGAGCTAATTATGGCTGGCACTCAGTTGACAGTCAAAAAACAATCCAAGAGCAGCAGATGAATTGACCTGGAACTAGAGTGTGCGTTCTGGTTTTGATGGTGCTATTTGGATTTTGTATCCATGATGGCTGCTAGCACACAACAGGGCTGCAGTGGAGAAATGGAAATTGTCATCCATCTCTGCTCCTGCGAAACGTGGTGTTTCTTCCTAGACAGCAGCACCTCCCCCTCCCCCTCCTACTTTCCCATCTCCTTCCCCCCTTCCCTCCTTTCTTGCTCCCCCTTCTATCTTCCTCTAATCCAATGGAGAAGAAAGGAGCCTGTATCAAGGGCTGGCGCTGGGGTTGCTGTCCCAGCAAGGGCCTCTTGTAGTGTTCCATTACAGCTGAGGGTTTAGTCTGATCCTTTGGTGTTAGATTCTACTTCTTTTGTGAAAATACGTTCAGCTCTTTTGATCAATTTAAAGCTGTGGTTTTCTTTTTACCTTTGTTGGGTGTCGATGGAATGAGGAGAAGGATGTGTGTGTGTTTTAGTTTCAATAAAGGCTGTATAAAAGACTGGATAGTTCTATCCAATTTTCATGAGCTCGGTTCTTGATGCAATAACCAAGAAACCACCACCAGAGGGCAGACGAGGACACTATGTAGGCGAAGGGAGGCGGAGAAACCCAGAAGCAGTCAGCCAGCCCAAATGTGAAGATTAAAAGAGGCAGCAGGTGTGGATGGCCTGTTATACTGAGTAATTCCAAGGGTGACGCTGTCTAGCTCTCACTATGCTCACTTGTCAAAGGCCAGAAAAGGGGGTGTGAACAAGAAGATAGCCTTGGAACCAGCAAACCACACTACCGTGTCAAAGGCCTGCAGCACTCTGGAGGTCAGAAGACTGTGGAAAGGGTTCCTAACGTCTGTCTGTCCACTCGCAGACCCCACAGTCCACGCTGAGGGGCAGACTACTTGATACTCACAGCAGAGGGGTAATTTCTTATAACTCTTGACTGAAGACATCACATATTTTAACACCAAGGGGTTGCTGGTCGGCGGGAGAAGGGCTTCAGAATAAAGGGGCAGGTAATTTTAAAGAGGCAAGCGGAAAATGAACTGCCAAATTGAACCGTCTTTGGCAGCAGAGACACTGAACAAAGGCAATTCCAAGCAGCAATAAGGGCCCCTCAGTTGTTCTCTCCTTGTGTGTTTAGTGAAAGGATGACGATGTCCAGGACACAGAAGGAAGCAGACTGTGAGCTAAAAGGCAGGCATGCAAGCATTCCCCTGGATGCTGCTTCACCCATCTGCAGTAGCATGATGGGGCAGACGGGTGGTAAGGGTACTCAGATTTGGGGGTGAGGAGGAGTGTCCTGCCCGGGGCCCACACTGGAATTTGGGACTCTTTCAGTCTGACTCAGAAGAGCAGTAGAGTCCCAAAGTCTGTACTGTAGCTGCCCCTCATGCCAGGCCAGAGGACAGCTATGTTCCAAAGCTGGACCGGTTTGACTGGTTCAGGCCTTAGAAAGAGGGTACGGGAGATGCTTATGCCATATCTTGCCACCAGCAGCCAGCTGATAGCATAGTTTAAGGTAACACACTTCCTCAGAACAACCAGAAGAAAGTGGGGAGGAGTGATTGGAAATAGGATTGTGCTGTGCCCTCTGATTGGTGGGTTATGTCTCGTTTCTCCAGAGGAACTGACAGGAAACCCTTGTCCTCTGCCAACAGCAGGCAACCCTGTTGGGTTGGTAGGAAGGGTGATGGGCATTGTTCTGGGATGAAGGCAGCCCTTGGAGACCTCTCAAATGTCTTCATTCTCAGCAGCATCTACTGCTACGGTTGAGAGGGCAAGAGTAGCTTGCATCTTTCTCCCTCTCCATCTAAGCAAGCGCAGAATCTCCGCCAGGGCATGGTACTCCAAAGAGAAAGCCTGGATAAATGTGACCTGGATGGCTGAAACAGAGCTCAGGCCCTTCTGCAGCAGAGGGTTGAGAAAGGTACAAAGATTCCAGACTTTTCTGAATTCACATACAGCTATTTGGGTCAGACTTTGGGACATCACAGGCATACCCTGATCTATTATGAAGACAGCAGTCAGATAAAAAGAGTTCTGGGTGTGAAGAGTTATTTAATCCAGACAACTCATTTAAAATCGTCCTGCTTTGCTTCCACTGAAATAAGAATGGATTATTATTGTCTCGCTCGCTTTTTTTAATCACTCTGACAAAGTGTCTAACATAAACAATTTAAAAGCAAACATTATTTATAAGGATAATATACAGTGCCCCAAGAATGTGTTCCTGGTGACCTGTTCCCTCCAGTCAGGTCCCACCTCCTAGTTTCTACAAGCTCCCCAAATAATGCTACCAGCTGGGAATAAGTGTCAACTTCTGAGCCTTTGAGGGGACAGTTGCCATCCAAGCTGTAACCATCCACTGTGAAAGGCTGGGGATATGCACTTGTTGCTCTTGAGAAGAACAGAATTCAATTTCTCAGCACCCACATGGTGGCTCACATTCATCTGCAACTCCAATTCCAGAGGACCCAATGCTTTCTCCTGACCTCTGTAGACACAGGAACTCACATACATTTGTGAGGGGAAACATTCATATAAATTAAATAAGTAAATCTAAACAAAATCTAACTTCTTTTGCAAGAAACATTCCCGAGTGCAGAGTTTGCAATCTGGCTCATCATCCCCACCCAGGCCTAGAACAGTGCCAACTCACCTTTTCTGGTCCTCAAAAATGTCCTCGGCCTTTGCCTCAGCCATGTGCTGTGCTAGCTGGTCCTGGATACCACACTCAGTACACAAGCCTCCTCCCTCGCTCTCTGCAAGACACAGGGTGACAGAGGCACTTAAGGCTTCTTTCCAGTCTCTGCACTGAGAACTCATATCAGAGTACCCACCTCACATGGAGAAAAAGATACACAGCAGCAATAGTTTCCTAATCAGAAAACTTATTTCTCCACTCTCTCCTGAGGAGACAGGTTTGTTTAGGTGTAGATGTAGAAATCTGATAACAGAAAACAACTTTATAAGCTGATAAGCCCAGGCACCCCTGGGAGGAGCAGTACATCATCCGGAATCATTTCCATTACACAGACTCAGGGGCATCCTAAACTCCCCTGCATTATCTCTCACAGCATCCCTTCTCTTGGGGACCCAAAGAGTGAACTGTTCTCTCTCATCCAGCTTCCCACTTCAGCATTTAGAGGCAGGGACCACATCCTCTGTGCTTGTAATTGCTTTGAAAGTGTTTGGTAGTCTCCTAATTCTAATTTTCATAAACTTCTGGACCACCATAGAGTTTATAAAGCTTAGTCTTGTTTTGTCTGACTCGGGAAATTAGAAAGTCCTTCCTTGTGGAATTATCTGTGTGTCTGCACTGAATTCAGGAGAGTGTTAATAGGCATCGCAGGGATGCTTCCCCCCACCTACAAATCTCCTCCCTAGGTGGGAAGGGAAGGAACCGCGGGATAAAAGGAAGAACTTGCTGGGGGCTAATCTCTCTGTGTTTGCTGGAAGTTGTTTGAACTCCCCAGGCTGAGTAAGGAGAGCCTCTGCACCCCACAGAGGCTAAAGGCCACTGTTGACACCGGTGTCCTGTCTCTTCAAGTCTTCCCTCTATGTGTTAATCCCTCTGATTTTTCTCTCTTCTGCACCTGTTGGGGTAAGTGCAGGAATTGGCGGGAAATGTATGCAATTTGTTTGTAAGCAAACAGTGTTTTCTCTCTCTCTAACACCCTGCCCAGGATGTCTTGTGTCACATCTGACACCTCGTGTTTAAAGTGAGTCCAAGAGTAAAGACACCTGCCACCGGGACTGCTGGCTGACAGCCACATCCAGCAACAGAACCCGAGGGCCACTTCTGCCCTTTGGGAGGACTGGATTTAACGAAGATGACAAATTCAAAGTTTGTGGTGGTCAGGCTACTAACCAAAGGCTGCAGGAAATGACAGGAGTGAAGAAAGTGAAAACACAGCCAGTCTGAGCTACTGGGATGTATATGAAGGAAGATTAAGAATTAGCTTCCCGTCATTAGACAATGTTGGTGCAGTTCAACCACAGTGAGGAAATGGCCATTACCTTAGAGCCACCTGCTAGCCTGCAGTTGGGCTCTGTCTTTTTTAACCATGGGGTGCTGTGTTCTTAAACCGCTCACATCCAGCTAAGGAATGGAGTTCCTGGCTGTCCCCACTCTCACTCTGATTCCCATGGCCTGGGATTTGCTGAGCACTTCAGTAATATGGTAGGGAGCACAGCAGGGAGGAAACCCATAGCAGAGGCCAGAGGTGTGCTCCATTAAGGTGAGAAGTAGTATGATTAAGCCAGCTGGAGAAGGCTAGGTGACACCCAATTGGTGCAAACATTCTGGATGTGATTAATGCAATGGCTTCTGAAAATGATCAGTGTTAAAACCACTACCTCGGGTTTGCTTAGGAGCCATCAAAGACTTGGCAGGGTCCCATGTGCCCTTGTTAATGGAAGAAAGGGGGAAAAAAGAAGGGATGGCTTCATTTATTTGCATAAAATTAATATGTAAGGATGAAAGCCCTCTGGAATGAGCCTCAAGAGAATCTTCTGGAAGGCAAGGAATGAAAACAGCTACCCAACTCTCATTGGTTAGCTTAAAACAAAAGTCATGTCTTTTAAAAGCATCCTTTGAAACCACACATTCTCCATTCAAATTTAATACACAATTTTGACTTAGATAATTGCTTATGGAGGGCTGGAGAGATGGCTCAGCCATTAAAAGCTAGGCTCACAACCAAAAATATAATTGCTTATGGAGTCCTTAAATTATATACAATGCAAAAGATAGATGCTTGCATGCAAGTAGCATCTTCTGCAGAATTTAATATTCTAAACAAAATGGCAAACATTTATTTATACAATTCATAGTATAAATAAAGCAGATAATCTGTTGTACCAAAGGCATGGGTGCTTCCCGAGATGAGTCCTCATATGTTAAGATGCTGTCGATGACATCTAACATCCAGTTCAGACCTGGGCAGTAACACATTTGCAGCTATGATAGATGCATAACAAAAGATACAAGGGAGGTAATTCCAGAAGGTTGTTTGTAGGAACAGTCAGCTTTGCATCTCAGGTCTCCAGCCCAAGTTCTGATTAGTATTATTTCACAGCTAACATTCACTTTCAAACTAAGTTTGCTGGAAAGACACCAAAGAGAAGGCCAACATCACTCCACCTTTCACAGGCTAGTGTGCCCTTCCTTAGGTGGCACAATTGCCAATACTCATTTCTTTAAAAAAAAAAAAAAAAAAAAAAAAAGATTTATTCATTTATTAAATATACAGTGTTCTGTCTGCATTTAGGCCAGAAGAAGGCACCAGATCTCGTTCCAGAAGGTAGTGACCCATGATGTGGTTGCTGGGCCTCTGGAAGACCAGCTAGTGTTCTTAACTTCTGAGCTGTCTATCAACCTGTAGATGTCTCCTATTGTCAGTCTGCATCATTCCCCAGCCTTAGCCATCCTCAGGGTCCCAACATTCATAGAGAATCAAACACAGTGTCTGGACTGATTTTTGGTAAATTGTGCTGGTGTAGCATGGGGTGCAGGTAGATTGTGAAGTTGAGACAGAACCGAAACTTACCATTGGTTGAGCTGATAGCTGGAGTGGAGAACAGGGCCCAGGCTGTGACAAGCACTTTCCAGCCCATTGTCAGGCAGCCTGCTCCCATGGGGGTCTTCTGCTAAGCAGAAAGATCACAAGTGGCTCTGCTCAGTGAGTGCTGATGGGAGAATGTCCACAGAAGGGTCCTGATACAGCCAGGTCTGACCCTTTCTCCCTAGGAGCCAGAGAAGTGAGCCTTCCCTGCTCCATTAGCATATTAAGGGCAATGAACCAATGGCAAGGTCTGCCTGAGAAACATCCTGCACAGAGGAGCCCCAGCCAGCTGGAAGGCTGTTTCTGCAAAGGTGAGTATGCCCTAAAAGGACAGAGACAACAGTGGCTTGCTAAAGGAAACAGAATGTGTGTGTGTGTTTGTGTGTGTGTGTGTGTGTGTGTGTGTGTGTGTGTGTGTGTGTGTGAAAAATAGCAAGTGGCCCGTCATCTGTAATGCCAAGTCAGAGCACACTTTTATTGTCAACTTTAAGTGACAGAAAACAGTTTTGCTTCATCTGTGGGAACTTTAGGGATGGAGGTATAGTTAAGTGATAAAGCAGGTGTCTAGGCATTGGGTTCAGTTTTCCACTATAGAGGGGGGAGTTGGGGAAGAAGGAGGAGGAGAGAAGGGAGGAGAGAAGAGAGGAGGGGAGAGGGAAGGGGAAACACTTTGACCCACATAATTGAATTAAAAATGGTATCTCTCCTATAATCTTTCACAGTTCTCATTTACTTCAAAATAAAAATATCTACAACAGTTAAATGTCTCAATATGCTGCCTCCAAATGCCTTTGCTCCTTTGACCATTTGACACGTGGGCAGACACCATTCCCTAACTTTTCTCTGTCTGGACAGTACCAGTAATCATAGTAGAGATGATGGCAATGTTGTAAGGTTTGGCAACCACTGTGATTTTTTTCTCTCTTAATAGCCTTTGCGAGCACAGGGAATCAACATGTCCATCTTCATATTTAAATTGTTTCAACACTTTTTTAAAAAAGATTTATTTATTATGTAGTGTCCTGCCTGCATGTATGTCTGCACGCCAGAAGAGAGTGCCAGATCTCATTATAGATGGTTGTGAGCTACCATGTGGTTGCTGGGAATTGAACTCAGGACCTCTGGAAGAGCAGCCAGTGCTGTTAACATCTGAGGCGAACACTTTTTTTTTAAATGTAATTTTTAAAATAATTAAACATTTTCCACTTATGATTATATTATTTCTCTCCTCCCCCTTGCCCACTTTGCTCTCATTCAAATTAATGCCTCTCTCTCTTTCCTTTTTTTTTTTTTTTTCGGGGAGGGGGGTGAGTAACAGGGTTTCTATGTGTAGCCCTAGCTATCCTGGAATTCAATTTGTAGACCAGGCTGGCCTCAAACTCAGAAGACGTGTCTGCTTTTGCCTCTCCAGTCCTGGGTTAAAAATGTGTTTCACCACTGCCTGGTTGACTTTTTTTTATTAATTGCTGTTACACACACACACACACACACACACACACACACACACACACACACACTGCATGGCCCTGCATGGACCCTTGAGGCACCTTGAGCAAGCCTGAACCTGTTGGCCAAGCCTGAACCTTGAGCAAGCCTGAACCTCCTTGCTCCAAAGCTGTTATTGGAACTCTTCCCGTTTTGACAACACACACCTCGTGGGGAGAAGCTAAGCCTAAAACTCCTGTTATTTTCACTGTGCTGTAAGTCAGTATTTAAGCCTGTTTTATCCCCTCAATAAACAGCATTTGGCATTCGGCATTCCGACATTGCCATTGAATGAATGACCCACTCTTTATTTCAATCTCTAGGCCTTCACCCGAGCATGGGCACTACAAGTGGAGGTCACACCGAGGTTGAGAAAGAAAGGATCACCTAAGAGATCGCCCTCAGAGGCTGGCCCGGCAAAGTAAATGAAGGAGGGTGTATTGAGGGATGGGTGCCAATAACTAGGGAAATGCTCAATGGTTCTATTGAAAAGACAGGGCACCGGAATTAAAACAAGACAGCTGAAGAATTCATTGCCATAACATAAAAGAAAAAAAAAATGGCAGAGATGATTAGGACTTTTGAGGAAGTACAAGATTTACAATCTATGAAATCTATCAGAACAAGAGGGATCTCAACTAAGAGATGGTAGTCTTACTGTAACTAATGATGAAAAAGGTAATTTGGAAGCAGAATTTGAACAATTAAAACAAAGAATTTCTGAAGCTTATGAGCACAAATGCCATCTTGTATGTATGTATGTTCTGTATGTATGGTATAGCCACACAAACATGTGTATGAAGTGTCATTATAAATGTGTGAATCCTAACAAAGGTACTATTTGAATTGCTTGGGAGATAGTCAAAAAAGACATCCGGTCAGTGTCTTACTTGGAAGGGTTGGCGATCTGCACATCCCACAGCTGGCCTCCAGAGTGTGTCAGTGGGAAATGGCCAAAGCCAGCATGGCCTAAGAGCCAAAGGATTCTGTATGGGCGACTCAATAGCCTTTAGCAGAGGAGTGGGTACTGCTGTGACTCCAGAATGTAGTACTCAGCTTCTTAAATGGTCAGATGATGAAGGACATCGGGTCTTTCTCAACCTTTTGGTTAAGTCATATCCCTGTTAATCTTTGGGGAAGAGATGTTTCAGAACATGGGAACAGTCCTTACTACTGAGCCTGTTAAAAATATGCTGGCTGACCAAGGTTATGTACAAGGAAGAGGACTGGAAAAATTCCTCCAAAGTGACCCTCAGTCTGTTGCATCCAAATATTTAATTATCAAAAGAGCCGGAGATCGCTCTGGGCTGGGAAATTTTCCCTAGGGGCTATTGCTATGCAGCCTGTTCCCATTCCTATTATTTGGAAAACTGATAACCCAGTATGGGTGGAACAATAGCCCTTATCTATTGAGATATTACGGGCTGCACATCAACTTGTAAAGGAACAATTAGAGGCAGGACATATTGTTCCTTCCACTTCCCCCATGGAATACATCAATTTTTGTTTTAAAGAAAAAATTTGGAAAATGGAGACTCCTACAAGATCTCAGAACTGGTAATGATTGTATGCAAATTATGGGAGCCACACAACCTGGCTTACCTTCCCCTATAGGTATTCCTCAAAGCTATCATTTATTAGTTATAGACATAAAAGATTGGTTTTTTAGCATTCCCTTGGATCCTCAGGATAGTGAGTGATTTGCATTTAGCTTTCCTTCTATTAACTTTAAAGAGCCCTATAAGAGATATCAATGGGTGGTGTTGCCTCAAGGAAAGGCCAATAATCCCACTGTTTGTCAAATTTATGTTATCTTTGTCCATTGCCCCATTAGGGAGAAATTTCAATCCCTGTATATAATACATCATGTGGATGATATTCTTTTAGCTGGCCCAGATCCTAAGGAAGTGAATGAGGCTTTTTGGGGAATTGCAACATAATCTTCAATTAGCTGGCTTAAGACTAGCCCCAGAAAAGGTGCAACAAGAATTTCCTTATTAATACCTGGGTCATCAATTGTTATATTCTGGTATCCATCCTCAAAAGGTTACTTTAAGGCTGGATAGACTGATCACCCTTAATGATTTTCAAAAATTATGGGGAGATATAAATTGGGTTTAATCTAGTTTGGTCCCCTTAGAAACTGCTGCCTATATAGCTCTAGTCTCTTGTGTACAAGAACATTTACTAGCCATACAAAGCCTACAACGGAGGCACTCTCATCCAATTTTTGTAGGACATCTCAGCACATTTTCCCGGCCCTTTGAGTGAAAGACATGCCATTGCTGATTTTAATACTATAATAGTTAGTGCCATTATGATGATGATGAGTCTGGTTATGAAGCAGCCTGCAACGCTCATACAACCTTCCACCTTAATGCAGGGTCACTTAAATTCCATTTTAAAATTACTAGAGACCAAGCTGTTAATATAGTTAAGAATTGTCCCCTATGGGCAGAGTTCTTACCTGTTCCACACCTTGGAGCTAACCCCCGGGGTGTCATGCCTAATGATATCTGGCAGATGGATGTTACCCATGTTCCTTCCTTTGGCCAACTACAATTTGTTCAAGTATCTTTGGATACCCATTCTCATCTCATATTTGCCTGTGCCCATACTGGAGAAAGGCTTAAGGATGTTAAGAACCATTGTTTACAAGCATTTGCTTATACGGGAATGCCCAGACAATTAAAAACTGATAATGGCCCTGCTTATACTAGTCAGGGTTTTATCTCACGTAAGATGAGCATCCCTTATAATCCTCAGGGTCAGGCCATGGTGGAGTGTGCACATCACACAATTAAAGCCTATCTTCATAAAACAAAAAAGGGGGAGTACAGGGTCTCCTCATAATCACCTTTTTCTTGTCCTTTATATTTTAAATTTTTAAACTATTGATGGAGCTGCTTGATCTGTGGCTGACAGGCATTGGCACCCTGGGTCATCTGACTATGGCCCAGTTATGTGGAAGAATGTCACTACTCGACAATGGTGCAGGCCTGACCCAGTTCTAGTATGGGCCCAAGGGTCAGTTTGTGTCTTTCCACAAGATGCAGATAACCCTGTTTGGGTGCCTGAGCATCTGATTCGCCATATGGAGAGGGACCATGATTGTAGCAGCCAATAAGAAGGTCCGATGAGTCTTAATCAAGAATCTACCCATTTGATGCCTGTGGGTCTGAGTAGCCCTGTGTGGCCCATTTTTCCTGACCACTAATTATAGTTTGGGTCAAGCGGCTATAAATTTACACTTTGATCCAAAGGATAAGAATTTCACCTTCATCTCAGGCACTTTTGTTCTGATTACCTTCTTTTTTGTTGTAACTAATGCTACTAATTTTGGAGGAAGTTGAAAGAACTGCAGAGCATGGACCTTCATGCTCCAACTCAGAAAAGGCAACATCCCAAATCACTCAGGAGAAGCGGTCTTGATGCAAACTGCATGAGGTCTTGTTTATTCCAAATGCACTGGGGTCCACAGTCCTACACCACACAGGGGTGAGGACCCGGAGTACAGAATTGAGACAGCTTTTATAGGGTTACAATAAAGCCTGTGCATTGTAAACCAATCATCTCATAGCATCAGGT